CATATGGCCTGAAGACAGCACTGGGGGCTCCTATGGACGCAGCCAGGCCTCCAGGGTGCTCATAACAGTTGTCAGAGTGCTGTGACGCTCGAGCCTGTGCCCATACCCGTCCTACCTGCAATACCACCCTGATCGCAGAAAATCTGACATTTGGCCTGAGGACAGCACTGGGGGCTCTTATGGACGCAGCCAGGCCTCCAGGGTGCTCATAACAGTTGTCAGAGTGCTGTGACGCTCGAGGCTGTGCCCATACCCGTCCTACCTGCAATACCACCCTGATCGCAGAAAATCTGACATATGGCCTGAAGACAGCACTGGGGGCTCCTATGGACGCAGCCAGGCCTCCAGGGTGCTCATAACAGTTGTCAGAGTGCTGTGACGCTCGAGGCTGTGCCCATACCCGTCCTACCTGCAATACCACCCTGATCGCAGAAAATCCGACATATGGCCGGCGGACAGCACTGGGGGCTCTTATGGCCGCAGCCAGGCCTCCAGGGTGCTCATAACAGTTGTCAGAGTGCTGTGACGCTCGAGCCTGTGCCCATACCCGTCCTCCCTGCAATACCGGCCTGATTGCAGAAAATCTGACATATGTCTGGCAGACAGCACTGGGGGCTCCTATGGCCGCAGCCAGGCCTCCAGGGTGCTCATAACAGTTGTCAGAGTGCTGTGACGCTCGAGGCTGTGCCCATACCCGTCCTACCTGCAATACCGCCCTGATCGCAGAAAATCCGACATATGTCTGGCAGACAGCACTGGGGGCTCCTATGGACGCAGCCAGGCCTCCAGGGTGCTCATAACAGTTGTCAGAGTGCTGTGACGCTCGAGCCTGTGCCCATACCCGTCCTACCTGCAATACCGGCCTGATCGCAGAAAATCCGACATATGTCTGGCAGACAGCACTGGGGGCTCCTATGGCCGCAGCCAGGCCTCCAGGGTGCTCATAACAGTTGTCAGAGTGCTGTGACGCTCGAGCCTGTGCCCATACCCGTCCTATCTGCAATACCGGCCTGATTGCAGAAAATCCGACATTTGGCCTGAAGACAGCACTGGGGGCTCCTATGGCCTCAGCCAGGCCTCCAGGGTGCTCATAACAGTGGTCAGAGTGCTGTGACGCTTGAGCCTGTGCCCATACCCGTCCTATCTGCAATACCGGCCTGATCGCAGAAAAATTCATTTTTGATATCTGCACAGTACCAGGGCAGCAAATACCACATTCCATACCCTGGTTCGAACCACTGATTCTTTCTGCGTGGTAGGCACCATTTGCCGGTGTTTGGTCCCGACCACTCCTTCATCCCATAACCTGGTTGGAACCACTGATTCTGTCTGTGTGGTAGGTACCACCTGCTCTTCGTTTGGTTCTGACCAACGTATTCACCATGGGTTTCCCCCCACCCACATGGAAGTTGGTTGCTGCCTGACGTAGTGGTATTTGACCCTACTCGGGTACCAAAAATGACCCATTTGACCACCCTGTTAGGGTCTCATACCAGTCTGCCTATAGTGAGTTGGCAGTGCGTCGACTTGAGAACTTTGGTTCCACACTTCTTGCTTGGCAGTGCGTCGACAAGTTGTGCTTGGGTTTTGGGCATTGGATATTGGCTGTTAGTTGGCAGTGCGTCGACTTGACATTTTGGTTCTACTAGTTGGCAGTGCGTCGACTCAGTATATTGGTTGTATCAGTTGGCAGTGCGTCGACTTGATATTTGGGCTTTGCGTCGCCACCTGGACGCTGTCGCTACAAGGGATCTTAATACTTTGTATTAAGCTCTGACTTGTTATATCGTTGGTTGTGATTGGATTAGTGTTGGTTGTGTTCGTATAGAAGATATTGGTTGAGACACCATTGTTTACTTTATATAAATTCTTGTCGTCGACTTTGTCTTCCACGACTATTGATCTGCGTCTATTGAGAGTTGTGATACTGGTGCTCTGTCCACCCCGAAGCCCTCGCATCTTTCACACACTGAAAAGCTGATTACGAGGAGTGTGAACGTGTTTATATTTGGGTTTACTTTCATAGTAGATTCACCTGTGAGCACGCCCTCAGCATTTCACCAGATTCCGTTGACAAGCCCATGCACCGCTTTGCAGCAATTCCTCATGATGTCAACAAGGGTCTATTGATCCAGTTTCTCGACAAGCAGTTGGCAGCTGATCAATCATCTGGCACCCTTGATCTTGGCCCAGGAACTTGTTCGATGCTTCGCCATCCAAGCACCAAAGTCAGCACTAAATGTCGTATGTTGGCTCTGCGTTTCCTTGCTGTGCGTACTCATGGTCTTTTTTTTTAGCTCATGCACATACATTAGACGGCCACGCTATTGTTGGTGATTTGATTCCGCTTCACTGCAGTGCGGAGAAGATTGTCTACACATCTAAGGACAATACGTGTCCCATCTGTCTGGTCATCATCTGGGGCTTGCACTTGCATCCTCCGTGGCAGCCTGAGAAGCTTACTCAAGAGGCACGTGATGACCTTAAGAAGTGTCTCGAGGCAGCTGGGACTATTGGCATGACAGCGGAGAAGCTCAATGGCGGTAAGCAGCAGCAGCTATTCCAGCTCCTATCTGACCTCTTCATCAGCTCCATCTACGCGAGCACTTCTTGGCTGTACTCTCTCACAAAAGCATCCTGCGCTGCAGAACATTCATCTCCTGCGTGACGAAATCAACAAGCTCAAACGAGCTGAACACTCTGAAGGCTTGTCTTGGGAAGGTGCGTAACATTCATTGATTTCCTTTCGCCTTTAATCCGTGATTCTCAGGAATTGTGCATGAGTACAAAAATGATCTGAAGAGGCCGCTCTTACAGAGATATGTCCATCACATTCATACATTCAGCTTATCCAATTTTGGGATGGTGTGGATCGCCGTTGCCATGATTCCAGGTCCGTCAAATATGTCTTTGGTGACACAACGTTCAAGCGAGTTCTCGGCGATCTTTTTGAATGGGAGTGTGTCATCTGGTATGGTTTAATGAATTGCCGTATGTTGTCTGATGTTCTATTACTCTTGTTTGTCTTGCTCATCAGTCGTTACACTGCAAGGTCTCACCGTGGTTCAAATTATTGTGAACTGCTTCAGGGCAGAGGCATTCTCCGCAATGTTCGCTGCGCTATGGAAGGTTCTGAAGGACGTGACCGGCCTTGCACCCCAATTTAAGGCTTTCCATGATGATGGAAACTTGTACGCATTCCTCTTCGATATGGAGGCGGCTCAGATCCAGGGCCTTGGGGAACAACTCATTTGGGATGTCCAAGGCGAGTCTTGCTTGCAGCCTTGTTTTGCCAGCAAGACAGGTGATGAGTTGGTCCCGTACATTGTCAAATGCTGTTGCGTGCATTGGGAGCGGTGCACATTATATTTAAATCAGCCGTTCTCTTTCTAATGATGTCCAGTAAAAGCAAGGATCTTGTGTCCGAAATCGGTCAAGAACCGGTCAAATATCTCAACAAAATCTTTGGCATGTCCAATCCAGTCGACATCAAGAATTGGCATCAATTCTGCCAGAATCATTCCAACAAGAAACTCCGCGGTATGTCTTTCTATTTTCGAAGAGAGAGCATCACTAATGTATTCAACAGACTGGTATAAGCACAAGACCGACTACCCGTGGCTACTTGGGACTTTCAATGAGAGTCTGTCCTCGTTTCTGGCTGGTTTCTGGGATCAATCCCCGTGTGATACCAACATGGTGGAAAGTGCTCATGTTGCCACTAACCGTGCAACCTCGATCAACTTACAGCCGCTTCATTCTGTCCTTTTGTTCGTTCAATTTACAGCCTTTGCATTTCTGCCCTGATTATGTTCCAGTGCCCGCCAGTTTGATTCCGAGGTAGCCGCCTCAATCCAGCAAAGTCATGAAACGGGGATTCTACGTAATCGAAACAACACCAAAAGGAATCGTTACCGCCAAGCTGTTTCTCGGGCCGGGAAATGCCAGTCGCTGGCGCGGGCTCATTCTGATCTTTCTGATGATTCTCAAAGCAGCCAAGGTTGCGGCTGCCATTGCGGCTCAGGCCAAGAAGGACGCTGACGCAAAGCTGAGAGAACTCAAGACAAGGAAGAAGGAGATAGGCCCTGCACCACGGGGTAGCATCTCAGGACGCAACATGTGCTCTGATTCTGCTATTCCTCTCATCCAAGGGAGCTCTGGTATGTGGTCATTCTTTCTCGATTGTGGTCCTTTGTCAGATGACGTGTAATAGCGCCGTCTCAATCAACTATTGATCAGGGTCAGCAGCAGCGAAGCCCATCTCCGTTACCCCTGTTGTCTCTGCCGCGTAGCTCATCACCAACTCCCCAACACCAAAGTATTTTGTTTGCTTCCGTATCTCTATTATATCTGAACTCTGGCAGCTGCTGATCCAGACAAGCTGATCTTTGATGAATTTCATGAGCAGATCTTAGCTCAGCTCAGTGGCCTCGGTGACGACGAATGGTATGATATGGTTCAGCAGCATGGTGCATTAAACGCTTCCTCTTCTCGATCGAATTAACACATGCATAGTGCCTGCTGAGTCAAATTTGATTTGGGACAAGACCGTGAACTTTGTTGATAACGAGACACCTGATCCTCAAATCGGTAAGCATCTCTTGTATTTATCAAGGATCCAGCCTCAGTTTTTGCGTTGAAAGCCTCCTCCAATGACAATCATGATGTCGACATGACCGCAGCATCGAACCTGGATCCTCTAAGCAACCAAATTTTCGTCCCTGTGGCTCCGGTCCAGGATCTAGATCTTGCTCACGCTCTGCCTACCACCTCAATTCCCGCTCCCAAGCCTCATCCAAGGAAACGGGCACGGAAAGAAGTTGACGAAGATAATATCCTTCCAAGCAAACAGGCGCACAAGCCACGTGCTCGTACTTATCCATATTAGTAGTCTGGAAAAATTATATTTGTTCTCAATTTTCCAAGAATGATATTCTGTCCTGTAACTTGGTGTGATGTACAGCATCTTGGTTGCGGTCCTAGTCTCTCATTGGCTGGTCTGCTCAGCGGCCACTTAGATCTTCATGTGTTTGAACATCTTCTATGTCATTATCAACAGCAAATATGTTCGTGGTTGCATATCCCATATCAGTCAGTGCTACGTTTGAGGCCATCATCATGCTGCAGGTCACGTGCGGCAGGAACTAGGCATCGACTCAAGACGCCTTCACGTTGTTTGAGAACAACACCGGCTGGAGTAACAGTAAGCCCAATTTTGTGTTAAAGTAAACAGAATGACGGACTGATCACATTCCAGACGGATAGACTTTCCTGTTGGCTTTCACGGCACCGATGACCTTGGCGCGCTGTGCGTATTCGACATGTGTTCACATTTAGCATTTCCGATTGTCTGATGCCTTCCATTTCCAGCCACTGGGTCAGCCACCGCCTGCTCATGTTCTTGTGCGTCTCTGCGCTTCCTAATGTACGTCCCTGACCGGTACGCACCCTTCCCTGTGTTTCCTCCGCGGATTTTGCCGCTGCCCCTGGAACAAGATTGCCGTCGATAGGTTTGCCACCTGCGTTCAATCTATTGACATGTCTCAACCCCATGCCAACGTGGCCGAGCATTGATGGCTGGCCATGATAGATATTGAGGGAAGGTCTTTCGGACGCTTATGGGAACACAACGAGTTCGAAGGTTCGAGTCCCACGGGAGCCCACCTCAAGCGGGACTAAACCCAGCGGAACCGCTATTGATCAGAGCAAAGTTTCGTGATACCATTCAACAACAAGCAGGATTAAGGAGGAATAGGCATCCGGACTGGGATAGGCACAGATTCAGTAAAAAAGGCATCATGTGCCATGACTGGAAATCAAAAAAAATGTTGTTATAATAGGCATTACGGTGAGCAGTAGGCATCAATGTATGCCTAGTTACTAATCTCGTTGGGCCTCGCTCAAACTGAGCCTCGAGAGCGAACTCCTGCCACCAGAGTCGTGCCTGGAACCTTCATTGATCGAGTGTTGCGTGATGTCAACAATTTCGAAGGACCTCCACCGTCTGATCCCCCATCGAGTGAGCCATCCGACTCTGGTACCTCCGTGGGATCTGGAACTTGGACCCGGACCCAGTCTTTGCGTTGTCGCCGTAATAAAGGATCTCTGAAGTCGAAAAAAGAACCGAGAATGATTTTGAAACCAATTCCCCCAAAAGAGTATGATGGCTCTGCAAATGCGACACTGTATTATCGGTTTGTGAAGGAAGGAACCGCGTACCTTCGACTTGGTCGTGTTCACGCAGCTGAAAGACCGTTCTACTTGTCATATTTTTTGACAGATTGGGCACGTGAGTTTTACACTAGCCGAGTAGAGAACGATACACGCACTTGGACTCTATCCGAATTCTTTGAAGAACTGTTCAATTTTTGTTTCCCTGTGAACTTCTGTGAGAAACAGCGCAGGCTGCTGAGCGCATGCATATAAGGCAAGAAATCGATTCTGGTCCACAAGGCAGAATGGGAACAGATATTCAATATGATTGGCCTCGAAGCCAATCAGGAGAAGATCATCATGTTTTGGCGCAGTCTTACCAATGACATTCGCAAGGAGATGTTCCGTGCGAGGTTGCATCCAGAGCAGTCGACTTGGGAAGAGGTCACCGCTGGTGCTGAAGAAGCCGAAGTCATTGTCAATCTTGACAATGAAGATGATCTCACCGAGACCCAGGGAGTTGAGACCAAGAAAGACACCTTGAATTCGAAGGATAAGCACTCAAACAGAGGGCGTATCCTGTCTGTATCCAGTGCCAATGTCTTGGAGAATGAGAATAAATGAACTGGAAACAGTGCTGGAAATGAAACAAAAAAGACCACCCTGAGAGAACATGGGACTTACGTGAGCCGTCGCACTGGCAAGAAGGTTTCTGGCCAGGAATACAAGGATCATCTTGCTGAAGGACGGTGCTTCGAGTGTGGAGTACAAGGACATGTTGTCTGACAGTGTCCCAAGATGGTCTCCATCAAGTCCGATAACCCCGGTAAACCCCCAGGTTTTGCTGCGCATGGAGTTCAGTTCAATCTTGCTGAGGTTACCGAAGATGTGAAAGAATCGTTTGAATGACCCCCGTGTGCTTCTCCGATGGTCGTCGAGGAGGGCGGGTACAAGAATGAATTTTGATTGACTTATGATTGACATTTACTTCTGCAGATGTTCGAGACCACCTCGAGCACAGCGCCTAATATGAATTTAAGAGAAATTTTAGAAAATAAATGCGTTATTTGATTCTGTAAGCTCATCGCGAGTTGTTGAGCTGGAGGGCGTATGTAGCGGAAATGTTGCATTACAGGAATCCCGTGATAATTTGATTGGCATTTGACGGTGTTTGGCTGGCACAGCGTCCGATCGTAGTATATAGTAGTCTACCCCTGTGTATTCGCTTTTCTTTAGTCCATCCTATCCTTATCCCTCTCACCTCTGCCCTTCCGTGTGGCGGAACCTCTCTGTACGGCAGCTTCCGTCACAAACACCATCAATCAAATCAGTGACCGGAACTGTTGGGAAAAATGGGTTGAGGGGTAGATTAAGGAATATGAGGGAATGTTTGCAATAGCAAGATAGGGTGAATAAGAATTTGCTTTAGGGCAAACAGATGCCCTCTAGGCTACATACCAGCTTAGTTATATACTAGTAATGTAAGTAATCTAGAATATTCTACTATTTACCAGTATATGTCCAAATGCGGTTATCTAGAACATTCCGTGACAGCTGAGCTGTATCCTAGGAATTCTATTTAATTCCAACAGGAACAATCCGAAGACATGTCTCCTTTGGATGTGTGTACTGGCTTCAATTCCCGCATCAGGGGGTGCAGAATCCTCAAGGAATGACTAAGCAAAACAACACGATACCGCGCAGCACCGGTCTCGGTTGTTGGTCCGAAGCCGGCACAGATTGCATCGCATACTTACCTGCAGGGGCCGCCACGGTTATATGGCTTCACAAGATACCGATCTCGCTCTTGCGTGAGGTCTAGATCCTTTGTAATCGCGGAATGTGTGAACCATTGGGTAGGCGCGCGGCCAGCAGACCACCATCTGCCTAGCTCTATGTGTCAGTTGGATTGACTCAAATGGCGAAACGTGTTCAGAAGGTCCGCAGATCTCCGTGATTGGTCATTCTCCTTACGAAAAATATTACCGTTCGCTGTTACTGTGAACGGACACAAAAATGAGCTTCCTAACTTATGTCCGGAATCGCACCCTGCTTCGTTTCACCCTGCTTTACGAACACACGCATGTCATTAGCTGCCAGTGAGCCCACGCTAGGCATCGACGAACACGGCGTTCCGACCACTGAAACTTCGGACCACGAACAATCTGGGTTCACGGAGAAAAATGAGGGCCTGGCAAACTCTTTTCCCGGTGTCACCGAGAGGAAACCTCAGCCGGAAATGGGTGATGTAGAGTATCCATCGGGCTTGAAGCTCGTGTTGATGATGATTTCTTTGTGCTTGAGTGTGTTCCTAGTCGCTTTGGTGCGTGCTCTTCGTTTCTTCATTTCTAGAACGGAAAAGTTCTCACGACCTCTTCCAGGACAATACTATCATAGCGACCGCCATCCCCAAGATCACGGACCAATTTGAGTCATTGGACGATGTGGGATGGTACGGCTCTGCGTACGTGATTGTGTCACTCCGGCGTTAGCATTTCGAAAACTGATGCTCGACGCGCTGCACAGATATCTGCTCGTTCGTATACTTCAATTTCTTCTTGTTTGTCTCTGAAACTCACTGGACCGCTCAGACGACTGCCGCTACTCAAATGCTGTTCGGAAAATTCTATACATTCATGCCAGTCAAACGGGTGTTCATAACAGCCATTGTGGTATTTGAAATCGGTACTTATGCCTTTTCGCATGCATGAATCCGAAATCCAACGTTTCACCTACAGGATCTGCCATCTGCGGTGCTGCCCCCAATTCCAAGGCACTCATCATCGGTCGCGCAATTGCCGGGTTGGGCTCTGCGGGTATCTTTTCCGGCGCCATGATCATTGTTGCGAAGACAGTTCCACTTGCAAAGAGGCCGATATATACCGGTATGATTGGTGCGACTTTTGGTATTGCAAGCGTTGCAGGCCCTTTGATGGGCGGAGTGTTCACCGACAAAATCAGTTGGCGCTGGTGCTTCCTCATCGTGCGTGATTTCTCCATGAAATGACCGAGAATGACTGAGGTATCCAGAACCTGCCTCCCGGCGCGTTCACTCTTGCCTTCCTTGTCTTCTTGTTCAAAATGCCGGCTCAGGGGCAAATCAAAAACGAGCAGAGCTTCAAGGAAAAGCTCCTGCGATTTGACCCTATGGGAACGGTCGTTTTCATTCCCGCCATCATCTGCTTGCTGCTTGTCCTGCAATGGGGCGGATCCAAATACCCGTGGCGCAACGGCCGTGTGGTCGCTCTCTTGGTCGTTTTCGGCGTTCTCATCGCTGCTTTCATCGCGATCCAGGTCCGACAGGGAGATCAGGCCACCGTCCCTCCGCGCATCATCAGGCAGCGCAGCATCTTGAGTGGCATATGGTATACGTTCTGTGTCGGTTCATCGTTCTTCCTTCTGTCGTTCTACGTGCGTTTTCCAGTTTTCTTGAGTCACCGATAGACTCACCCACACACTCACACACAGCTCCCGATCTACTTTCAGTCGATTCACAACGTGACGGCCGTCAAGTCAGGCATATCCACATTGCCAATGATCCTGTCCATCATCATTTCCTCAATTGTCGTCGGCCTTCTGGTTGCGCAGCTGGGATATTACGTGCCTTTCATGATCGTTTCAACCATCATCGCCAGCATCGGCGCTGGACTGATCACCACATTAGACGTGTCTTCGGGCCATGCGAAGTGGATTCCGTACCAAATCATCTACGGCTTTGGGATGGGTCTGGGCCAAAACCAACCCGCGTTGGCAGCACAAGCCGTGCTAGATATCGATGACGTCCCATCCGGCACTACCATCGTCATGTTTGGACAAACGCTGGGTGGCGCGTTATTCGTCTCTGTCGGTCAGAACGTCTTCACCAATAAGCTTGTGGCTGGATTGACCCAATACGCTCCGGGTCTCGATCCCAACCTTGTTCTGGCTGCGGGCGCCACAAATCTACGCTCTATTGTGCCCACTGACAAGCTCGCCGGCGTGCTGCTTGCATATTCCAAGGTGCGTTGTCATTTTCCGATGTAGTTTTGCCTCACTCTCGCATCGCTCAGGCTCTCGACTCGGCGTACTACGTTGCTGTGGCCATGTCAGCCCTGACCGGCTTCGGCTGCATTGCTATGGAGTGGAAAAGCATTAAAGGTAAGAACATTGAGATTGCCGTAGGTTAGTTACCCCACTGCTTCGATTATCCGTCTCGCAAGTTCTCCCGAGCTTCTTTCGTCCGTGTGTGTCCACGTTATCGCGCCTTGAGTAATCATGCGACATGTTCCTCTGGTCGCCTGGCACTTCCGACTGCAATGATCGTATGCACAGCACAGAAAAATGATGAGAGAGAGGACTGTCTTCGGAATCGACAAGCCTTGTCTGGCCCGATTTTGCCTCAAAATGTGCAATTTCCTCCGGTGCTGCATCAGAAGTGATGCGGGGTCAATGCAGTGGCTGCTCGTGATCAACGGAATTGTTTTGGAAGGGAACCGAACTAGGCAGTATCGCAGAAACAAAATTACGTGACAAATTCGAAGAGAGATCCTCCATCCCCGTCAGGTAAAATTTCGTACGGCTTGCCGCTTACCTTTCGTCCTCGATCCTTGCAAATCTGTCTTGCCTCGGCGCTCGCCTTATCAGGGATAATCCGAGATCCTTGCTCAATCGATGATTCAGTGATCGGAACAGACGGCAGTGACAATCTGGATCCATGCCGTGACGGTGTAGTACGGCTACGCACTGTCGATTTTTTTTGGTTCTATATCCGCCCGGTGTGCTCTAAAAGATGCTGTGTTCTAAAACCCGACCTCTAGGCCCCTGTCTGTTCTCTAGAATTTCGTCAGTCTCGCAATCTCCCGCTCAAGATCCCCGTTCATTCTCTCCTCGCGCCACAGCTTTCCAACTTGAATGGCGTTCTGTGTAAGGGTGTGGCCTCTAGATCCTTTGATATCATTGAACGTCTTCTGGAACTCTATCTTGGCGTCTTCGACTGTTCCTGTGATCTTGGGTGCCTCCGGACGAAGAGATGGCCCCAGCTGAGTACCTGCTCGGATCTACACATTGTGAATGACAGCCATCAAGTAATTCGGTCACGGCAATACCTGGAAAAGTTCTATTCCAATCGGACGGGGACCTGTGGAAAGTACAGCTGCATTGATAGCCTGCTCTGCTCCGATCGGCCAGAAGATGAGTGGAATATTTTGACTGAGCGCTTCGGTCAGCGAGCTAGAAATCTATCATCAATATTCTGTTCATCGGGGACCTGAGTGGTACTGACTTGTAGCCCCCATGAGTCAGAAACCAGCCAACTGCGCCACTTTTCAAGACGGCTTTCTGATCAACCCAATGTGAGCATGCGATCCCTCTACCACTAGCGTGGATGCGATCGATCGTCTCTTGAGGCAATGAAGCCATCTTTCCAGCCAGCACGAAAACGAAGGGAATCACAGTCTCCAGCTGCAACAGCACGTCTATCATGGCCTCGACCAAATTGGGCGTCTCAACTGGGAAGAACAATGAACTGAAAGTGGTTTAGTACGCACTATTGATCTCGAAGAGATGTTTCGACGCACCCAAAAGAGATATACAACACTGATTTTGGCCCGTATTTCTGGCGCGCGCCGTCCAAAAATGTTTTGATTTTCTCATCGCTAGGACCGGGACCAGCGGATGGCGCGTCCCATTCATCGTCGTGCATTTGAGGACCGACGAGGAATAGTTCTTGTCCCCGTTTCTTGTAGTAATCTTGACAGAGAGGAGTTATGACTGGCTCCAGAGGGATCCCGCTCGGGCAGAAGAAGCCATCGGCTAACCGACCCAACTTGTTTGCAGATATCAAAATGGGAGCGAGTACGCGCGGTGGTCCAGCGCCCTGTGCTTGGTGCTCATGATCGTATATCTTCAATCCGCCAATGATCTCGAGAATACGCCCGTCTAGTTTGTCGCTGCCATTCATGGCGCAGAGGACCTGTGCAAGGTGGGGTCAGGAGCTCTTCATGGGCGATGAACACGACACGCACATCGCCGCAAATTTCATCGTCCGTTCTTCCCGCTCTTCTGCTCTCGTCAGCGCATATTTCTTGCGCGATTTTCGTGAAGTTGTATTCGCTGAAATGGTCCACGCCAGATGTGACGGAAGATGAAAACCAAACGAGAATTTTTCCTTCCGGTCCAATCATCGCCCTCGATTCTTCGACAACTAAACCCCCTCCAAAAAAGTCCATCTGTAGAGGAAAATGAGCCCCTGGTTGGGCCTAGAAATCATACGAACATGCAGCGTCTTCGGCTTGGGCCAATCGCCTTTCTCAGCGACTGCATCTGCGAGGATCTCCAGCCATCCAGCTGTAAGTTGGCTGATCATTGTTCCGACAATCATCGGGGTAAATTGAATCCTGATTGGTTGGATAAGGAGATTCCAAAATGGGTACGGAGACTTACTCCTTCTCTCCTACACCCGCGATTTGTAACCGACTAGTATCGTACGAACAGGTTTTCAACTCTTCGAGCATTTTCGGTACTACAAAGGTTGATATTAGACATCAGGGATGTTCAAGCACGAGCACAGACCGACGATGTTGTGCTGAACAATTGTCACGACCAAATCTGGATCAGCAGCCAGCATTCGAGTTGTGAGGTGCATGTAAGGCAGTGCATGACCCCAAGCTGGAGCGAGAAACGTCAGGATGTGTCGAGAGGGCATGCCACGATTCAAGGCCGTGTGTGAATATCCTAGAGACCTCAATTCTCCATACTTTATATCTGCAACGGAGCTGTCACCGAACGACCGGCAAAGAAAAAAGCGCCTGTAGTTACCAAATGATGTTTGGTCACCGTCATGTACTGGTGTAATGGTAACCTCATGCAATGGGTGACGCGTTCCGTGTGCGGTCCTTCGGTTCGTGAGATACCCGCAACTTCGATGATGGATGCGGGATGTAGCACTGATGATGGGCCGGGCAAACCGCCAGTGTTACTGGTATAAGCGTCCTATCGACGCAATCATTTGATCCTCCAATGGGCTGAATATTCATGAGTCAGCTTCGCTGGAGAAACGGAGTCCGGTAGACATTGCGTTCGCAATCTGGCTGAGGCTGATGATGACAATCGTGTAAGAAACGTAATCTGGCAAACATGGCACTCCCCACGGCTGAGGTTGATCGTTATCGGGCCACATGTCCTAGCTGCGGGACTCGCGGGCGTGGGCATCCCGACGCCTGATCGACACCACTATGGTTCGAAATAGGACCTCCGCGTGTAGCACTGGGTCATCCCTTGGTCTCCGCAAGTTTTGCCGTCGAAGCGAAAGAAGATCTCGTCTCAGACTGATTGGTCAGACTGTTGCCGGGCCGAGTCCTCACAAATAATTGGTTCTTATCACCACGCACAATATCTTCAGGAAACGTTCATCTAAACACAGCAGAACAGACTGCTCGTTCTGTAAGTACGTATGTCGCTCGAGTCCCTTCAAACAACATACATCTCCGAAATCGCAGACAGATAATACACCGTTTTCTTTATCTTTTGAAGGGTTTTTACCACTTCAAGATCTTCTTTCCGCGCCTTGCGTTCTATTGGCCCAAGCCGTAGGCCTGTCCCAGCCGTCAGTCTGGCCAGGTCAGGATCCGAAAGCTATCCGGCCTCACGCTCATAGCAGCGAACGCCGCGGATAAACTTTCCCTTCGATTTCATCATTTACAGTCATAAGTCCGAATCATATATCCGTTGTAGTATCCCAAAGATCCATTCGTGAAAAGCTCATTAATCGAGGGCTCTTGTGGCTAGTGGAACTCGCCGACGGCCTGCGGAAGGTGGATCAGCCGCGGAGACAACGAGAGCACGGTCGCGCAACGCACCGGTCCAAATGTCCCATTGACAGGAACCGTGAGACGCGTGCATCCATTCGCGTCGCAACCCTCGAACGGCCTGTTATTTCCCGACCAATCGATCACCACATTCGGCCATTGGACGGCAAAGAAGATGACGATGGCGGAGATGGCGATCGCAGCGGAGAACGCCGTAGTCGTGATGCTGTTCGGAACTCTAATTAGACTAGTTCTCGAAGCGACAGAATGGGAGGACGCACTAGTTGTACTTGCCCCACCATGCGAGGTACCGTTTCTTGATGAACACATTGAACAGCCACGCGACGGGAACAGCCGGCCAGATGTTCGCGATGCTCCCCGGGGCCCAGATGAGTCCGCCGTAGATGATGACCGGCAGATGGACGTGTTCGAGAGAGCGGAAGCGTTTGCGGAGGAAGTAGAATGGAATGGGCAGAGCAGCACCGATGAGGAAACAGTACAACAGGCTGTTGTAGATGCCGCCTTGACCGAACATCCGTTTCGGGCCCAGAGTGCCCTATCGAAAGACAGGACGATAATCAGTAACAGTGTGTTTGAGGGACTGATCGCCCTACCCAGAGTACGCTGGCAGTGAAGAATGTGTTGATTCCTGGGCAGATGAAGTGGTCGACCTGGTGCGGCGTGCACACGTCCGGAATCTTCGTCATCTGGAAGTTCAGGATCGCTGTGCAGATGAAGGAGGAGACGACCGTCGCATAGATCTGGGCCCAGAATGTCGCCACCGGGGGAATGTGCATGTAATGGGCCAGTTTGAGATCTTGCGCAAAGTTGAGCGTGTGGGCGGTGGTGACGTAACCGTAAGATTTGAAGTAATTCATGGCCACTGCGTTTCCGGGGAACCAAAGACCGCCAAAGAGCTCGGCTAGCACGTTTAGCGTGATCTGAACGTTGGTGATCGACTGCGAAAAGGAGTTTGAGCGAATATGGCTAAAGATCCGAAGTCAAGAGTCCGACTGACGTAAATGATTCCGATGGGAATGACGAAGATGGCCGCCAGAAAAACGCCGTAGAGAACAACAGCAGGGGAGGTTTCGGTGGCGTATGCACCAACTCCGGCTGCTCCGAGGCCGATAGCCGCGACCAAGATCCTGGGATTGTAAATCTTGTGCCAGATCCAACATTCGAGACGACAAACTCACATGAAATACTGCCACTCTCCGACTTCTTTGTATTGCTCCATCAGCCTGACATGAACATCCCTGTGCATATCAGACGTCTTTCGGCCGAAGCTCAGGATACTCTTGAATCCGTGCAACATGTCCCGGCGATGGTACAAGATCGCATGTGAGAGCGTCGCGGTATAAACGGCGAAAAAGACACCGTAGATGATGATGTTCGCCGCAGCGAGGCTGCGAGGTATCAGACTGATGTGCACACATGAGAATTCGATCACTCACTAGGCCGGCGAGTAGTTGTCGTAGAGCTGCGCGTCGAACAATGTGTCAGGGCCTACAGCTCGACTAACGTTGTAAAAGTTTCCAGTGTTGTCAAACACGCGCTGAGCCCATGAGCTACAGAGTTTGAGTGGAAGTTCCAAACTCACATTGGAGTTGATCGGTAGATAACCGGTGTTCCAGGTGTTGGTGTACCAGATCGCAACAATGACGGGAAATGTGATCATAGTCTTCGAGCAGATCAGTTTCTATGGGCTGCTCAAAAGCGGGGAGACCCACCCCAACGAAAGTCTTTTGCACAAATCAATTGTGATGTTAGTCGTCATAAGCACACCTGCCAAAAGCTCACATTCATTGTGGTCTGAGCAAATCACGATCAGTTCCAACTGGCGGGCATTACGAGGAAAGCTCACGTAAAAAGGATTGATCAGCGGGTCGAGGAAGTAGGTGAGCTGGTTCCAGTCGAAAGTCGGAATGGGATTGAGGCCCAGGCCCGACACGGAGCCGGTGATCGCAGCGAGATGCACATTGTTCGGGGCGATCCACGTGATCCAATTGAAGTAGGACAGCGCTTGGAAGATGTAGCTGCGGAGAGGCAAAACAAACGTCAGCTGTGCTTTCCATCAGGCAATTGAGAATAGGATCGCACTCGGGGAACCAGAAGTAAACAAACATGCTCCCGAAGCAGTACAAGAACCAGCGCATACGGGTCATGCTCCAGCCATTGGCAACGGTCGCCTTCTCGTGGTGGAACGCTCTGTTGAGGGCAATGATCTACGTGAGATTCAGTCGCGTGCCAATGGTTTGGGTTGTAGATAATAGCGGGTACCGAGAGATTGTTGTACCACACGGCCGAAGCTGGATACACCAAGAAACGCCGAGTGAGCCCCGCGAGACCGTAACCAATCAGGTTCGTCGAAAGCGCCGTCAGGACTGCGGTGCGAATGAGCGAGGTCTTTTGCACAGCCATCATGCGCCTCACTTTGATATCCAAAATTAGTCGCCCATGACTGATTGAAATACAGAGGCAGATACTGGACCCATATGATGCTCGTGCTGATGCGCGGAATGATGAGTGGGAGGGGACGAATTTCACCAGACTGGGGACATACGTGTATGGCGTGCTGAATCCGACATTGGCCATAATCTGCATTGGTCACGCGAGCTGTCAGAAGGAAGGGACTGCGGACGCACGGTGATTATCATGTGCTCCTTCGGGTTGAAAGGTCCGCTGTGATCATGGCACTTCAGTGTGCGATAACGTAAATAGCCTGCTCCTCTCACGGGTTCAAAGTCCAAGTATACCCAAAAGTCGTGAACTCTCTCGCAGGGAGGAGCTCAAGCAGTTTCGCAAACGGGTACGCCAGAACCTGTGCCACGTTGGATCCGACACTGATACCAGGGAAGCTTAGGGCGTCCTTGTGTCAGAACACGAGAACCGAGCCCGAAATAGCCTCGGAGCACACACCGAATGCTGAAAAACTGATTGATGAAGCCGCTGTGGGGCCCCGTTTAGCTCGAGATGATGCAGATTCAGATAGGCCCATCGAAGGGCTGTCTCACCCTGCGCCGACAAAGATGGTCCCGATGACCCAGGTCCGGAACGTCAAGACGGGGGTAGTGGGGTCGTCTTTGTTTGATACCACCGCGCGCACTTCCGCGTACGCCGAGTTCTACCCGGGGTCGTGTGCTTAGCGAGACCGATCACACGAGAATGAGCAACTCACCACGTTCATCATCGCAGCTTCGACCTTGAGCTCTTCGTAGACGCGCTGAAACTCGACGGGATCTTGTCTCAGCTCGGGGTCGTACAAGTAGCGGCTGGAGAAGAATGAGATAGAGGCTCTCGAGAACGTAATGCGGGTGCGACTCACTTGGCAGCCTCGATCACTGTGCGGGGGAAGTTCTGGCCAAGTCTTGGGAATGTGTCTCAATACAACCCGAGAGGAAGACGTACAGGATCATCCCCATGCTTTGAGAGATACGTCAATCGTGAACGAGTCAGGGAACGCATGAGCACAGACCTCTTTCACAATGAGCTTGATGGTCTCCTCGATCTCCTCAGCGCTCATCGTCTTGGCATACTCTGAAGCCTCAAGGATATCATCTGGGACAGCTTGGATCTCAGTCGCCAGAACCTCCTGCAGACGAAATCAGCCAGATGCACCTAACGTGTCCAGAGAGATAACTGACAATGTCGGCTAGGACCCCGCCCTTCTCGCCGAGTGAGCTGGAGCGGACAGAGTCCTTCTCGTTGATTTCCTTCTCTGCCATCGGAAGTAGCGAGCTCCAGGCGGCTGGAGTGCAGGAATGCAGGCAGCGAAAGGACGGGCTTTCACTAACACCCATGCCTTCGGATTCCTGCATGTTATATATACCCGCGGACCGTATCAAGCCGAAGTCGAGGAGAGTTGCGCCACTCCGTATACGGTTTCGCGAGTGACATGAGAAGGCGAAACCTTTTCGCGCAGGAAGTCATTTTTAGATCGATAGTGAGGGAATGCCGCTTCGAATGTGCGCATGAAGACGCGTTATCTATTCAGTCTTGAGATTGCATACCTCCGGCTCTGCGTTTCCCGAGGCCCCCGTCCGTCCAGAGTGGGAACCCGCATGCCGCATCTGCCAGTGCTGGGCCCAGAGTCCAGACACCATAACACAGATTACACCTGGATTAGGACTGACGGTGAAAATGCAGGGCAGGCATTGAGCATGACTCCGATAAATTGCCATGGGAGACGATTACGGTACATGTGTTGTCGAAGAAGCTGTTAGCCTTCACCGGGTGCAAATCGCCACACACTGAGGATATGGCCGCTCACTCGGGATACCAGACAGCTCATACGACTCTCAAACACGTCGGTGAATCTTCTCCGTGTCCATTGCTGTTACGGGCTCATCGACAGTCGTGGGTGGCGGCATCGAGCGGCCAGGTACTCGCGTACTTGGATTGAGTATCACGCCGTGACTGAATGACGGAACCTTTCAATCCTTACCACCAGACCACTTTCGCCGATGTTGGCCGACGGGATCTTCGGCATGCGAATGCTCGCCCATGTCAAGCACGACCTCAGCTGGAAAGCTAGCCGCGCACTGTTTCGGCCTCATCTTCACACGCGGCTCACCTCGAAGAGAGCCCGACAACTTCCCGCCACCAATGAAGCAGGCCCAGGCCGTCGGAACTTTTCGATCCCCGCACGTCAAACGGTTGCTAAAAATGCAGAGATACAGACGGACTCGATGGGTTTCCGGTGCGAGCTCAAGAAAGGGGGTATCCTGGTACGCCCACGTCTCCCACGTCATCCAGCGCTATGATTCACCTCTTCTTATCCTGGCCCTCAGATGCGTAGACTGTCTTTGAGCGTGACCAAAGGCCTCTGCAGTGTTTTTCGCGACCCCTCAACTCTACGAGCGACACATCCTTCTTTACGTCCAGCCACGCACCGCGGTCCATACTGGCGCGCACTGAGTCAGTTTTATGGAATCCTCTCGCTCTGAATCCCAGAGAATGCGGCATTCCCAGCTTTCGCGTGCTACACTGAGCAAGACAAGCCATGCGTGGATCATTCGTGGACGGCTGTGTCGCCGCATGGGTCCGCCAGCTAGACCACGTCCTTTCTTACCGACACTGGATCCGGAAAGGCAATCCCACACCGAGACACTCTTCTCGTTCGCACCATGACGCTTGCCAAGGACTGCGCAAGCATCGCACGCGATGCCCTCTGGAGCATGGATTCCATGCCTGGCATATACTTCGCACGCGGTGCATCCAGGGCGTCGTCAATCATTCTATCGTGCTCTCGTCCTCGTGCTTCCCGTGACAGACGGTGGCGATACTTCCGTGTGGGCGGCAACGAGAAGCTCGAGGGTTCAGTCACTCAGAGATGAACTGGTCGCGTCAAAAGGTACAGTCGAATAGATTCTATCAAGACAGAGACATTGGATAAGGAATGTTACAGTACGCCGCTCAGGCCGGACCGGCAAACTGGACGGAAGGGCAGTCCTGGCCGCCATTGGAGCAGTGCGGGATCAAAGTCTCAACAGGGCCCGCTAGTGAACAATGAATCAGCCAGGATGCCAGCGAGACCGGAAGCGCGACGTACCGTCGGTGGTCAGCGACGGGAAGGGGGCGGCGCATTGGGCCAGCTGGAGGTCCTTGGCGCTCTTCGTCGCGGGGAAGCTACGAGAGGATGTCAGCCGACCTGTCTCTGGACGTCAGCTGAGACGCGAATCACCTTGCAGGCTTTCCGACGGCGGGTTTCGGGACGGGTACGACGCTGGAGCAGTCGATCAGCTGCTCACGGCGGGATCCGAGGACAGCCAGTTTGCCCATCGCGAGCTTGAAGCTTTCCGACATGAACTCCTGCTCATCTGGCGGTCGAAGGCAGTCAGCTCTGTTCTGGACACTCGGCTGATATGGGGGTGCTCACTGACGAAGCCCTGCCAGAAGCAGGCGGTGCGAGGGTCGCGGGCGAGAGCGAAGTCGGACTGGAGACGCAGCTCGCCGGTGTCGTTTCCGCTGTGGATCGGGAGGGGAGACGCGACCTCGCCGCTGTTGTTGCCCAGGCCGGGGAAGCCGGTGCCCTTGAGCAGGACTTCGAGGAAGATCTGTGTGTCGAAAGTGAAGGGTGTCGAGTCGAAGGGGGCCGCATCCAAGGTCGGATCGACGTGGTCCGCGCGTGCTACGGTGTGGCTGGCGAGGAGCGAGATGACTTCGAAGGGGCTGAAGTTGCCCGCGTCGGCGAAGCGGGCCAAGATCTTGTCCACCGAGTCGGAGGGTTCCTGCGGCCGAGCTGATGAGTGTCTCTGGTGGACTGCACACGGAAGGGAAATGTACCGGAATGAGCCCATCTACGGCAGGAGCCACGGCATCCTTCCGTCCGGCCAGGAACTCGAGCCGGGGCGCACCCTGCGATCAAATGAGCGATTGTCGAGATCATGCTTTTTACATACCGGGCAGTTCGAGACAGCCACTGCACCAGCGAACTGGATGAGATCTCCCGCGGAGACATTGTGGCGGGCAAGGATCGGGAGCAGATTGTTCACGCTGTCGTCGATACCGTTGTTTGCCTCAAAGTTGGGTTCGATCTGTCCAAAGATAGATAACGTGAGATGAGTATCCTCGAACAACAATTGTATTTTGACGCACTGTTGGGAACAGGAGCATGCTGCCGTCGGCTCCGCCTCCGCTGTTGGCGGTCAGCATACAAATCCGAGGCAGACAAGAATGTTTGAACAGACGCGGTAGGTCCCTGAGACTGACTGATCGCAATCGCATCGTCTGGCAAAAAAACTTATAAGAAACGTGCAGGATGAGTAAGAACAAGTCGATGCGTACGGAAGGTGAGACGGAGAGCCTCGTGCGCATCTTCACCGCAGAGGTTCTGGAAAATGTTCGCTTGGAGATCCTGTGCGACCTGGAATTGCAGCGAATCAGTTTCAGTTGGCGATCCGGATGAGTTGAGACAAGCAAAATGGTGGTTGTACTTACAGGGATGAAAGCGCAGCAGGTGCTGTGCGACACGCGAGTGCCATCGGGACAAAGCACCGTGTCTGTGCTAGTGGGAGCAGCCGAGACGGTGACCGCGAGCGCCGCCAGCACGATGAGCGAGAGCGAGAAAGCCATTGTGCGACTGGAAGGACCGCAGAGGAGTGCTACCCGGAGGAGAACTTGGACTCTACTCGTCGTCTCCTGGGTGCTTTTATACGCACTGGCGATGGCACGAATTACTCAGACCGCGAGGGTGCCGGGTTAATTTGGGTGCAAGTTCAGATCGGCTGCCCAGAGGCCCGAGCCGCAAGCGGAACCGACATAACGGATTAATCCGGCTACTCAAGACGCGTTCTGTTCCAGGAGAAACCAGAGCAAGGGATACGAGCTCAACAAAACGATCATCGAATCAGGACGTGAGCCGGTTCTTCGATTCCATGATCGGATTTGGCGCGGGGAGACAGATATGAGGATAATGCTTAGCAACTGTAAATGACTAGACGTGCGTTGGATGCTCTAAAACACGCTTACCTGAGCATGGTTCAGTCCACGTGGCGATAATTGGACGGATCATGGGCCAAAAGTGCTCGGATGAGAGAATACGCCCACAGAGCGTCGTTGAGCTCAGACCAAGCGTATACCAAGCCTTTCTCAGTGTTGTACCTAGCAGTAAGCCGGAGATCGGGTGGATTGTAGCGTGGGCAAATTTTTTGCGACCGTGTCAAAGAGCTGATCGAGACATGTGCTGCTGTCTGATAGAGAGATGGCATTGAATCCGCGCTCAGGGCGTTGGCTGCGGCACTGACGTATCTTCGAGTTGGAATTGGTCTCTCGGGGCCGGTGGCCTGAATTCACCGAAGTCCCCATTGGTCGAGTTACCACCGTTGTCCCGCGCCCTGCCCCGGGGGAAGCTCGTCGAGCGTTGCCGGTGACTAAAAACTCCCAAACCCGTGGGCAATGGGCCCTCGTCTCCAATTCCGAATTTGCCGGTCTGTTCTTACGCAACGCTGCATGAGGGTCGACTGAAATTTCACATAGAGCGCTGGATCTGGGACTTGCTGCGGTGTCGATATCCCGAAGTTCACCGATCTTAACACCGCATCGGTTGGTGAAGTGTTTCTAGTGATGGCGCAGCTGCGCTGGTTTGACATTGGGCTGCCGCCAAAGCATGCTTGCGCATGATTTGGCGTCTCACAAGGTTCGTGTCCGGATCCTGCCTCTTGGCTCGATGGCTGGAAGGTGGTGGGATCGATCCATTAAAGATCCATCAATTGTTTTCATCCCATCTCAGTCTTGATCCCCATACATTCAACATCCTTCATCATCACATCTTACGAGCTGAGCCTCGGCTGATTATTGTCGACAATGACAGAGGGGAATGCAGAGTAAATAAGTAGTATCAGCGTTCCAGAGTCCATCCAGAGCTGAAGACAGGCCCACACAGAAGACCACATACAAAAGAGCGGGTGGATGAATTTCGGGGGACGAATGAGAACAGTACTGCGAACAAAAACACGAGGAATACATGGAGCCGCAGATGCGCCGGCGGCAATTCTGAGTGAGATAGTATGACTAAAGAAAGAGTGTATGAGATAAGTGGTTCAAGCATATGATTATTCAATGAATGCAACGAGAGAGAAAGAGAGAGATCTGCTTCGAGCGCCGAACGTGGGGGAGGCTCACCTTAGCCCAACACTTCCCAGAATCACGTAGATTGGTTTCGTATTCTTGCTCTTCGAATCGATTTTTGGCAACTCAGCTTACCAAGAGTTCTCATCCATTCTCGCTCCCTCCCTCTCTTGCCGGGCCCAATAAACAACGACAAAGATCCGGACAACTCTGAACGATGTGTGTTGGTTCCTCCTGAGTGGCCGAAGCGCAATGCGTTGAGCCGGATACAGAAGGCACATCCAAGTCGAACCACCACCCCTGGTGTGCAGAGATACACGGCGTGTGTGATGAGTGCGAGAGCCCCCAGCCCAGCAAGAAGAGCGCGAGTCCCTAAGCGGATAGAGTGCGTAGTAATCCAACAGAAGACATGCCCTTGAAGTTTGAGCGAGGTAAAAGGGAGAAGGCCTAATGAGCCTTCGCGGATGGACAAGCATTTCTAGATCCACACCCACAACCCTCGTGGTCGGACCGCACTTGGAAAGTGGCTCTGGTGTGGGAAGGTGAAAAGGGAGAGGACACGCATGTAGATTACTCACAGATTCTCGGCGGCTCAGACATCCCATGCGAGTCTACCAGGCTTTGGCGGTCCTCTGTTTAAGCCGTTGTAGGAAGAGGGAGGTCACGAGAACAAAGAGGGAAAGAAAGGTCATGCGGAGGGAAATCTTTGGCAAGCTTTTCAAGTAGTCCGTTGAACAGTGCACTGCGTGCAATCGTTGAAGAAAGAGGAGTTGACGGCGTCAGTGGGAAAGCCAAGATGAAGACTTCACATCCGGGAGTGATGATCGAGTGTGGGAGATCATCAGTTGATGCGTGCGTCTCGGCCGATAAGGTCCGATTCGGCTTGCCCTCTACTCTCATTGTCTGGCCTTGTAGTTTCCAATGCACACTTTCCCGTTTATCCTCAAGATTTGGAGCACACTTGGGCCGCTGTACAGTAGCTCGTGAATCACGGCCTCCTTTGCCGACGGTAGAACCTCGACGCCGTACAATGGGAAAGAGGACGCCGCTCATTTGTCGCCAAGGAGTGCATTCCAGGGGCCGAATCTGCACACGCACAAAGGCGTGATGACCCTTCCTTTCGTCATGTCTGGCCACATGCGGCCGTCCAAGCCAAATGCGACTCGATGGAATACCGCGTCTCCGAGTGCATCTCACCTTTAATGCCCTGCATTGCTGGCCACGGCATGCGACCCTCCAGGGTGCACAGCTCCCAATCTATCCCTCTCTCATTCTCCGCACCCAAAAGCGGTCTAATCTTGGTGTGCCATGGCAACGTGAGCGTCTTCTCTCAACTGATGCCCGACGCTCAGCGCCGGAATAGGTCGTTAATGGCCATGCTGTGCCAGTTCATCGCGGTGGTACGACTCGTATTTGGGATTTACGAGGTGCTCAGCAATGTGCACCGTGAATTGCGCTACGGTTTTGGTTAGAATGTGCGATGGGGGAATGGTACAAAAGCTGGAGGAGCTGCGCTGAGAGTTCTTCAGGTCGAGCTCGCCAACTCAACCTACTCAGTCCCATCCAGTCTCCTCTTTCCCTCAGTCGAAATGCGCTTCCAATTCCTTACTGCACTCGTGCTAGCTGTCTTTGCTGTCAGCGCCGCAGCGGTGCGTTTTCAGTCGCCCCTCTCTCTGTGGACGCTGATCAAGGTAACAAGCAGGCACCTGCGCCGGCCGAAGGCGAGCTCTCCAAGAAGGGCTACAGCCAGCCCCAGAACGGCGGTGGCTACAACCAGGGCCAGAACGGGCAGGGCAACGGCTACGGCGGTGGAGGTAACAACAACCACAATGGCGGCGGCAGCGGATACGGAGGCGGCAAGGGCAACAACGGCGGATACGGCGGAGGCAAAGGCAACAACGGTGGATATCGTGGAGGCAAGGGCAACAATAACGGAGGGTATGGTGGAGGCAAGGGCAACAACAATGGCGGATACGGCGGAGGGAGCGGGAACAACGGTGGATACGGTGGGGATAAGAACCACAACGGCGGCGGCTACGGTGGAGGAAACAACAACAACAACCACGGCGGATATGGCGGGGGAAACAACAACCACAACGGCGGCTACGGTGGAGGCAACAACAACCACGGTGGATATGGTGGAGGTAACAACAACAACGGCGGCTATGGCGGAGGCAACAACAACGGCCACCACCAATCCGGTGGCTACGCGGTATGTTCTAATTCATCGTCGTCATCTCCTGCCGAAATCTCACTGAAACTCCCCAGCTGGCGAAGAAGAGCTACGGCGAGCGCCCTGGGAATGGCTATGGTCACGGCGAGAACCACGGGCACGAGCACGAGCACGGTGGCTACGGCGGCGAGCACCACAGCGGCGGCTACTATGCGGTGGGTGTCATCTCTGTCGCATACTTCCCCTACTGATCGCCGCACAGCTTGTGAAGAAAGGATATGGCCACGACAACGACTACGGCCACCACGAGCAGGAGCACGGCCACGGCTATGGCCACCAAGGACATGGATATGGCGGACACGGATACAACGTCAGTCATTTTCTCGGTCTAGTCTCCAATCCTCTGCCATGCTCATGATTGATTAGTACGCCTAAACAAAGCGAGTCATGGTCTGGAACCTATTCTTCGGCCGAAGTGACACTGTAATAACTCTTATACTTTTCCGCTCCCGGACAAGGAATCAGAAAACGTAAAAAACATAATCTGTACTACATCCCTGCAACGAATCGATCAAATGCTGTGCTATCCAGTCTCTACGAACTTTCCACCGAGGCGATCTTGGAAAAGACATCCCCACAGAAGATTGAACACTCGAGTAGATGTGGAAAGTCCCCAAGTCCTGCTTTCACAGCTTCTTGAAAGCTCTTATCTTCAAGGACCTGGATGAGCCATGAATTTTCAGATAGATGGGTACGCATCCAAGTCATGTCGTACCTCGACCAGCTTATCAAATGTCTCCCGATATAGTTCGTGGATACTTGACCGAGCAGATTGACAGCCCACATACCTCGGTTTCGAAGATCGCGACGAACATCTCGTCCTTGAGATCTCTATATCCAGCTGTGCGGATATGGCTCGTGACGTCGTCCTCCTTCTGGAACCACTTCTCACGACATCAAAACGATAAGCAGCCTGAAATAGAATCCACGTACCAGCGAATGCTGGAGAAGATTCTTCCGCGCGACCGAAACGTCCCGTAAAACCGCCTCCATAAAATCCTCGAGCTTGGCGTGGAATGCCGCCACGGACATGTCGGGGTGCGCTTTGAATATCCCAACGACATGCGTCCGCGAGTCGGCTTGCGGGATGTGAACCGTCGTGTGCATGTCCGCTGAGAATATGTTGCACTCAGTGAGTATGCCGGACTCGGACTGACTACGAGCAATCAGGGATTGGGCTTCAGGATCGTTGCCCACCGCGCCGCAGTGGTCCTTGCTCTACAATGCATTGAAGTTCCGCTGCAAATACAAGGCGTTTCCTGTCTCACGTGTGCCTGAGCGATGTGGATGACGAAGTCTTGCGGCTCGGGAAGCCCCAGTCCGGTGATGACTTCTCGCAAAGAATCATTCGGAACGATCTAGGAGCGCGTGCTGAGAATTCCTGCGTGGGTTCGAGGGTCAAGAGATACTCACGACTTCGAAGGTCTTCCAGCTCTCCTGGGCCACGGGTAACTTCGCCAGCGAGCTGGCGTAGTCATCCATTCGTTGTTCGAAGTCTGCCTTTGTCATTCCCGGTGGAACCTTGTAGATAGCGATCGCGGGGACGCCTTCGACCGTGGCTGAGATGGGCATGTTTCCTAGCTACCGCCCAGTATGAAACGGAGGACTCTTTATACTCAGCTATATTTCCAGATTGACAAATATGAGAAGCCATTTCCGTCTTTGAGCGCATTTTTTTTGCGGCCGAGGAACGGGTATGGTCTGGCGATGTCTTTTCAGCATTCGGAAACGAAAAGCTTGGAACATACGCAGGAACAAGAGAAGTATTTCGCCACATATCCATCATCCATGATCTCGGAACTCCCTGATTTGCGGGCGAAGTCTGGCGCACGATGTGGCATTTCGCTTGCGAAATTCCAGTCTCGCATCGTTATATTTGTGAGCAAGTTCGGGGCCGTGCAGCCAAGTGGGTGTAATGATCTCCTTCTTGTGACCCTGATTCAGAGAGAGGAGACCAGCGAAAGCGAGTTGCCTCGAATAAGCTCGAGAAGCGGCGGACTGGATGATGGGGACTGTGACGGGTGCATCAAGAACTTCTCGCGTCACACGAGCTGTCACACGTTATAACAAACAAGTAGGCGAGGTCAATCATGCCTGCACGCAACTGCAACGATAGGATGCACAACATCCGATGTCATTATCCACCTCTACATCCCCTCCTGTCACCACCGAAAGCTCTTACGCAGCTGTAGTCGACGATGGGACCCAACTTCTTCGGCTGCGACCTGTGCGCGTCGCCCATCCCAGCGGGATACCGCGAATGCAGTGTGGGGAGCTCGGGTACGGTGTTGATATGTATGCAGTGTGTGTGCAGGGGAGATGGATAGCCCGATAAGTGCTGCCCATGACGCCCGTCATAGGGTGCGTGTTTGGGGGTAGAGCGAGGGCGGCACACGACCAAGGATCGTGTCAGGTTTGAGTTTGAGGGCTTGGAACGTCCGGAAGGGGAGTACACACTGGCACGCAACCTTCAAATCCTCCTGACACGAACACTACTCCCGTTTGTTTGCCAACGTTTCCTGCGACTCCCGCCCTACCTGTGTCCGTCCCGCAGCAACTACCACCATCGCAGGAGCAGCAGCAGCGACAGCCCTCAATCCCTCCATCGAAGCGCGTATCAATGGCCCTCACACCGCTACCGTCGCGTAGTTCGATGTCCACGTCGATGGGACCTCCGTGCCAGGTGGATTGGGGCCAGGTGGATCCACATCGGGAAGGTCAGGGCCGAGAGGATCTGTTCCCAGGGGCTACAACCCCTCCTCTCCTCTCCTCCGCCACCTGTCTGCGGAGACACGTCGTCATGCGGGACCAGCTCCGGTACAAGCTGCACGGCAGCTGCACAAACACCTGGCGGCTTCACGGACTATGCCCCCTTCTTCACGCCTGGGATGAACGTCACCCCAGCCCCAGCGTATACGTACTTCATGAGTGCGATTCACATGGCGCTGGACCCACGCCGGACCGGTGCGCTGCAGCCTGAAGTGTTCTGTGACTTCCTGTAATGCAGTGGATTGAGGGGTACGTGGGACAGGAGAACACGTGGACCGCAAGTTTCGTAGCGACGGTCGGGACTATGATGGACTATGAAGGAGGCGGACGCGGCATTGGACCGGGAGTGTGATCTGCGGCGCGTCGAATACACGCTCCCGCCCCAGGCGCGGGAGCCGCATGGCCACCGGACGCGCCAACGCAGCAGATCCAAAGCATCAGGGGCGCACTTGCGCGTGCATTCACGCAGTCGGCGTCAGTGGGCAGATGCCGATGATCCCTCTGCTCGGGTTCATGAATGTCATGGCGTTGGAAATCCTCTGCGATCCGTCAATTCGTTGGGGTGTATTTGCACGGCTTGTCGAGAACCCCGTGCATCGCTTGAGCGGGCTGGTTGCTGCACGGGGCGAGCTGGCACAGCATGTTATCCCCATGAGGCGGATCCGCGGATGCTCGAGCGTGTCATTTAAGGTCCAGGCGTTTGCACAGGAAAGCGCACAGATCAATAGGCCGAAGAATAGATCTTGGGGAATTTGGAATCAATTTCATGTGTATGTGTATTGCATCGATTGCCACTCTCCATCTTTGGTCCTGGAGCGTGGTCTCTTTTTGATGATCCTTAATAATATGTTCCATTGGGCTGCAGGTGTTATCAGTACACCAAGGTGGACATGCTATCAGTCGATTCGTGCGAGGAGAGAAATAATTATAGACATGAGAACAGCCACCTGCGCTCACGTCTCTGCCACAAGACCATGTCCCACTCTCCCGCACACTCCTGTCGAGTGACATGCAGTCTTGCTGTGATACATAGAAATGTCGCAGAGTGCCCCATTGGTTTTGCCACACGCCGCAGATGTCGCGCTGCTTTCCAAGCAACTAAGTCATGTAGCTCACTCGCTAGTTGGTGTGTTAGATCAAAAGTGACCTAGGTGGCTGGGTGATATCACATTTTTCCGGTCCCTGCGCTGGTTTCCCGTTCCTTGGCGCACCTGCTCCCACGACTGCGTCAGCTGGCCAGAGTACCATGCGTAACGCCCCGGTCCAGGTCTGTCGCCGACGAGCCTCCTGGACAGAGCCTGGGTGTCCTGATCACGGCTTTGTCTCCTACTTGAGCCTTCCCACCAGCCTCTTGTTGACTGGCTGCAGCCCTGCTCCTGGGACCCATGTCTTACCGGAAGGACCGCATCGGCGTTCTCGCGCGACAAGTAGTGCCGGCACATCTCTCACAGGACGAGTTCGCTCAAAACGTGCATGCGGTGGTCAACGCGTGCTCAGATCTGCCCGAGTTCCAGAACAATATTCTTGAGCTGGATATCGTACAGACACGTCTTGCCCGCGGCCAAGGACCGATTGCTGATAGACGCATCATCCCAGGTCTTTCCGAACGATAGGAACGCCGCATCGGTGCAACAGTCAGGACTGCCTGGTCTCCAAAATGTCGTCTTGCTGCTTTTCCAGTGTCGGAGCAAGGAGAACTTCATTCAGGTGCGACTTACGCCAGTCTGTATGTGTCCCCAGCCCAGCGACTCAAGGGCCCGTTGCAGCTTCTATCTGATTCGAGAGTGCAAGCGACGTTCGCCAAAGCGGAGACCGACTTCCAGTTCCTCTCCACGCTCACGCTCTGCTCCGCCGACATCTTCGACCGCATCCCGCTCGCCAACCAGCCTGTCGAGGATACGCCGCGCGCAGGCGGACTCGCCCTGTTCCGTTTCGAGTCGGACGCCGCCGCGCAGGTGTACGTCAACCGTGTGACTGAGTTCGGGCAGTTCTTCCGCCTGCCGAGTGTGGTGCGGCTCGTGCGGGGGTACGCGACGGTGCGTGTGTCGACCGACCCGCGACGGGGGTGTGCGTGACGCTCATCGGGAGCTGATATCGGCAGTGGGTCGGGAACGAGGCGATGGCGCAGGACTTGCGCGAGCTCGGATTCAAGACGCTTGATCACGCGGTCGTGTCGATCGTCGAGTCTGAGGTGCGTCGCAGCCCTCGTGATGTTCCCTTCACCACGCCCGGCTGACAGGTTACACAGTCGTTTGACGTGTTTACGGAGGTGCGTGTGTGAGGGTCCATGCTATGCATACGTTCCTGATCTCGCTCGGCAGATCACACGCGAGGTTTCGTCAACTACGATGGTGTCGAGCGCATTGGAAAATGTCAAGCTGGCCGATGGAAGCTTCTCCTCGTCTGCCACGATTGTATCGAAGAAGAAGAGGGAGGGAAATTGAGATGTACATGACGCGCAGAACTGATCCTGCTGTCAGTAAAGATGTCGTCGTTTTCTGAAATAGTGTGCATGCACCTTAGGACTCAGACTGTCCGGTATTCAGGCATGATTAGAGACCGCTTGTTTCTGACGAATAGCAATCAAGTGTCCAAATGAGGGCGAAAGATGGGTGAGATAATGACGAGGCAACGATTTCTCCAGCAGCGCCCTTTTACGGACATCGCCAGCAGGGATCAGCCGTAACAGTAACCAGCGAGAGCCTCGGGAGAAAGCTGTCGAAATGCCGACACATGCCGACACAGCCTTCCAACGGTCCGATCGTATCCGATCAGATGACGTCACGATCACAATTTCCAATGAATGCGCTCTGTCGGAGCTTTAGAAAGTCCTGAGAACAGGACAGCGTAATGCCTGTGTCGACTTCGCTCCGACTTCGATCTCTCTCCGTGAAATTTCTTTGAACAGAGGCCCCGGAAGGATCGAGCGGAGCCGCGTGACGCGGAGATTTCATATCATCAGTCGCGGGAGGAGAGAGATCCATGACAGCTTTGATAGTGAGCATCGCGGCTTTATGCTTTTTCGCGGTTCCGGTCGGACCCTTCGAATCCAAGGCATGCGAGAGCCTGTGCATCGAAGACTCACAAAAATAAGCTGCCTCTACAGCACTAGATGGACAAAATGGGCAAGCCCCGTTTCAGGCACGTTGTCTCAAACCTTCCGTCTGAGTACATCCAACCCGAAGGGACGGAGCATCAGCCTTGAGCTGGACGACTTCCGACGGCAATGTGATTTTTCTCGGGATGAAACTGCAGCGGATGTGCATATTCATTGTGCACCCATCCCGCCACGTGCCGATACGCTGATAGGTGCTGGGAGGGATCTGACGCAGCTCCACTTTCTTCCGATCAATGCCCATAGGAGCGTTGTCCTCCCGCGCCGGGTCGCACCTCTATCGTTTCGCAGCTGTTAACATGAGGCCTTTGGGCTGCAATTGGGCTGCAAGAGGCACTATTGACTGATCTGGCGGGTAGAGATCGACTCTGCTGTGATGGGACTCACCCTCAACTTGGCCTCTTGATCCTGATTTAGCAACCCATCCTCACGCGAGAATTTGCGGATTGATGACAAACAAGAAAGCTGTAGGTATGAGTTCATTGAGGTTATGTCTTCCAAGCCGCGGGGGACTCCTGCCGGGCGATAGAGATGAATTGTGTATTGTGCACACGAGGCAGACAGACAGCTCTGGCTTGTTCAAAAACCTGTGTACCACTTGATTACCGAGCTCAGGGTGTTCGCACCGCATAGATTCGTCATCATGAGAGCCGAAGATGAAATACAGCTTCACAGACCAAATAAGTTTAAGCTTACCCTGTGAGGCAAGTCCGACCAGTCGGCCAAAGTGCCTCGAAGGAAATCATACCGCAAACTTTAAATAGTGACTGAGGACCACCTCAACAGCCCATGCCGGATCTGGATCGAATGTGCTTGGCATAAAAAACGCGTTGAAGGACAGAGGGCCCTGCACCCACATCTCGTCAGTTCACAGACCTTTCGTTCTACAATTCCTTTCCATGCATCCGCAATCGAATTTCCCGTCTACAAACGAAGAAACATCCGCAACGCGAAATCCGAAGGCCTGCCAAAATTGCCGGGCTCGAAAGATCAAAGTGTGTATTTCCAACCGCCGTGTACGGTCGATACACCCACCACTCGTGGCTGACTTCGAACCAGTGTCTCCCGACCGATGCATGTCGTGCTTGGCCATGTGAAAGGTGTACGAGGAAGAAATTTGAATGTCGATACGAATCGATCCAGGGGAACGTCTCCGCCCTCCAAACAATCCCGGATGGCAAGAACACAATCCAGTTCGACACCACAGCGCCGCCGAGGCGCGAATCCAACGTTGCTTCAACGCGGCCGCCGGGGAGGTCGAGGGCAACAGAGCAGTGTGATGTCCACAACCAACCCGGATCGTACGCCGGCGCGGATCCTCATGGGGTGTACGGCGCGCAACACGCCGCCTACAACGGGCGGGCGGGACCATCTGGGCCGATGGCCGGCGTCACACAGTCCCGCTGGCCCGTGCAGGGTAACACAAACCCTCAGGCTGCGCGATATCCTGTGTACGCGGAGCATGCTGGACAGGACCATCACACGCAAATGGGCGGCCATCTCGCGCCACGTCAATATGCGACGCCGGGCCAAGGTTATCATGATGGTCATGTGGCATACCCGACCTCCGCTTCGTACTGGCAGCCTGCCCAGGGTCAGCAGCAGCAGCAGCAACAGAATGGTGGCGATAGCGCTTACTCATACAAGCGCTGATCGAGAAGCGCTGAATTTTGTCCATCCAGAAATATATAAGGATAGGTAGTAACATCACATCGTCTTAATGCATAACCCAGCTCCAACTCGAGTGAAGTCGACGCCAACGCGCGTGTTTAGTAATCACGTGATCGCGTTCAAAGACATGCAAGGCTCGGTCGATCAGGCTGGCGGTCAGTCGCCGATTCCTCCGCATCCCTTGAAGACAGCGAGAAATCGGGAGACTGTGAATTGGAAGTAAAGGTATTGCAAAAGCTGTGGAGAGACAGCAGGATCAGTGCTGTACACCCTCCAGGCGGTATCATGACTCTGCAAAGGTTAAGTGTTGCGCCGACTTGAGTTGAGCACCAGGCGAGATTCCCGCTCAGTCCGGGATATCGATGATTTGGAGCCTTGAGAACGGTGCAGTCGACTGACTGCCACAGGCTGCGCGACCGAATCCGGCAAGTTCGCGGCTGACGCGGGTCTACAGCGTCGCAGTCCTGTCTGACGACTGGTGAAGGAGGGGGGAGACCCCGAGATGTTTCTGCCGCGCTGTTTTCTTATCGTGAGAATGTTATGAGACTGGATGGGGTGTTGCAAGACGGGGAGTCTACATCCATCCCATTGCACGCTGGGCGACGATTCCGAGGTGCCACTCGACCGCTTATCTCTGGCTGGCTTCGACCGTATCAGGACGCGCACGAGCAGGTCCTGCCGCTCCTCCCCCCGCTGCAAAGACTCCGTATCGAACGAAAGGTGGCAGCATGTTGATTGGATCGAGACATGCGGGCAGGCCGCCGAAACGACCAGTCCACACTGCGGCCTCCGGCCCCTTCTATTTTCCATTTGCAGGCATATCGTTTCTGGCCCAACCCAATCCTACGCACCCACACCGCGCGCGCAGCACACGAAAGATGGTAATCCACTCCCCATGCAGCAAGAAAAGAAAAGAAAAAGGTCACCGGAGCGGTCATCGTGAATGGAGGTGCGCGGGTCTCGTTGAAGCCGGGACCGGGGACGTGCGCGGAGCGCGAATCGTGGAACGCCCAGCGGCGGCTGACATCGCAGGGTTCTGGAACTAATCACGAGGGGGGTAGTGTGTCGGTTTCGGGCGCCTGCGGGGTCAATAGAGTGCAGAGTAGCGACGCTGGGAGCGCTTGCGATAACCACTGGGCAGCATCGGGAGCTGTTGCTCTCATTCTTCGCGTTCCCGGTCAGAAACGAAAGATTTACGGGATGAAATGGGACGACGGACAGCCAGCTCATCAGCAGTGGTGAGTAGATAAAAAATCTGGTTAAAGCCGATATGTCCGATCGCCGCCGGGCCAATCACATCTGTGATGGATTGATCTGAGAGCACTTCGCAAGACCGCTCCGCAGTTTTTCTTGCCGGCAGCTGGATCCAGTGACTGGCCCTCTCCTTCGCACGGACGGCATCCATGGCCTCAAAAGTCGCATTTCGCATGCGCGGAGAGGGAACGAGAAGGTATCTGAACCTTGTTCACCCGCATTTACTCATGATCCTTCTCACGGGGGACGTTCCGCGACGATACATACGGATCTCCAGCTTCCTTGAATCGACGCTGCTCGGGTCGACGTTTGCGCATATGGTGGCGCCGTCTGCTCCATCACGGGTGCATGCTCGATCTTCTGAGCGGGTGATACATAGCTGTTATGGTTATTTATGCGCCCTCACATGTCCGCCAAGGCTCCGCACCCCATCGCTATTGGACCTCAAACTCCCTATGAACTCCTGTGGCGTCTCTTGAAGCAGTCCCGGCAGGTTCATCACCCCCCCTCGCCGCGCTGGAATCTTCGGAGTGGTGCCAGTCGATGATGGCTCTCACGTCGAGCGAGTGGAGCACCGTGTGAACGCCTCCGTTTGCTTTCCCTACGACGATCTTGACGGAGTCTCTCCTCTGCTTCTAGATAAGCGGATCAAGCACATGAAAATCCTCCTGCATCCCGGGTAAACGGACCCGGAAAGTACTACGCCTTCTCTCGCAAGTCAGGTCACACATCCCCGCTTCCGCAATCCGGTGTTGCCACCAAGCATCGGAATCAAATCAGTGGCAACTGCATCCCGCACGCCCATCTTCCAAAGTTCCGCCAGCTGACTGGGAGGGGGCACCCCCCTTGCTTGCTGGCGTGCAGCTGGAACGCTTCGGGAGAGTATCAGAATTCTGCCTGTACAACATTGATATCGGATGTCACGCGTCGTGCGCACCAGTTGTGCATATGTTGTTCTGCCGTATCCTGAATGGGACTGCTGCGTCTATTAAGGCGAGTTTCATCTGAACTGGGAACTTTCGGACGCCCCGCCCCCCAACCACCCAACCGCCAAGGACTTGGACTTCCAGCCCTCTGTTTATCTCAGGCCAATGACGCCAGACGAGAGCTCCGTTGTGCATTCGATCGGGCAAGACCTGGTGCAGGGATTCGTCGCCATCGCCCACGAGACGCTTTGGCTAGGTGCGGCCCCTCTCCGTCCTCCATGCACCGCGGGCTGCCAGCCTCACATCCTGGATTATTCACTGCAGGCATCTACGGCACGGTGGTGGTCCAAGCCTGTCTCGTGCTTCTGTAAGCCCGCCCGAATCAGTCCGAGGGGGCATATCGGAATCGGAATCTGATGCTGATTGATGTTTGTTTCACCCAGCTCGAAGAAACGCCGCGGCGTGCGCGGGTCGCAGGTGAACCTCGCGGCGGTCATCGCGATGTTCGCCATTGCGACCGTGCAGTGGGCGCTCGACCTCGCCGGCTTCATCATCGAGGGCAAGATGACGCTCATCGAGAATCCGGACGCCGACATCGGCGTCAAGTACGGCGATGCCTCGGGCGTCATCTTCAAGATCGTCGCTGCTCAGGCGGCGATCTATGGGTATATGGTTGGTGTGAGGAGGATGTGGGCTTGAAGGCTTTACTCACGTATGGGACAGGCGTTGCTCGGGGATGCGATCATCATCCACCGCGCGTGGAAGCTCAAGGCAACCCACCATGTCTGGATATTCGCTGTCCCCTGTCTTCTATGGCTCGGCTCTGTCGGTAGGAATCCTCCTGCCCTCTAATCTAACCACGAATCTAAAGACGGAAACAGTCGCGACGTTGCTACTCACCTACTGCGTCGCCACAATCGGCTCCGATATCGTCCTGGGCAACTTCACACACCCCGCGTTTTGCAGGAACGTCCAGCTGGTGACGTACGTGATGCCCTGTGCCACGACGGCCGTCGCGACGGCGCTGATTGGGGCCATGGCGTTGTGAGTTGGACGAGATGCAGAGTATGATCTATCGCTGATTCCGCCTCAGGAAATTCGCGCGGACGAGGAAGAGCATCGGTCATGTCGACCGAGTCAGCAGCGTCGGGACAGTACACAAGAGCCCGGCGTGGTATGTTCTGCTGCTCCTGGTCGAATCGGGCGTCCTTTATTTTTTATTCTTCGTAAGCGCTTCACGTGATGTTCGATATGAGGGAACGTTTCTCACGACGACGACAACAACAGCTCATTCAAGTGATCGAAGTTGCTCCGGTCGTGCACAACTGGCTCGCTGCAAATGCGGGCCTGTCACTCGCTTTCAAGATGTTCGTGTACGCGTCGAGCGTGTTTATCGTGAGTGGCCAATCCTCCCCGTGCCCCGAATACCCACCGATCGCAACCAACCCGCAGGGCATCTACCCGACAATCCTCATCGTCCTCGCGCACTCCCGATACGCTGTGCTCGACCAAGTGGCCGCGAAAACATCGTCCTCTGCATACAGCTACGACACAGCGCGCCCTGTCCAGCACTCGATTGCGCCGCATTTCTCCGCGGGAACCGTGCAGGACATATCGACGTTCCATGTCCAGGTGCGGGGCCGCGAGGAGGGCATCGAGCTCGCGGACGTCGTTCGCGGGGACGAGAAAACGGACGCGAAGAATGGCCACAGGGAGTATTGAGTGCGTGTTATGTAGGATTGTTATGTATGTAAATGTGTCTGTATTTAAGTATCTGTCGGGAATTGAATTGCGGGGCGGAGTTTGAATTTGTTGATGGTACACGGCTTCCATACACTGCTCCCCACGCTCACGTACATATATCTACGCTTCGTTCAATCTACGCGCAACATCGCATGAAGCAGTCTATTGTACCCTGTGGATCCTCGATCATGAACTGCATGCTGGTGAGCGCTGTCGCGTCGAAGCACAAAGAACACAGATGACCTACAAAATGGTTGGCGCCCTCGACCATCTTGAATGTGATCGAACATTCTGGCTTCGCCTCGGCAAGCATTCGCTCCTCCAGCTTCCAAGAGGCGTAAATCGTGGTCCAAGAATCCGCGGAACTAGACAACACGAAGAACCTTGTGTCCTTCAACAGCTCGCCACGCACGTGCACGTCAAACAACGTTTTGTCAACCAACTTTGCGGCTACGCCACTGAAAGACGAGGAGATAAGGGTGGCGTCGTACTTGAAGCCCGCAGCAAAATCAGTCAAGTGGTTCATTGGAATCCGAGCAGTCGTAGGTAGGCGGTGGGGGTCCGTACGGTCGTATGTCAGAGCACATGCGTCGCGTGTTGATAGATCTCCGTGCACGAAGAAGCTTGAGACCCAACGCGAGAAAAAGGTTCCCAACTCATTGGCGGGAATATGAGGATCGTTTTGAGGGATATATAACCCTTGCGGATCTGCTACGCCAAAAATAACGCTTGGGCTCTCTAAAAAAACCGCAGTCAGCTGGTCTGCGGGGTCCCCGTCGAAAGGCTCACGGAAAAGGATCATACTGCGCACCGACCTCGTGAGAGTCCCACGCGCGTCTTGCGGTAATGTTTCTATGGATGCCACAAGCGACAGCACTTGGAGAGATCCGAGAGACCATTCCACCACCGCAACGTAGGCCGGGAGGGAGAGCGAGGTAATCAATTCAGCAATCAGCAGCGCCAGATCCCGCCCCATATCCGCCAGCAGCCGCTCCTTGTCATCCTCGTTTCCGCTAACGAATAGAGCCAGCTCCTCCGCCGAGTAAGGCGTCGTGCCTGGGTAACCACGGCGATTGATGGCGATGACGCGGACCCCGTTCGAAGGGCCGATCGCCGCAAGCGAAGCAAATGTTCCTGACCCGCCAACCCGTCTGAGCACCAGAAGTCGCGAGATCCTCGGCCATGTCCTTACCGTTGTGGAAAATGATCCCATGCAGGAGGATGAGCGTCACATAGTCCGTCTGTTGGTTCCGGGGTGCTCCACTGTCCGTGTAGCTGAAACTCACCCCGGTCCGCAGACTGAACGAAGGCATTCTTGCAGCCCTCCAGTCGGCTTCGGGGTTTATAAGCACTTCCCAATGACATGTGAATCAGCGGCCATATTCTGCTGAGAAGTAGAATGGATCGTCGGAATGAGACCAGACTTATTACATGGGCGCGGCAAAGGGGCATGTCCCGCCAAGCGGAGTTTGAATTTCGCTTGGCGGGCTTTTGATGGCGGGCATGGGCATGGGCATGGCTTGTGCCCAACTTTTTGAACCTTAACACATTGTTTGGTGTCGGACGGACGCTGCGGACATCGCACTGTCGCCGCGTAGATCAATCTGCGATCGGTCGAGCCCAGATCGGCACCGGTGGTGATGTAAGGCTTCCCACGCTAATAAACCTTCTTTGTTGCCGTCGGTGGCCTCAGAGTAAGGACAATAGACTAGTATGAGCTATTCTACGCGACAATGAACAATACAACGACTTAGTTCCTCCTAGTACCACGCCCTGCCCTCCCTTTTCTCTTCGTCACTGTCGTCTCTGTTGTCTTCACTTGACGCGGTCTCTTTGCCTTTTTTGCTGGCTGCGCTTGCTCTGCGCCAGCGCCCGAGTCGCTCTCGTTGTCCTGCGCGCGTGCCGCTGCATTCCGAGCTCTGGGCTTTGGTCTTGGCCTCGGTTTTTGTTCCCCAACCTGTTCTTCGTCCCTTGCGTCGCCGCGAGGCAGCGCCACAGGAATTGGATGGACAGGAGCTTGTCTGATCGCATCAAGCGATCAGGCATGCCATCACGCAAACGGGCATGCGCTCGATTCTGTGCACTGCACGGGCTTATTGGCCGGTCAGGGAGTCATATTGACTACATACAGTGTCTTAGGAGCTCAAATCACGGTGGCAGGGCAACATATAAGCTCGGAATTTAAGCAACCAAAGGTGCGGACGCATGCCCGTTTGTCGGATGGGATCAATTTGAACTTCGAGCCCCACAAGTACACAATGTAGCCGTGTGCATTGAGCGATGAATATGTAGGTGTGAGTTTTTGTCCTTCATTCATAAAATGGCCAGCATACAACCTGAATAGCCTCGAGCTGTGGGTCAGTAAAGGTTGCCATGGTTTAACTTCTTGTTCAAAAAGATATATTTCGTTGATATTTCGGATAACAGTGGCAAAGGGAGGTTTCTAATGCTCAGAAATGGATGTGTGATTTAATTGGGACTGTTCTAGACGCTCTGGGCTGATACAGCGGATGGAAATAATGGGTCATCACTATCATCAACTGCGTAGAGGAAAGCTGAGCGGGGAGGTCGATCACATCTCCGTAGAGCCCCGTAGAACGATCACTAGTAGAAAAGCCCACGGGCTTTCATCTCTGAGTCCAGTTATCACACTTGTACGCGTCTGATCTGCTGAAACCCAGCATTGAGGCAGTGTCAGTAACGTACCATGTGGCAGATTTGGTGACAAGGCATTGGGAAGAACACAGGTAGGTTAGGTATGATCTAATACGGCCGGGGAGGAGGCCTACAATGATTAAATACAATTTATATATGGCCTGAGGCATGCCCAAATGTTGGCTTGGCATGCCCGCAAACGGGCATGCATGCCTGATCGCATCAAATTCAAGCCAAACCTGTCAAATGCCCATCAAAAGCCCGTTTGCGCAGGGCCATGCCCGTTTGGCATGCCCAAAACGTCGGTCTCGAATGAGACGAGGCCCCCAGTGACTCTGGCGTATATTCTTACTCCGCCGTGCGGTAATGAATTCTGGTCATAGCTCCCTTGAGGGCCTGATTTACCTTCAGCTTCGCAGCGGATCGGAACTTTGTCACCCATGACCTTACTGGATTTGTATTTCCTGAGAATGTTTTGGGGGACTTCGAGTTTTTCTCTGGGTGGCCTATGAAATCACATAGATTCGAGGAAGTGCTGGTGGGGTCTAGAATTGAACTCCCAGCATCATTTCTTGACAGAAAGTTATTCGGCTTTACTCCATGCCCACTACCCCTGCGGTCATCATCCTCTTTTTAATCTACGAAGGCAGCGGACATTCGTCATTCTGGCTGCAGTTTTATCCTATTCCGGAGGGTCATTTGTCGGAGAACTGCGTGACGAATTCAGGCTGTATCTTCGTAATTGACGAAGCGGATTGCAGTCGACGTCTAGCGGTGGCCTCCAATACACCGCTTACGCAGAGAGAGCTCTCAGATCCAGTGCCAAAGTGCCAGATTCTCACTGCCCAAAGCCATGATCCGCCTGTGTCCCGGAATTGAAGACTTCTGAGCCCCTATCCCTTGTCATGAGAAATGACTAATCTTTGGGTGAGAAGCACGCCCCCTTGGATGGTTCAACTTCTCACAGAGCCTCAAGTGTGAAGTTTTTTCTTGTAGTTTTTTCAAATCGTTCTGAGTCCATCCGAGACCCAATGGTTGGGTCGTAAATCATGTATGTTGCTTGTTTTGGAGATGTCTCTGCTTGCCCTCTGTCAACTGGGTCAACTGGGTGTCAGGGGTGTTGGAAACTGTAAGACTTGTTGAACTTGTTGAACTTTCATTGAACCCTCCAAATACCAACACCCTTCCGCTTGTAAATCTGAACGATGGCTCGCCAATGTGCTTCAAAGCATATGGAATCTCTTCACTTTGTTGGTAGGCTGTAAGATATTTGTAGAGCTTTCTCGAGTCACTAGGGATCCGCCACAATCGATTCTTCTACCCCTGTGTTTTCCCCATTACAAAGATTGTGAAGCACTAACAGACTAATTCAACTACAGAATGACATCATTTTGAGCTAGATGCAGCAATCCTTGAAGCAGTCTATTGTACCCTGTGGATCCTCAATCATGAACTGTGTCCGGGTGAGAACTGCAACGTAGAAGCATGGGCACGAGTGACCGAGATGACATACAAAATGGTTTGCCCCTTCAACCATCTTGAATGTGATTGAGCATTCTGGCTTCGCCTCAGCAAGCATTCGCTCCTCCAGCTTCCAAGAGGCGTAAATCGTCGGCCATGAGTCAGCGGAACCAGCCACCACGAAAAACTGGGTATCTATCCACAGCTTCCCCCGCACGTGCACGTCAAACAACGATTTGTCAATCAACTTCGCTGTTACGCTACCGAAACCCTGCGAGATGAGGGCATCATCGTATTTGGAGCTCGCGGTGAAATCGATGAGATGCTCCATGGAGATACGGGCGGTTGTAGGTGGGCGGCGAGGGTCCGTGAGGTCGTACGTCAGCGCGCTTGGGTCATGCGCCGTGAGGTCGCCGTGTATGAAGAAGCTGGAGACCCAACGCGCGAAGAATGTTGACAATTCGTCGGAGGGAATATCAGGATCGCTGTGGGGGACGTGCAGTCCTTCCGGATGCGGAATGGCGAACACCATGGTCGGCCCCTCTGTCGAAGTCTTGATAAGATGGCTCTTCCGGCTCTGAATCGAGACCTCTCACGGAACAGAATCATGCTGCGAACAGAGCCGCGAAGAGTTCGACGTGCCTGTTCTGGTAGATGTTCTACGGATGCCACAATCGACAGCACTTGTAGACATCCGAGCGACCATCCCACCACCGCAACACGAGCAGGAAGGGAGAACGAGGCGACTAATCCAGCGATCAGCAGGGCCAGATCCCGCCCCATTTCCGCCAGCAGCCGCTCCTTATCCTCCTCGTGCCCATTGACGAACAAACTCATCTCTTCCGCCGAGTAGGGAGTCGTTCCCGGGTATCCACGGCGATTCACGGCGATGACGCGGACGCCGTTCGAAGGGCCGATCTCCGCAAGCGACGCAAATGTCCCTGGCGGAAGATGAATCTGATCAGCTCTACAGGCATAAGCAATGGCCTTGCCGTTGTGAAACATGATCCCGTGTAAGAGAATGAGCGTCACATAGCCCGTCTGTTTGTCCTGGGGTGCTCCACTGTCCGTGTAGCTAAAATCCACACCGTTCTCCAGAGTGAAGGAAGGCATTTGGCAACAGGTATTCAGTAAGCTTTAGGTTTATAAGCACTCGGGCTTCAATCGATATTTTTATCGACGGCGCAGATTACGTCGATGACCGGCACGAGCCCTTGGGGCATGATGAGCCCCCGGTACATAACTCAGGCATATTCACTCCGGAGCGGGAATCACTCATTTTCGGTCGCAATGCCACTCTTTTCCGGAGGACATACTTATGTCTCGGTCACGGGAGGACTGGGAAAGGATTAAAGCTAGGCCTTGGAATATGACGACGCGGATTCCAGCCGATGTATAGCGGTGGTCTCCAGTATTCCGTTTGTCCCTGGGAGGACTCTGACCCCAAGTGCCAGACTCCTACCATGCGAAGCCTTCGCCCACTGTGTTCCGGAGTTGAAGACTCGAAGCCCCTATCTCCTGTCATTGACAATGAGTCATTCATCGGTTAGCAGGCCGTTGATAAATTCCCGTTAGTCCTACTGTCATCGATACCCAGTTTCCAATTTCCTTCGCGTTTATTCAAGTTGTTTTGGGTGTCATCGAGGTCTATTCGGGAAGTAAATAACTGGATAAAATCAGGTTATTGCCCACCGTAGATGTCTTTCAGTCAACCCGGTGTGGAACGTGATGCGCACTGCGAAAACCTTTCAGGCCCATCAAAGCATATACAAAGAAAACAACACGATAAATAAGTCATGCTTCTGAGAATTTCTACAAGCGACAAGTTTGCTAGAAATTTTACTCAAATTTTCGCTCTTGATTTTTTCGCCCAAATATTACAGAGTCTCCCCACTTCATGGGATTAATCAATCCATCGATGAAGCCAGATTCAAAAATATTCCAAGTGAGTGACATATGGTTAGATTTATATATAACCTTATATATATACACATAAAAATGAAAAGGAAATCCGATAAATCAGCCACGGGAGACTTCCGACACAGCCACCCAGACGCTTTGCTGTCGACTGGCACCAGCTTTGGACGCTCAGGGAGCCACTTTGCCTCCAAAGATGCTTCCCGGCCCAAAGTCGGGGTTTCCACCCAAAGACCCGAAGATATCGCCGACGTAGTTTGTGGCCTTGACACCCGTCTGGAACCTCCCCTTCCACCCATTCAGAATCATCGCGATGACCTTCACACCCACGAGTCTGGCGTTCACGGTACTCAGCACGAACGCAGGCGCGGGGCCGAGCAGTGTGGCGACGCTATCCCCACCGGCCAGCGGGCGGTCGAAGTCCGACGCGGCGCGTAGCACGATGATGCGCGAAAAGTCGACGAGGCCGGCGAGGGAGCCGCGGAGGAGCGAGTTGAGCGTGGCGTTGTCCTCCTGCTGCGTGGAGCAGTACACGCCCGTCCCGTTCGTCCACACCGCCGTAGTGTTCGCGAACGCGTCGCCGAGGAGGTTCCCGCCCCAGAATGCGTCCGCCGTCGCGGTGTCGCACAGCACGACCCGGGGCCCGGCGGAGTTGATCGCTGCGAAGGCCGGCGCGGACTTGGCGTACGCCGCCCGCATCGCCTGCGAGTCCGCGCTGTCAGTCAGGTTCGCGGACTTGGCGGCGGCGAACGCGAGCTGCCGCAGGGGCTCGTTCAGCTCGAAGACCTCCGTGCCGTAGAGGATCGTCGGGTACTGCCCCGGCGCGGTCGTCCCCTGGCCGAAGTACCCCGTCGAGAACGACCCCGGGATCTGGCGTGCGTCGACCTCGAATTGGAGCCCGACGTGGACCGCGTACCGCGCGAGAGTTACAGACCCGATCGTGGCTACTTTCGGGTTGATGCCTGCGATACCGGAGATGAGGAAGTATGTTGACGTGAGATCGAATGCTGCCGGGGAGTTTACGAGGGTGCTGATAGAGCTGGCAGCGTTGATTTCGCCCTCCCCGGTAACGAGCTGGCAGATGCGCCCGTCCTGAGTGCAGTGGACCTGCGGGAAGAGAGGGGAGAGGCCCGGGACGGTGATGTTCTTGGCGAGCACATTGAAGTCCGGGATCCCGTACCATGCCTCGGCCTCATTGATAAACTGGGAAGGAGATGCGTCAGCTCTCGGTGGCCGACGGTAACAACACTGGACCGACCATATTGACGATGAGCACCTGCGGCTTGACTATCGCGGCTACGGCAGCCGTCCAGCAGAGCGCTGCGCTGGGGACGAGGAGGGACAGGACTCGCTTCATGGGTGCCTTGGGGGTGCCTTGGGATTGAGGAGATGCATGCCGGTGCAACCTCCTCAAGTATGCACCCCGGAAACCGATCAGCAGACGACACATGCGCACCATCCCTGGAGATCATCGTCTCGACGTCTGTGAGAGTGCAACGGCGGTTAAACGCTATGATAGCAATTGGTGATTCAGGCCCGCGGATGGAAGTGCAGCTGCCACAGGTTGCCACATCTGCCGTGCAGATCTGTCTCTCGTGCCTTCTTACTCATGCTTCCCCTTTCGCACGCAGGGACATCCTTGCATCTATTCGACACCGGCATCCGGAATCCAAAGCTGCCGGTTTCCATATCCCTAGCAGTATACTTCTCGGCCTGATCAGAAACTGCAGAAACGATGATGAAGGAAACGCAGCTGATTCCCACATCCTGGAAGACCAGGCTAACGAAGGGGGTCGACTAAATCCAGAGAGCATGAGGTCCTGACCGTGATAAATTGACGATCCGACGTACTTGGCATGGGTGCCTGGCGCAATGGCTAGCGTGTTTGGCTTCGATGCCTCATTCGTACACCAAAAGGTTGCAGGTTCGAGTCCTGCGGTGCTCGTTTTTGATCGGCCCTGTGCCTTCCCAGGTCCCTTGTGTCTTTGTAGGAGCATGTATTGTTCAGTCCCTATACCCCAGGAAAACATTCTCAGACTGCGTCTCCAGAATGATAGTTCGTTTCTCATCATTCATGGCTTAACTCGAAGCCGAAAGGATCAATGGGGACTGAGTGACATATTCACTTTTCAAGTTGACAGTATAATGTATCTGAGTTGCACTGCGTACAGGGATAGAATCACAGGAAGGGATCCCATAGTGACATGCGCGTTCAAATATTTGGCCAGATTTTAAATAAGTGAGATACTCTGCTGTCTTCTATGACCTGAAACATGGAACGGAAGCTCACCTGAAAGCTGCCCTGTAGGCCAACGGAAGTGAGCGAGCCAATAGGCAGGGGGACAGGGAGAAGGGTGTATTGAGCTATTGATAGGTCTTTGAATGCAGGGATCTCCAGCGGCGAGTCCGCAGGTTGGATCAGCTCAGCTTGAGAATCCACCAACCGTGAATTCTGAGAGTTCTTCTCTTCGTTCCCTCTCGTTCTCTTTCCTTCATCATCTTAGACTCACTTCCATTCAATATCAACGTGACAAACATTGTACGAAAAGCTCTCCGACTCCCGCAAATCAACTTACATCGGGATGTCTGGGAACACAACAACACGGCCAGTCTCATCCACAGCCAAACGAGTCGTGACATCAGAGCTGAAACAGTCGCTATTCTCGAACGGGTGCCCCCATTTGGTCCGGCCCCGGAACAGATCGTCGAGTTCTGGATGTTCAAGGATCTGATCAATCCGCTCATCAGGCGCAAGCCATTTTGCTGTGGGGGGAATCAACTGACCGCTTTGAGATCTTCGAGTGTCTGCACTTCCGTCAATTCTGAAATGCATTTCTGGTGTGTAATGCGCACGACGCACCTCTCCTTGTATTTCCGCAATCAGAAGGTGCTCCCGCTGCGGGAATCCAATCTCGGCGAGATGCCCATCAAGGTCGTCGTTCGGGGTCCACTTCACGCAGCCACAGCATCAGCACCAACAACCCAGCGAGACCGGTACAGCACGCACGATGACATGCTTCCGCAGATGCTTCTCCTGTTGCGGCATGCGGATCCACTCCTCGAAGCACGCGTCGAGGCTTGCGTTGTGCTCCTGCGGACATCAGCAAAACCGGAAACCCACTGCAGTCCGTCAGCGACCTTTGCAGTCCATCAGATTCTTCGAAATGCCAGATAGTGGCACATCGGGCATTTAGATCTGCACCTGGGAATATCTCAAACCTCCTAGTGTACATTCTTCGGGCCTGCCCGGTGAACTCTGATCTGCCTGGTGAACTCTGATCTGCCCGGTGAACTCTGATCACGCATGCAAGAACCTACATGCCAGATTGAATTGTGAAAGGACGGGACTTGCCTGTAGTCTTCACATCTGCAATGTAGATATTTACGTACGCGGTGCATTATAAATCGGTAGTTCTGGAACTGCAAATCGCAAGATCACAGTTCTTGGTCTGTCGACACATCCCTACATGCTCGCAGAATCTGTCATCGTTTGTGGGAGGTCACACCTCAGCTGCCACATTACATGCTGTATGGTCATTACTGTAGATATGCATGGTCTGATACATATGGAATAAAGGTTATAATGTGAACTATGACTCAGAAGACTGAGAGGCAGTGTCTTCCATCAAACGACGTCGTTTCGCGGCGCGGCGAGCCTCTATACTCGAAAAGTCATCCAAATCTGTGTCCTCGTCGTCGAACACATCCTTCTCAGCACGGTGACCAAAGACCTGACTGAGGAAGATTAGCCAGACCTCATAACGGACAAAGTATTTGACAAAACGTACTGATTGAACAACTCGATCGCTTTAGCTCCCTCGTCGCAATCCAGCAGCTTCATCACGTTCCAATAGAACTTAACTAGATCAAAAGAGTCGCTTTTGTCTAACGAAGACACGGATGAAAGAGCAAAACGAAGCTGAGATTCAGGGTTTCAGTAACGGGCAGTGAATGCAATGCAAAAACGTGCCTGCATAGCAACATATGCAACGTCCCGCGGGGTCAACGCTGTCACATTGTTGATTGCAGCATTTCCAGCCCGACCGCGATGAGCTCCAGGCGCCTTCAGTGCAACCGAAGGAGCCTGATAGATGTGCTTCGCTGTCTATAATTGAGAACCATCAGCTCTGTGCGGTGCGTATGACACAACACGTACCGCAGCAAGGACCGGTGGTGGACCTTCCAATAGCCCCTTCTCCGGATCATCGGGGTCGTAGATGGTATCAGGCCCATACATGAAATGAGGGATGTCCCCCTCCTTGACTCTCAGCGTGTTGTCACGAATGCGCTGAATGACGCTATGCATACAGAATAGCTTTGAGCGTCATTATGGGTCCATCCAAAAGAAGAACTCACCTGGGTGACGGTTCATACTTAGCAGGACAGAGGAGCGGTGCAATGTCAGGGTTATAGAAGCCACGATCTGATTTGTCACCCTGTGTCTCCATAATGGGCTTGGGCTTGCCAGGGCCATTGATGTAGTCGATGATGTGCACCTTGAGCGAGCGTGCATCGTCCCCTTTGCATTTTTTGGCAGCAATAGCCAGCTGAAGTTACGGCGTCGTCAGTCACAAACAGTAAAACAGCTGAAGAATAGCTCGTACCTTGTTACAATACTGCTTCCGGACTGAGACCTGACTCCCGAGCTGAATCATGTCCTCACGAAAGGTAGGCATTGCTTTGCATATAATGCGCCAGGTTTCCCAGTCACGTTGCTGTCTGAAAGTACATGAGTTTCGAGGTGTTCGTCAATAAGACTAGATTACATGGCACTGGTGAGCTTTGGAGTCCAGTCTGGATCGTCGTCAAGATTATCCTTGAGGTCCAGTCCGACTGCGAACTCCACAGCGTCAGCAATCGAAGGCACGGGACCAACAATGCGGGCGAGATTGCGACCATGAGACGCGACACTTGCGTTCTTGTTATCGTCACTGGGGCATGCTATTTAGCGCAGGTGGCAGAAATCGGTAAAAATCGGTAAAAAGTGAAGTCGGACGCACCCGGCCTTTTTTTGGGCTGTGCACGCCATTTGCTGATTAATCTTCTCGACTGCAGCCATCTCCTCAGGCGTGGGGGTCGACAGACGAACAGGAGCGCGGCGGGGCATGGTGTGGGTAGATGAGAAAGAGCATGTGCGGTGCAGCAGAGAGGTGATCAATTTTTCACTGTTTTGCCGACCACACATGTATGCTGACATGTCCGCATGACCATAGGGGCTAAACATTGTGGCCACTCGATTCAGGTACCAGCCCGAACTCCCGCATCCAATACAAAAGCCCCTAAGATATGAATACCGGTCATAGTAGATAATTGCAAATACAAAGTTCTTGTGCTTTTTCTGAGACAGGCTTTCATGAAACGGCTCCTCATTGCCCAAATCGTTCTCATCCTGCTCATGAGCTATGTCTGTCCTCCGCCTTGCACGTCCGTCTTCGATACCAGTGTAGGACTGTCTGTGCATCAGTCCCGCTGTCCAATATGGAGTGCAGAAGCTCCAGAGCTTGATGATCTTTTGGCCGAGCGAACAGCACGGAAGAGACGGAGGTTAGAAACCCGCCGGCAAGACCAGAGAGCTGCACGAAGCGCTGTGAGTACTGTTCCACCTGAGGCAAGTCCGTCTCAGGCAGGACGCCGTGACGTGTGCGGAGGAAGATTCTCGGGACAACACTGATGCATTCACAGACCATTTTACCCATGGGCAATGCCCCGACAGCATCTCCGGTATCGATCCTGGCCGCTGGTGCTGCAGGACCATTTCTGCCTCCGTCTCCAACGCCTCTGAGTCACAGCCCCTTGTCTCTGCCTCCCGAGCGAATTCCTCCACCTGAGCGATCCCTGCCACCTCCCGAACAACCCCCACCGCCTCCCGAACAGCCTCCGCCGCCTCCCGAGCAATTTTCGCCACCTCCCGAGGCATTTAGCCCACCTGGGCCATCTCCACCCCCTCCTGAGCAATCTCTGTTGCCACCCGACGCATCTCGACCGCCCGAGCCACCGCAAACCCTTTCTGGGGCACCTGCTTTGTTTGGCAATCGACCGCGGCGCATTCATCGACCAACGTGGAAGATTTTGGAGCGACTCCCGCCAACCGCGCCAAGATTCGAGGAGGACGAGCGCAGCATGGAGGACGAGCGCAGAACGGGCATGGCAGCTGCGGCAGATTCGGAAAGTGTCGGGCAGGAGCAGGTTGAGCCGCGTTCGAGTGAATATCACTGGGAGGGCATTAGAACGGTCAGGGACGATTTTGGAGTGTTTCGGGAATATCCCGCGCGACCAACTCACAATCCGGATCGCAATATCTCACTGGCAGACCAGTCAGACATTCCACCCCCAGCCGAGACAGTCGTGACTCATTCATCGAGTCGGATGTCTCCCTTGTCTGTCCCACCCGACCTCATATCGACTCAAGCAGCATCTTTGGGCCCTTTTCGAAACTCGACAGTCCTTGGGTTCATGCATTGGATGTGGACCGGGTCGGCTATGAAGTCGATTGCGGAATGCACCCGCTTGCTACGATTTCTCAAATCCGATGAGTTCAAGAAAGAGGACCTGATGGACCTGGATTTGAAGCGCGAGACAGCTCGATTCGACGAGCAGATTGGGCTTGGTGGGGTCAGCTCGAGAGTCGAGAGAGTGAGCCAGGTGCAGCAAGCGAGTAGCGGAGCAAAAGATGGGTGGTGCGAGGCAGCTGTCAAGATTGATGTCCCGGATGGTCGGAAACGTGGTCCGGATGCTCCGTTAGCGTCTTTCAGTGTCCCTGGCCTCCACTTCCGGAATCTCACACATACGCTGAGGGCTGTGATCCAGGACAAATCATCCCGACTTTTCCACTACACTCCTTTCAAGAAATTCTGGCAGCGTGATCCAGACTCCCCGGCTGAGCGGCTATATGATGAGATTTACACATCTGATGCGTATATTGAAGTGCACGAGAAGCTTCAACAACAAGTGGGCGAGCCTGGCTGTGATCTTGAGCGGGTCGTCCTTTCAATCATGCTCTGGTCGGATTCGACACATCTGGCAAACTTTGGCACTGCTGCGCTATGGCCAGTGTACCTCTTCTTTGGGAATCAGTCAAAATGGATTCGGGGCAAGCCGCGGGCGGGATGTAGCCATCACATTGCGTACATACCCAAGGTAAGCATTCTAGCATAGTCAGAATACTTGCTTAGCTAATTTGACTTGTTAGCTACCACCAGATTTTGCTGATTGGTTCTATGACCTCACAGGGAATGCTCCTTCGGCCGATCTTCTCACCCACTGTCGTCGAGAACTCATGCATGCAGTTTGGAAGCACATCCTTGATGATGATTTCCTTGCAGCCTGCGAGCATGGTATTGTGATCACATGTGCTGATGGAATTGAGCGCCGGTTCTACCCTCGCCTATTCACCTATTCAGCAGATTATCCTGAGAAGTGAGTCTCAGATTATTACTATTGCATTGTTTCTGATAACCATTCCAGGGTGCTCCTTGCAACAATCCGCAATCTTGGCTCTTGCCCATGTCCTCGATGCTTGATATCTAAAAGCAAGCTTGATCAACTTGGCACTGTCCATGATGAGAAGGCACGGACACAGTCTGAACGCATTGACTCTGAGGTCCGCCAGACATGGATCTCTAGGGCGCGGACTTGGATCTATCGCCAGGCCCTGAAAGTCAAGAGCAAACGAGTTGAAGGGCTGCTTTCTGGCCAGTCTTGGTGTCCAACAATTGTAAGTGTCACTCTTGTTTTCTTACATTGTTACTGACATGGCAATGCAGAATGCATTCACAAAGGCAGCTTCATACAGCTTTGGAATTTTCACAATGCTTGTGGTTGATTTCATGCACGAATTCGAACTTGGTGTTTGGAAAGCAGTGTTTACCCATCTCATACGCATTCTTGTTGCAGTTGGTGGTGATGCTGTCCACTCTTTGAATGATCGGTTTGTTGTATTCCATCCCTCATACACACAACTGTTGGCTGATTTTGAGGTAGATATCGTCAAGTACCAGCCTTTGGCCGAGGAACAATACGACATTTTCATGAAAATGTGTCAGCAATGAAGAAGCTGGCTGCTCGCAACTTTGAGGATCTACTTCAGGTGCGTACTATACTGGACATACTATCACAATCTCTAATAGTTCATCTGCAGTGTGCCATGCCTGCATTTGAGGGCCTGCTAGGTGAAGATGTGATGGATGATATTGTGCAAGACCTTCTCTTCACACTTGCGCTGTGGCATGGGTTGGCTAAACTCCGATTACACACTGATTCCACTCTGGCCCTTTTGAAGCAGACCACTCGTGAACTTGGCACACTGCTTCGCAAATTCAAGAACACTGTTTGTCAGCACTTTGTCACATTTGAACTGCCCAAGGAAGAGGCAGCTCGAGGCCAACGAAATGCACGGAAGGCTGAAGCTGCCAGAAAAGCAGGCAACACCACACCAAACCCCAAGGCCACCAGCAAAAAACAGAAGGAGTTCAACTTTCAGACTTACAAGGCTCATGCACTGGGTGACTATGTTCGCACAATCTCATTTTTTGGCACAGTTGATTCCTATTCTACTCAGACGGTATGTCAATCTATTCAGCTAGAACCACTCTTTGACTGAATTGTGGGCAAGGGCGAGCTTGAGCACAAGCGTGTGAAGAGCTACTATGCTCGGACTAATAAGAATGAAGCTGAGAAGCAGATCACCCAGCTGGAAAGGCGGGAGACAGAGCTGGACAAGATAATGCAACATCAACAAGCTTCACTTCTCCCAGTCATACCTCCTGTGACAGCAGGGCCACACCAGGACTCAGAGACAATGCAGCAGCCAGTAGTGTCCTCAAAGAAACGGAAAGCAGCCACTGGAACAGCTTTCAAAACACCTAGTCCACCACAACGGCTCCCCACACTAGCCTTTGCCGAGTCTGAATCACTTCCGTACACCGCTCCAGAAGCTCACCATCATATCTCTCTTCGGCGGGACTACCATCTTAATCTTGGCTCGTGGTTATATCAACACAGTGCCGACCCTGCTGTCAAGGTAAGTGAACTGTCACCAGCCACAAACTGTTGCTTAACTTGAAGATGTTACCGTTACGGTGACAGGATTTCAGACCCAAGCTTCATGAACATCTGCTTGCTCGGCTGGAGCATCCCATGTACTCTGGCAACGGTGATGAGTTCACGACAGAACAACGGAACAACATCATAATTGCTGATGAGCGACTCTACATTCACAAAGTACTGCGAGTCAACTACACCACTAGCGATGTCCGACGAGGTCAAGATTCGATGAATCCACGAGGGAATGCTGACATCATGATGTTATCATCCCAGCCAGAGGCAGTGGACGGAAACCGAAACGCTCACCCCTTCGAATATGCACGTATCATTGGGATCTTCCACTGCGAAGTTCGTTGGCGACTTGATGGCTATCTTGCTCCTGCGGTGCCTGTCGCATTTGTTTGGGTTCGTCGATTCGAGATTGACCTAACCTTCCGTGGGGGATTCAAGCGGAAACGGCTGCATCGTGTTCAGTTCATGCCAGATTCAGATCCTCGCACATACGGGTTTGTAGATCCTGATGAGATCATCCGGGCATCCCATCTCATCCCGGCGTTTGCACATGGGCCAACAGATAGAGTACCATATACAACCCTGGCACGCCGACCTGACGAGTTCAATGACTGGCGATATCACTATGTCAACTTGTCAGTCTGTTGGTCTGATACAGTGCATGCGTGTACTGACCATCCTGCCGCTGAGACAGCTTCTGTGATCGCGACATGATGATGCGCTACCTTGGTGGAGGTGTCGGTCATTACCATGTGGCAGTCCCAGACGCCGAGGCTGACAACAGTGTGAGAAACAATGTTGATGACATGGAGCTCGAGGACGAAGAAGATACCGATGCTGCAGATACCAGCCGCACCGTGACAGACTTAGCTCAGCAAGACCACGACTCAGAGGATGATGTCAGCCCTGACCGTGACTCAGACAGCGAGGAGGACCCTCCAGGCGACAAGAGCGATGTGGAAAGTGAGGGTGAAGACGCCGAGTTGTATGGTTCTGAAGACGGAGATGATGAGCCTGATGAAGATGAGTTGGGCCCAGAGGACGGCGAGGATGGGCACTTGCCACTGGATGAGGAAGCAGCACGGCTGGGATACAGTGAGCTGTAATGACGTACATGTGAGGCCGATCGCCGCAAAGTACACGCCTACCCGCTGGTGATACTACAGTCTTGAGTGATACCATTCCAAAGGTGGCCGCAACAGAAAGCATGCAACGAAAAACAGCCGCCTTGGTGACATTTCGACAGAGAGAACAGCAGCCCGGTGCGCAGTCGACGGAGAAGAAGCCAGGTAGTTGTTGATGCTGCCGAACGTGAAAGGCCCAGTCGAGCGCGGGCATGGCCGTCGAGGAGTTGCAGAGCACGAATATGCCAGATGACGGGCAGGCAGATGCCACGTCACCCACGTCAGGATTTGTCAGCCTGTATATTACAGGCACCGCCTTGTGGGTACCGCCGGCCCACACATGGTTGTCCCGGTTTTGCTGATGGATGCAGCCCGTGTGGGACCTTCATGAGCGCCATCGCCGTCGCGTGGGGGCTGCCGTCCTCGGGCGCAGGGCAGTGCAGCCGAATAGCCACGTCCGCCGAGAAGACCGATGCATGGGATTTGAAGCCGAACTGCGCGTCGGCTCCGGCGAAGAGCGGGACGAGGTCTGGGTGCGTGAGGACCTGTCTCGCTGTATCGGTGCCGAATGGACGGCAGCGTGTAAGATATCGCTCACTTTGACGTAATTCTCGACGCTGTCACACTCAATGAGGAGCACGGCTGTGGGGAAGGGATGTTCGAGTCCCACTTTCTTGTAGTGCTCGTCCAGGTACGTCGTCTGCAAGACCTACGCGAAGCGGTCATTCATACGATCAGAAAGAGCTGGCCGTTCGCACCAGTTCGACTTTCTTGAAGTTCTGCTGCACGAAAGGATGAATGACCAGGACGTCCACAAGCTGCTTCAGTGCCAAATCCAGAACGTGCTTGGGAACGTTCTCCGGAGCTCGATGAATTGAGACGATTCCGACGGTTGTAGTGGCTGCCATGAATGAAGCCTTGTTATTTGCAGGTCTCCTCTGAAGGGCTCTTTATAGCGACAAGTGAAGCGGATAGGCTGCGAAAACGCCCGCGAACTGTCTTCCGAGATTCAACAGAGGGAGCTCTGACTCCGATCGTGGTCATGTGTAAAGTCAACTTGACATTCAGCAGGCATTGACGCACTAGTTTTCAGGATCCCAACGGGGTCGTTGACTCCAAGAATTGAGGTTTTTATTTCTGTGACATTAGCTTTCGAATGCGCGCGCGCGCAGTAAGAGTTATCCGACAATTGATGATGGTAAAGTGGATCAATCTGCCATTCGAGTACAAATTCTGGTTTACCGAGATCAGAGAACACCGCAAGCGCTGTATGTATGCGCTGCACTTTCCAGGCGAGTCAGAATAGCTCACATTTGTGGCAGACGATGCGAGTGAATCGTCGCGTGTGTGTCGACTCTGATATCTCCGACGGATTTGAACTGCGTCAGACTCATACACTCGCTTCGTGCTCTATTCACCGTGCAGATATGACCCTACTTACAACACTATCTGCAAAGGTGGAATACGCGTTGGCGCTGTTCGAAACGGAGTTCAGACTTGTCTGTTCTCCCGATGTCAACCGCTCGTCTAAACTCCTCAAAAGTGACGAACCGTGTGCTGGGCTGTGCGGCCACGTGATCAAAGGCACCAACGTTTCCTCTGCCATACGCCTTAGTTCATCGAGCCCCGCGATGAGTTGAGATGCAAGGAGCAGGGATACGAATAAAAATCACGTTGCGAAAGCAGCAGCGGTGGAGCAACCGAGGTGAGGGGAAGGTAAACACTATGCCAAGTATAGCGGCTGGGTGATTTGACTGCATTTAGTTGCAATGGTCCCTTATTCGGTTCCAGGCATTGGGGTAATTTGACTGCTTGGAGTCAGAGCATAGACATGACTGCCTCATGGCATCGGGAATGGTATGTAGCAGCAGTAGCAACGTCGTGCCAGACGTGTCAGATTCACATATGCAGCGATTTTTGTTCTGCCCGGGGATCCCGGTGAAAGGCGCCGCTGCAGATGGCCACCACTCCCTTACACCCCCAGCACGTTTGCTGCCCGGTGAAACATCACCACCACCACCACCACCACATCCTAGCCAACGCGCCCATCCTCTTTCCATCCCCCCTCGTCCACCAGGTCGACTTCATCCGGCCGCAGTTCCCCCGACTCTCGAAACTAGCGCGTCGCAAAGTTCATGAGACCCCGCATGCACGAGTCTTCCAGTCCATACTCTACATGAGATCTACGTTTGGATGCATCGCGTCGCGTCTGGATCACGGATGGGAAGTGTGCTGAGTGCGGCTGCTCCAATTTCCTTTTCGGGTCTGCCAGGGGCTCGCGCATCGTACTCTCATCCAGCTCGAGAATACCATGGGCGTTGGCCGCCCACATGAGGCAGACTGCGCGACCGTCGTCAAAGATGGCCAACTGGGACCGAGCCAGAGGTCATCACGGGCGGTCCGCGCGCGTGACAACAGGAGTAAGTACGTCTTCTGCTCTTCCGTGGATTGCATTAGACGCTGATTGAATGCAGCCTGCGCGTCAAGCCTGATCCAAAGACACGGCGGCGGGTGGCGACCGACAGGACCGTCCGAGCCTCAGCGGCCAGACCCGAGCGTGCGGGGGCCATCGCAGCGCTTCGGGATAGAGCAGATGCATCGGACCACCGGTAGAGGCACAGGCACATTCACGGCGCGTCATTGCGGCGCTGATGTGATGTGCTGAGTGCGGGCGCGGGATGTGGGGTCGTTCTGGATCTCGGCTGGAATCGAGAAGCGACGGGACCGGGATCGGATGGCAGGGATCGCGCGGGCAGAGGTTTATGCAGCGATTCGGATTGGCCCTGATGCTCTCTCGGTGTCCGTCTGAGCCCTCCGTGCGCGGCGCTCGATTGACCAGACAGATCGATTCGCCGTGTGTGCAGTGCGCTTCGATCACTCCCTCCGTCTTTCGATCGAATCTGTCGACTGCACAGAAATGACGAACCATGCACGCCGTGGTCGTGCTGGGACGCAGCATACGCGGAGATGCTATCGGCGCCCTCTCATTTGACGTCCATTTGCCAGCGATTCCGGCATAACGAGGAGTCGGAGAGGAGCGGTCTGCCCCAAAGAGTGCAAGCGTTCTGGCGAGCCTCTCAGAAACACTCCGGGAGCCGACCGACACATGTCGCCTTCTCTTGGTCCTCGGCCACTGCCGCTGTCCAGGCTGTGCTACGCATCTGGGTGCGACGCGAGGAAGCAGCTCCATCAGCCAGACGCGGTATCGGCCTCGAGAGCTCCTAGTAGGCGGGTGTCCGGACACTCCGCGGCCGTAGTGCCAACGACGATCCTCAGCAAAGGACCCGTCAGGACCTCCTAACGGACGACGTCCGCATAGGCACGAGCTCCAGCAGACTCGCGGTCCATGCGTGTAGACACAGAGCCGGGTTATCCGTCATCTCTGCTTCCACGGCTTCCTCCCACGGGTATCAAGTCAGCTCGAGACTGCCCCGCGCCACGTTCGCCCATCAACAGCAGCGCATCCATCCGGTTCGACGGCTGCGCAACGAGACGCCCGCCCTGGTGGTTGTTGATTACAGAGACGAGCGCAGCGAGTTGGAAAAAATGGAGGCGAGAAAGATTGATAGTGTGGGTAATCAAGTTGAGCGTGCGATAACACTGCGTCTTGGGGATGAGGCGCAGGGCGAAGCTTCACAGAGAGTGCGCAAATGAGGCACCGCCACTCTGATGTCACGCGTCACATCTGCTGTGTCACCTTGAAGCTCCGCCCTGCGATCTGGCGCGGGATCGTGCCTGGAGGTGGAAGAACCACCTGAGGGAGAAGCCTCCTGGTTCACACCGCGGTCCCAATCAGTGTCCCACCCACAAACCTAATCATTCTTCGTACCTCACCGTGTCCGCCGTCGGCTCCTCTCAATGTCCTGTATCGATCTTCCCGCTGTGGCGGAAGAACCCACACAGCACCGACTCGCCGACTCATCGAGATCACTCGTAACATCGATCAAAAGACCCCCATTGGCGGCCGGCGTCAACTGATCTGGCTTCTCCTCTTCGTTCTCTGGCTATGCTGCTATGCCTCGTTTTTTGTCCCCCACTCGGGGATGCGATCTGGACAAGCCCAGTTTTCTTCGCCACTGCCGCAAAGGACGACGCGTTGGCGTTGGATCTCTGGTCTGGCCTCCTGGATTCGATGGAGCAAATGATGTGCTGGACCTCAAAAGTGATACACCCCCAAGTCGCGTGATTCTCATGACTCTCATCCGTATTTCTTCCTCACTCGTTTTTCTTGTCGCTCGATATCTGTGCCTGTGTAATAAGAACTAGCTGCTTCTCTGTTCGGCTCCTTGGAAGGATAAACTGCCAACTGCCAATCTCGACAGCAAGCGAACTAGCCTGGAGAGTTGCGAGTTGGGTGCTCTACCATTGAACTGCTCGCACCCAACTGCCACGACGGCCAAGTCCGACAACTCTCTCTCTCTCTCTCGCCCATCACCGTGCACATCCGCCCCATGTGGAAACCACCCGCGCTCCTTGTCGTGGCTGCTCGCGGCACTGCGTCCGGCGCTCAAGCCGTGCCCGGCCCAGCACCCATCGACGTCTCCGGCGCACACGCCTTCCACCCGCCCGTCCCAGGCGACTTCCGCGGCCCCTGTCCTGCGCTGAACGCCCTCGCGAACCACGGCTACATCCCGCGCAGCGGCTATGCCGGCGTGTCGCAGGCGATCAGCGCGTCATTCGACGGTGCGTCTGCGCTGCATCTGCGCTGTGGCCGTTCTCCGTCGATGCGCTTCGCTACATAGTGTTCGGGATGGGCCGCGAGATCGCGGTCGCGTCGGGCCTCTGGGGAGTCATATATAGAGGAGACCTAGCGGGGATTCCCGACTTCCGGTTCTCGATTGGGCAGCCGCCCGGATTCGGTGGTGTGTGCGCTCATTCGGGGCACAGTGTGTGAGCTGCTGTGAAATAACGCCGGCCGCTTCGTTCTGCAGGCCTGCGCGGGCTCGGAACGCCTGCGGGCCTCGATGGGACGCACAACCAGTTTGAGCACGATGCGTCCGCGACGCGGTGTGATCTGTACGAGTGGTGAGTAGATCCAAGTATGTGTCGATGTGCCGATCAAATGACGCGGCGGATCTAGTTTCGATGTCGCGAGCGTGAATACCACCGCATATCTGGCCTTGGAGGCGGTTTTCGCTCGGAATCCCGATCGCCGTGGCTATATTGATGCTGTTTTTGAGCATCTGGAGGCTCGGATCCAGCATGGTATCAAGAACAACCCCAAGTTCTTCTATGGACCAGTCCAAGCCGTCAGTCATCCACACGCGCGTGTGCTTCACGCAAGTCAGCTGGTCGTTCCTAGATCTTCGCTGCGGCGCAACACCTGCTCATCCCGCGACTGCTCTCGAACGGAACAACCGAGACGCTGACGATCGACAATCTTCGCTCCCTATTCGGCATTATCCCGGATGCGAGCGGAGCTCTCCAGCCGTCCCAGGGTGGAGAGCGGATCCCGGAGACTTGGTATCCCCGCGCGACACCGTACACCGCCGTTCCTCTTCTGCAGGCCCTCATCGTCGGCTGGACGCGGCACCCCAACACGCTGTGCATCGGCGGGAACACGAACGGGACGGACACATTCGCGCCGCTGGATCTGTGCGACCTCACGGGCGGTGTGTGCGACACGTCGCTGCTTCTGCAGGGCAGCAACGCCGCGTGTTTCCTCTTCCAGTTCGTGCAGCCGCTGATTCCGGGGAACATCAATCTGTTGGATGCTTTTTTGGCGGCGACGCTGGCGCAGATCGCGGATCTGCTGGGGCTGACGGTGTTGTCCCCAGCGTGTCCGGAGCTGGAGAATATCAAGTACGAGATGTTGGAGATGTATCCTGGATATAGTTCCTGATCGTAATGATTGATATAATTGAGTAACGACGTCATAGCGTTTGTTTTTCCGTTACACGCTGGGCCATTGGTCACCGGATCGAGGTAGACTGTCCTCGAGGCAAGCGGAAAATCTCACTCTTGAATCCAACGCTCGACATAGGGCCCTTATCGGTAGGCCCATGTCCCCAGTGAGGGTGGACCGAGCGCCAACTATTTATAACTGCCTGTGGAACTCCTGCAGACTCACCCTGCCTTTGAACAGCTATGCAAACCTTTGAGTGGTATCCGTTCCAATCTCCGACTTGTCTCCTAATAGAATGCTTACAGCTTGCGACAGCACACTTTATTATGTGATGCCATCGTTATCTTATCGCTGACAAAGCATCACGCTTCCCAGTGCCGTGAACACTATGCGATCGTTTTCCGGTGTGCTATCGCGCTTCAAGTTTTGAGGAAAGCGCTCATCTGGCTCTGATTCTACTCAATCTCCAGCAACAAGGAGGGAGAGACCTCCTGGTCCCATATTCCCGATGGAAGACAACGGAGCTAGCAGCACAAGCATCCGTGAGATTGCAATTATATAGCATTGGATTCGAATTATATACATGTAATATGCACAACTGGGAGGCATTTACAGCGCACAATTCGCCTCAATATTACGAAGAGGGGGGGCGTAGGTAGGTAGAGATACAACTGCCCGTGGGTCCGCAAAGAACGTCGGTGATAAGGTAGCAAGCAGCCAGCAGCAGCCAGCAGCAGCAGCAGCAGGGAATGCATGGAGTTGTCCATGATGATGAGCGAAGGTACAAGAAGTGGCACAGCACAGTGCAATGAACGAAGCGAACCGGGAAGAACGAAAGAAGGGGGGGTCGTTGATTATACTAAAGCCGCACGAGCGTCGCAGCGTAACTCGGCGAAAGGGGGGAACTGAGGCCTGCGCGCACGGCCATCTGCGTCAGTTGAGAGCGAAGCGCTCTTGCTTGGTCGCTGTTGACTATTCAAAGAGAGGACGACCGTGAGCACGGTCACGCTGGACACGGCGAGACCTACGTTTACAGGGCCACAGCGCGTTCAGCACTTCGACGACACCGAGCAAGTCCTTCCCCAGCTGCATCGCGCCGAGGAAGTGGGGGTCGTGCGTCAGGATCTGCAGGCACCTTCCCCGCGTATCAGCACAGAGCATGTCGCCATCGCGCCGGGGCTCACAGATGCAGTTGGTTCAGGAACCAGCTCACTTGAAATGGCCGCCGGGTCAGCGGGTAGCCCTGCGGGCCAGAGAGCTGGAATGTGGCGGATTTGACCAGGGTGATGACGCGGGACTGGTACTCGACTGCGCGCCCTTTCAGGACCGGTTAAGAGAACGAGAGGGGGAAACCGCGCACCCCATTCGGCCGTCTGGCTGCGATTGAATGGAGGATCACGGGAAAAGCCGTTCATCCTGTGCGATTTTTGAGACGGTTTGAGAGACACAAGTGACGGGATCGCTGACCTCCGGATTGCCCCAGCGACACTGGTTCGAATGCTGCACAGATCAAAGACCAGCCAAGAGACGAGACAGACATGGGCGCGCACTTGTGGATATACTCCTGACATAGATATGATATGCTCGTCTCCGAGTGGCAGCTGTGGGCCTCGAGTGAATCCTGGACAGCCAGTGTCTCGTTCCACGTCTCATGCAGCGCGTCCGCGTCGATGGGTGCCTGGGCAAGCAGACGGACGAGGAAATTCCATAATAGAAGACTCCTGCAGTAGAGCGCCCACGGAGACTCCTTCGAGCGGTCGGAGACTTCCCCCGGAAAGAGGAGAGCATACTTGACAGAAGAGCGTCAGTGTTCGATTGGGTTGACAACGCCAGAACAGCGCTTACGTTGGCGGGATTAGTCATTTCGAGCGCGGGCACCTCGCGATCGAACGCGACGCACTGCACGAGATAGCTGGTAGCCAGACTCAGTGCACTCCACGTGAGCCGCCGCGCACTCTCCTTCCACATGTCGGGCGGGCTCCACGTGGGATCCCACCGCAGAGCATGGTCGCTGGAGCACGCTGCCGCAGCCGACCCTGGAACGATCGGCACCGCGTTTTCGGCAAATTTCGCAGCGCCCCCCTCGCCGCTATCGACTGTGAAGGCCGAGATCGCGAGCAGCAGCTGGTCGAGCACCTGCAGGGCCGCCGCCACCCGATCGGGATGATACAGCGGGTGCGCGGAGGTTTCGTAGAGGACGAGGATCTGCCGCAGATGCCAGTCAGCACACACGGCGCGGGAATTAGCGATCAGCGCGGCTCACCAAGGCCGCTTCGGCTAGTGATGGGTCCAGCTTTCGGAATCGAGACTCTCAGCCGACGCAACCGCAGTCCACGCAGGCAGCCACGCACCGATTCTGCACGCGCGGACATCGCGAGCGCCAGCGCGGACTGCGCGTGATCGCGCAGACACCCCGCCCACCCGCGCCCGCCCGCCCCGCGCTCGACATCGCTCGCGCGCATCAGCTCCGCCAGCGCCAGCCCCGCCAACACGAACGCGGGCTGCATCTTGAGCCTGCTCTCGGGATGCCATAGATAGTCGATGTACACCGTTGCGTTGACGAAACACAGCCAGTGCCCTGCGTCGGCGAATCTGGGCGGTGGGTGAGTGGCTGCATGATGAGGGGAGCGGGAACGCACAAATAGCTGAGATCATCTACGATCTGATTCAGTCTAGAAGATGATTTCATCGACTGACAGACAAGCGAGCGGGGACGCACGGGTAGATATCGAGGAACTCGTTCCACCACCGTCGCTGGTCCCGCTCGAGGCCGGGCACGGAGGGAGCAGGCAGCTGGACCGACGGGGCCGGCGCGGAGGGTGATGGGAAGAAGGCGTGTGGCGCCGGCGCCGGCGACTGAGATCGCGGATCTCTGACACTGGACGACGTGCGACTCGAAGCTTGTCTGGGCGAGAACAGCTGCGACTGGCTCGAGAGGGAGGATGATCGCGAATACTACGTGACGTCAGTTGTGGGGGCACCAGCACATGCACTGCACCCGACGCACCGGCTGCAGATCTGTGCTAATCCGGAGCTGTGATGGAGGCGGTGGAGGAGGACGCGGAGGAGGCGGGGCGAGAAACGAGGTGGACGGCGTCGAGGCGTGCGGCGCGGCAGAGCGCATGGCGGCGTTGGCCTCGTCGGCGGGGCTGACCTTGGGCTTCTTCGGGGGAGGGAGCGAACCGTCCACAGGCCTCTTCTTGCACGAGCGCTGTCTCGTGCCAGGGTGTTTATCGGGCCCTCTCCGTCTCGGCGCCGAGTCATATATGCAAACATTCTTCCGTCGGACACAATTGTAGCAGGTTGGCCGATTAGAGTCACACCGGATTTTCCGTCCGCGGCTACCATCGCGTCGTCCGTCGTCGAGGAACACGACGGCGGAAAGTTCGATTTCATTGAGTGGTTGATGGATTGGCGAGAATGGTTAAATGAAAGACGCCAACATAAAGGATTCAGATGGAAGGATTCGTGAGCGTCAAGGTAGGTAGGCTGACGAGACAGGCTCTCTCACCATGGGCGACATGCTATGACGACCGCCGTTGATCCAGACTCTACCGGAAGTCCGCGCAGATCCGACACATAGAACTGCGACTGCCCGGCCAGCAGCGCGCGGTTGTCCTCCCCGGCATACGTGGGGTGCGCGTGGTACGAGCCGGTCGAGGAGCCCCCCAGGGACATGCTCTGCTCTGGATGGTGAAACCGAGCCTGCTGCTGCTGGGCTTCCAGTGGGAAAAAACCATGGTTACGCGAAGCCGAGTAGCTGTTGTTGTGGTGGTGGCCGACGGATTCTGATCTCGAACTCGCGCTTGAGGGACTGGGGATGGTCGTAAAGTACGGATTCGGATTCGGATTCGGATTCAGATGCAGATATCGCGACGTGGCAACACCATCAATTCTGCTGCTGCCGTCGTCGGGGTAGCCTGATGGCGACGCGTACGCAGGTCCCGAGATTGGGCCGAAGGGGAGGTGCGAGGGGTTGTCTGACAACACAGGAGATTCTGTTAGACAGATGGTAGGAGGGGGGGCAGCAGCGCCCCCACACTTAAAAGGTGCGAGGGCTGATCAGCACAAACAACTCACGGGGACGGGTGCTGTTGCCGGCGTCTTCGCTTGGTGCATACAACGGAGAATCCAGGTCCGAGCCTTCCGGGCCATACGATGGCGTGCTGACCGGTGGGAAAACACGGCGGGGGTATGCGGGGTCGAGGTGGCGGCGCATCGACACGACGGGCAAGAGGGAAAGAAAGGAGCGGCAGCACGTCCAGGGAGGGACACTGGCTCTCGGGGGGCGTGTTTCTCCGCCCAATGGCCCCTCGAGTGGAAGTATAAACACATTCGCCGTGACAATGACATGCCACGATGGGCTGGGTGAAAACGAGAAGATCACGCCATCGTCTTCGCAAACAAACAGATTCTCCCCTTCGATCTTCCGTCCACCGCGACGTCCCTCGCCACTTTTTTTCGCAATCGCACAGTCTCGAAATAGGCTTCGGGAACGAAACGTAACACTGGAGACATGCATTTCATTTTCTTTCCCCTGTCCTTGAGTTCGCGGCGTTGCAGAATCATCTATCGCAAAATCTGGTGGATCCGGGCGAAACCACGGAGCTGGAGACCTTCGGCTTCGGACATGGCTCCACGATAAAGTTCAATGCCCCCCATCCCACACGCATGTGCTACGCCCAAGCGATCACTGTCAACCATTGAGGGGCAATCCGGCGTCTTGTATCGTCTACGTGAACCCGTGGAACCAAACCTTGACGTCTCTGAGAAATATTTTCGATATATCCACTCCGGTCTTGTGGCCTGGAACCGGCTCATTAGCATCAGGTGCGCGTTTTTGTCTCTATCCAATGCAGGGTATCGTGTTGCGATCTTCGCTGCTCACCTGGGAGAAAACTGATAAAAGCAGACGCTCGACAAAACCATTATCCGAACAGTTTCCAGGCCCTCCTTGACTGAACCTCCATTCTGATGATCCACCCAGAAGCTCGTTTTGGACGTTAACCATCTCCGCGTGACGGTGGCGCTAACGTCATGATCCCTGGGCCCTCCAAGTGCTCGAGCAAGAAAGCCGTTCTAGTCTGGATAAAACTCGACTGAAATGGATTCTTCTTTGCAGATCGAGTTCCCCCTGCGGTTTCTCTCGGTTTCTCGGCGGGGGATGCATGGATAAGTTGATTTCCCGAAGGGCATCACACCATGCCCGTGAAGCTTCCTGGAACCCAAACGGCGATTTCTTCTCACCGGTAAGATACCATCTGACCGACCTGAGCAAAAAAGAAAAAAAAGGTGCAGCGCGCGCACAGCGATCTTTCGCTTCCCTCTCCCGGTCGTGGACATCAATGATCCTGTCTGGCGAAACCGGGTTTGGCAACTGCCACATATGGCGCCAGGCGCCAGCCACGCTATCTTAAACTCTACAGTATACTACGTTCGCCAATCATACATACCCTAGGCATTGAGTCATTCATCAGCACCGTGACCTCGCGGTTGGTGCGTGGATCAGGAGGGGGACGTGGGTGTGCCTTATTTTTATCCTTCCATTTGCCAGTGGCTGGAACCCGCCGCCTGTGCGTCGGCGGGGGAAGGATTACATATATATGCACATATTTCACTTCCTCTCTAAAGCCTAATTTTACCTCTGCCTTAGACTAGTCGTGGGGAAATGAAGGGGTGCGAGATGCGTGCTGCACGGCGGCTTCGCGGGCGAAGCGGGCTAAGAGTGACTGAGCGCTGCTCTGGATGAATGCTGTCCGACGCATTCGTGGAATCGACCAAGTGCACGAAATGAATGCCGCTCATTGAAATTCAATACACAAATCAGTTTGTCTAGTGTCGCTTTTCAAGTGCTCGGCTTGATCGTGGCTGAGGATCCCATGAAATGAGCCTCGTGTTCACAGATTGTCGGATCTTCCGTCCTTCCACCCGACTGGAGTCGAGATGCATGACAGGAAGATTAGATTCAATCGTTCTTCCGGCTGTCTGCCTGCCTTCTCAAGTACTCATAGGGCCTCAATATAGCAAAGGCTGCCGTGCGGCTTTCATGCATGCAATCTCACGACTGACCTTCTCGCGGATCTGGATTTACGTGGTCTGATTATTGGGTAAAAAGCGGACTCTCATTCTCATGTGGTTTCGGACACCGCAACACAAATATACTACTAGTAAACATCTAACGACACAGCATGGGTTCTGTAGAGAAGACGCGTTGGATCTTATCTCGCAACGCTCAACTAATCACCTAATCCAGGAAGTCAGCAAGGGAACAGAAGATGGCAGACATAGAATACATACTTACTGCTGCTGAGTGACAGAAGAGGCGGAAGAGCCTATCGCCTCGGAACTCGTGCCCGCGCTCTGATTCTGGTCGCAGTTGCCTCGGCTGGGTCCGGCAATGGGCGTCATTTGCGGCCCAGCATCCTGCCTGTGCCGCTCCTGATCCGTGTGCGTATGCATGAGCTGCACCTTGAGATGCTCGGGAAGCCCTGCGTCCTGCACCAAGTCGAGCACGAGCGGGGGAGTATCGGTGCTGGCGAGGTAGGTCCGGATGAGTGGGTGGCCGAGGACAGCAGCGTCATCGATGGGCCGGGCGAGGCACGCTCGGACGCAACGAAGAGTGGGAGTAGAATGCGTGTCGTCGGTGTCGTCCAGGTGCAGGCGGGCGATGAGGAACTGGGTGAGGAGCGGGGTGAGCTGGACGACGCTGTGGGCCTTGAGAGTCAGGCTCTCGAGATTGGGGAGAGTAGTTGGGGTGCCTCCCAGCAGCGACAGGACCGCGCCCGGCATGCTCCTCTGGGGGTCGGTAGAAGGGGGCGGGCCGCCCGTGTGTGTGTGGTAGAGGCTCATCAAGACACTGACACCCCGGTCATCGAGTGTGAGGTGCTTGACTGAGGCGGGGAGCGTCCCCAGCGCCCGCTGGACACTCGCTGCACGCATGTGATGTCCTGCGACGTGGGATGTTTCGAGGTGAGAGAGACGCGCGAGGAACCGGATGAGTGCTTGAGGAACACGCGGGACCGGCGCCTCCTGCGGCCCAGAGTAATAGATTGTAAGAGTGCGCAGATTGGGAGCCTCGACGAGTGCGAGGAGACCCATCGGATCTTGCGGTGCTGCGTGGCGGGGCCGACGGATGCCGAGCTCCAGCGTGTGCAGGTGGGGAAGAATGACGGGATCGGCATCTGGGGGTAAGGGAGTGTCGTTGACGACAAGATGCGCAGAGCGCAGCTGGGGTTGCTTGCGCAGGACATCGAGAATAGCCTCTGGGGCTTGGGCTGCCCTGGCGTGCGACTGGGGGGGATCCGGGGACGCAGCATCGACAGAGAGGGAGTGCAAGCGTGAGCGAGAAAGGGAAAGATCCTGTATCCGGACCAGGTCAGCTTCAATGGAGACATGGGCGACACATGACGCACCCAGGATCTTCAGATCGGCCCAATTCTCGCTCTGCCCACCCGAGTGGCTGAGGGCTCCAGCGCCGTTACCAGCCTGCCAGAAGCCCTGTATAGTGGCCGAGCTCTGGCCTGGTTCCACGCGGCCCCCGCCCAGGCTGATCCTCACGCTTTCCAGCGTCGGTACATCTTCTACACCAAGCTTCTTCAGCCGCTCCAACTCGGCTGCGTTGAGACGCAGATCGACGTCGCGCCAGCGCTGCGCAAACGCCACGAGGGTGCTGATATACGTCGTGGCACGGAGTCCGTGAAACACATGGTCCTCACACGTGTCGAAGCCGAGTGAGAGCGGGAGCCTGCCCGAGCGGTCTAGCCAGGCTCTGATCGCCGCGGGTCGCGCAGCACATTGCGCACGGTATGCAGCCCACGCTTCTGCAGATCCGTGCTCGCCCGGGGAGCGTGGCACGTCGATGCGCAGCTTGGACCAGAGACGGGGAGTAGCGTGTGCGAGTGAGCGCCAAGAGGCGCAAACACGACCCAACAAAAGCGGGGGTTCGTTGACGTGCATGACACAATGGCGGTCCTCGGGCATGCAGGCGATGAATATCTCACGGATAACATCGTCTGGCATGCGTCGAACGGGCGCGAGCAACGCTTCGTGCTCGAGAAAGAACGCTGTGAGACGGGTTCGCTCCAGAGCCAGGTCGGCCGGAAATTCTGAGACACTGCTCAAACGCGTGCGGGACTCGCGTATGAGGACCTTGATCTGTCCCACTTCGTGCTCAGTCGGAGCGTAGTTTGTGCCCAATCTTGTAAAGAATGGGGACCGGGCAAATTCGAGAGACAGCCTCTCGAAAGGGGTGATGTTTAATTCATACATGGTGGTTCGTATTTAAGTGGTTGGATGAGTGGGATTGGGAACTATTGAGCTTTTGTCGCAAAAATCTGAATTGGCATATCTGTTATGGTCAGCGCTGATAGGTAGGGCTCAGGCCTTCAGCCTGATGACTGGCTGATCTCCGTAGGAAAGGTTGAATCAGTCGTCATCAGACGGTGATCAGACGTTGATCAGGGAATGGTCAGCAACGCATCAGGTGAGTATCGGACGTCAGTCAGGCGGGAATCAGCGGTTGATCAGAAAACTACCAGGCCCTGGTTTCAGCGGTGAAGACAAAAGGAGAACAGGCTTTCTTCCTTGCTCCATCTTCACTTTTTTACATTCACGTTTGGCACTGCATTTGAACAGGGTATCGCTTCACTTTCACTTGAATATTCAATTAATTTAATTAATTAATGTCACACTGTTATTCAGCCTTAATGATAAGGATTTCACTCGATTTACTTCACAGTGGGAATCGAACGCGAGAACATGAACTACTAGACCAATACAGACCACTACACTATGTAGGCGCGTGTTGCACTGTGTGCTCCAGTGCTAAGTGTCGTCGGAGACTTAACACAGCCACTTGCATCATGATGACGCAAACCAGAACGACCCTTCCACTCGCAGCTCGCAGCGTACCAGCATCTTTCTACACAGGACTGTGAAGTTCAACATATCTCTCGACATCTTCCCAACAATATTGCCATTGGAACTTTGCGGTCTGCGCATCGCAACAAGCCGAGACCATATCCTCTGAGGTCCACCTTCGACGCTCAGCTGCAAGGACTCGGATACATTGGCAAGCGTCGCCATCAACGCAAACGAGCGGGCCGCCGGATGCATGTACAATGGGTATCACTCCAGCCGCCTGGCCCTGTGCGTCAGCGCTGCTGACCAAAGCGAAAGAGAAGAGAGAGAAGGCGACGTACCATGAACTCCATAACATTGATCCTGAAGTGTTCATCCAGCACGACCCAGCCAAGCGAGCACCTGCGAGTACGGTGCGTTCAGCACGAATTGCACATGGTTCTGTCCAGAATAGGCATCTGCCGATCATGACCGGCTGCACGCCCCGCGCAGCGTACTCCGGGCGGTTCTGCAGCAGTGAATGCAATGCGCGGAGCTGCATCGGAATCACGCGCTCCCTCCCCGTGAGCGACAGCCGCGCCATCTCGCGCGTGTCGCATGAGGGGTACACGACGCGCGTGCGTACGGTCGCGGCGGGCCCGAACGGGGGTACGCGAGCACGATGTCGACGTGCCGATTCGTCCAGCCCTAGTTGACCAGCACGGCACTCACGCGGCGCAGCGTGAGCGCGTAAAGCAGCATGAACGCGTGATAGTACGCGCGCTTTGAAGAATCCGAGTGAACGTGTATTGAACACGAACAACGACCTCGTCGCCCTCTGAAGCGTCGACTTCCTGTTGAAGATCGCTCCAACCAATCTTGATTCTCACTGGGTTTTCGGTGCGCCATGGGACTACGGGGACAGTTGAGCTCTGATAGGCTGAAAAAATACAGAGAATGACGAGCTTTTCCGTAACTTCGATGTCCAACTCCGCTAATTCCTCGCCAACAAGTTTCCTGAGATGTACATGAGTGCGGAACTGTCTTTCAAGGCGAGTCCTTCGTCCACGATCGAGATTTGGGTAACTGATAGCAAAACTCAGGTCGAGAAATCCATTATCTGGTCGACACAGTTGATGCGGACATATTTTACGCTCTCTGAATGCGGTACAACATATATGTCATTGATCCGTAGCATTTCCCAAAGACATAGCCTTATTACAACTTATAATACCTGATCCCAAACTGACCAGAGGCTGACTCCCGTCTGAGCATACCTGACAAGATCTTACCGGCCTGACCACCGCCTGAGGATATGTGGACAGGGTCTGACAACAAGCCGTCAGTTCAAATCAGCCGCATATCGGTCCGTCAGGACTGATCATAAATTAAACATTTTTGCGACATTTATACCCCCGGGACACACCCGGGCCGAGCTCGTTTCAAGTCAGTGGTCAGGCCGCGGTACCGAGAACCGTAGTAACGACTGCGATCTGTGATTGTCTGCTCGATTTTCCGGTGCTTCGCGTGCTGCCCGCACATCGGTAAACCAATGGCCCACCTGGCACTTGGGCCAATTGGCCGTTGAGGTCAAAGGTCTGACTAATCAATATCACAGATGCTGTCTCTTGTTTGGCCCACACGTGACAATTTCAACTCTCATTCCCACGTGATACATTCAACCATCAAGTCAGGTAAGTACAACAACCGTAACAACAAATCGCAACAGTCTGACACTGCGCACTGTCCGAAAAGAATCTCCGCGATTGACATGCATGTTCAGGCCTGGTTGTCGGAGAACACAACCGGTCGGCCGTTCTCATCGGTGGTCAAACGAGTGGTCACGTCCGAGCTGAAACAGTCGCTGTTCTCGAACGGATGGCCCCACTTGGTGCGGCCCCCAAACAGATCGTTGAAGTCCGGATGCCCCACTATCTGCGCAGTAGGTCAGATAATGTTAATACACAGTGGGAAGGTCTCTTCATTACCGCTTTGAGATCGTTCAGTGTCTGTCGGAGAATGAGTTGAGGGGCAAAGCGACGTGTGGAGGAACCGACGCACCTCTCCTTGGATCTCGGCAATCAGGAGATGCTCGCGATCAGGGAAACCCATCTCGCCCAAGTAGACATTCAGATCGTCGTTCGGAGTCCACTAAAATCGCGGCCGAAACACTCAGCGAGGTCTCTGGACTACGAAGGAGAGAAAACGAACGATGACATGCTTTCTGAGATGCTTGCCCTGCTGTGGCTCGTTGATCCACTCGGCAAACAGCTGATCGAGATTGCTGTTGTGCTCCTGCGGGTGCAGGCCCGAGGGCACTTTGATGAGCGCCATCGCGGTCGCGTGCGGCCTCCCGTCCTCGGCGACTGGGTGGTGCAGCCGGATAGCGACGTCAGCGGAGAACACCGACGCGTTGGACTTGAACCCGAACTGCTCTTCGGCAGCCTGAAACACGCGACGGAGTTCCGGGTGGGTCAGCACCTGGGTAGCGTCAGGGGACGTCCAGAGGCGCGAGAAGGAGATGCGTGTACCTGGACATAGTTCTCGATACTGTCGCAGTCGATCAACAGCATCGCGGTGGGGAACGCCTCGTTCAGACCCAGATCTCTGACATGCTCCTCCAAGTGCGGTGTCTGCACCACCTGGAAATGAGGGGATCAGTCAACCAGCCTTCGCGAGTTTGTTTCGGAATACCAGCTCGACCCTCTTCAGGTTCTGCTGCACGAAAGGATGGACGACGAGAGTGTCCACGAGCTGCTTCAACGACGTATCGAGGGTGTCTTTCGACACGTTCTGGGGTGCCCGGTGGATAGATACTATGCCAACTGTTGTAGACGCCATTTGAGCTTGTAGAGAGACAGGTGGTGGAGCGGAGTCTTTTATACAGCCTCGAAGAGGTCAGGAAGGGTCCCGAGAGTCGGGCGAGTTGTGGCAACGTTTGAAGCTAATCCTGACTGTGATTATGAAGACCAGGTCGCGATCGGAGCCCAGCGTCAAGACGCTGATGGAGATATCGGGACATGAGCTGATGATAACAGTGGAACGAGGTTTTTAGCGACGTTCAGTGAAAAATTAGAGAGGGCACGCAACTGAACATCCTTTGGACATCGAGGGTGAATTTAAAAAGCAGACCCTGCAAGGAAGATGTTGAAATGCAGGAACTGGAGTATGAGCTATCAGCTGACCCTCACACGGTACCGAGCGGTGGCCAGTGCGGCCTTTCGATCTTGCTCGGCCCATATCCTCCCATGTCGGACGTCACTCTTCAGAGAGCACATAATCAGTACGAGCACCAAGGAGTAACACTTCTTCTGACAGCTCTGAACTCGTTGCGATCCAGAGGACGCGGATGCAATTGTGCTCGACGGCCTCGATGTCAGACAGAGCTCCAGCGGGGTGCTTGCAGAGTTGCAAGTGGATGGGTACTTATCCTGAATGGAGAGCCGAGTCGTGAAAGGTTCTAAACAGTACTTGTTCAGTAAAGATGTCATGTACAAGAGGTAAAAGAGACGATTAGAGGAAGCAAATTATTTGTCGAGCCGCGTATGCCCATGGCTCGTTTTGGCAGGTCGCAATCCAGCAACGATTGACACGCACGCGCAGATGACCTCACGAGGGTGACCCATTAGAGAGGCAAATTTTTCCGTTCTAGCGCGTCGAATCACCTGGCGCCCGTAAATATATCGACCTTCCAAACCGGGGCACTCACTGACTGAGTTGGAGAGGGGCAAACTAGGAGGGCTCATGGACTCGGCTTCCTGAGGAGCTGGGGTGCGGTACTCTCGCCTCGCCTCGCTGGGCGTGCCAGCCCGGTGCATGAATGAAATCGTCGGCTTGGCGCTCTGGCTGTGATGGCGCATCACCGCTTGAAATCTCAGTCAGCAGAATCTCTGAATAAGGCGTCATCATTCTCCTACTCAAAGCTCATATAAGAGGCTCGATGAATGCAATGGGGTTGTCGCAGTATACACCCCATGTTTCCTCGTCTCGCTATCCTCTCAGCGACGCTTGCGGCGTTCGCTGTCACCTTTGTATCGGGGACGTCCTCGGCCGGACACAGTTCCTATCATCTCAAACCCTTCCACATCGATCTCGGCCATGGTGTGCCGCACCTCAAAGCGCTGCTGAATGAAATCCGGCTGCCAAATGCCCCGCTGTACCCCGGATCCAGTCCGACCTACGGAGTCGATCTCGCCGATCTCAAAAGCTGGAAGAAGACGTGGCTGGGGACGTACGATTGGGACAAGGAGGAGGCTGCTATGAACCGGTCCGTGGATCTCCGCGTCTATTACCTGTGGATGGAATGTTGAAGCGAGCGTTAGATTCAATCATTTCACGGCTCATATCGAGGGACTTGATATTCACTTTGTCCATCAGAAATCGCAAGTCCCCGGCGCGATCCCGGTTTTGCTCTTGCACGGATGGCCCGGTACGTCTGTCAGATCCTAGCCGTTTCAAGAGCACATTGATTGAGTTTCGGTCTCATATTTCAGGTTCCTTTTACGAATTCGAGCCAGTCATTTTGCCGCTGACACAACCCTTCACCAACGCGAATGGGTCCACCATCGCTTTCGATGTGATCGTTCCATCACTGCCTGGTTTTGTCTTCTCCTCCGCGCCACCGTTCAACTGGACCGTCGACGACACCGGCCGTGTCTTCGATACGCTGATGACAAAGGTCCTCAGCTACGAGAACTATACGGTACACGGTACCGATTGGGTATGTGGGATGCCCCGCAACTGAGATGCAATCTGACGGGCATCTTAGGGCAGCCCGGTGGCGTACTCCATGTACAGCCACTTTAACGCAACCGTCAGCGCCGCCAATTTTGTCTTTCTGCCGTTCTTCCCCCCGACGCCCGCGGAGGTGGCTGCGGCGAATGTGACGCTCAGCCCCGTGGAGCAGGTGACCCAAGCCCGGGCTGCGGAGTGGTCGTCGACTGGGAACGGGTACTACCTCGAGCAGACGTTCAAGGTGAGTGCTGTATCCCTCCCCCTGCTTCCTCAATGACTGATCAGGATCTGCGATCACCCAGCCAAACGACATCGGGCTGGCGCTGTATGACAATCCTCTCGGACAGCTCGCCTGGATCGGGGGCAAGATCAAACTCTGTGCGTCGTCCATGCTTCCATTCATGCTTGCTGGGATGCAGCCGCACGGACCCGCTGATGGATAGACGGCAGGGTCGGATCCGCGCGCGGGGCAGTCGCCGTCGGTGCTCAACGCCACCGCGATCCTTAACCTCGTCTCGCTGTACTATCTCACAGCGAGCATCGAGTCGTCCGTGTGGCACTACGCGCTCAATCTGCACGGGTTCTCCGGCGTGTACACGAAGGCGCCCACCAGCGCCCCGATGTTTTTCACGCAGTATCAGTACAACGTCGGGTTCTGGCCGAAGGAGTGGGCGGCCAAGGTGGGGAATCTGGTCTCGTACAAAGGTAGAGAACATTTCACGTGCGTGATGGTGAAGAGGGCTGATCTAGCGCAGTGGCTGAGTTTGGTGGGCATTTCGCGGGCTTAGACAACCCGCCTCAGTTCATTGCTGATATCCGAGAGATGGGCTTCTTTCTCCAACAATCCTAATGATCCGTAGCCAGCATTTTGCTCAGCTGATTCCGAGAAAATATGAGAATAGTTTTGTGCCTTGGATCGAAATGCTTCTCATTAGTTGTGACTGAATCCACACTAGAGCGCCGACTACGTCGGCAGAAGCCTTGCTTACATGCTGATCATTGACTCACAATTTCTGGGCCTGCACATGATATATTAGAAGCTCGACGCAGTATCATTGTAAATCAATGTGAGAGGGCATAGTTAGGTTCGAACGCGTGACCGCACGGATTGCCTACGGAAGAAAACGGAGAGTCGGCAGAAACCGCGTGACACGGAATCAGGACAATTATGAGGGTGGAGAAGCCTTGACAAGCAAGGCAACTCGGAACAGTTCGGATCGACGATCCAGGCACACACGTGATCAGATCTTTCACTCATTGACTCAAATTCCCACGACAACGCGTCACTTGACATCCGCAAGGTCTCTATTTGTTCCGTGTATATACCCCCGCGACATCCACGGCGCGCCTCTCTCAATTCTGCGGATACCGACCCCGCGGACGCACCAAATCGCTGCGGAGCGACAACGGCCGCTTGACGCCCTTGGCGCGCTCGTACACACCACACGCATTGCACACCTGCTTCCCCTCCTTGCTCCTGCGCCACACGCTCGTCTCGTGCGTGTGGCAGTGGCTGCACTCGAGGATGCCCGACCCCCCGCCGGACCCAGACCCGGACGCGCTGCTCGCCGGCGCGGCCTCCGCGTCGATGAGCGCCTGCGGGCGCTGCATCTGGCGCTGCTGGATGTACAGCCCGCAGGCGTTGCAGAGCGGCAGCTGTGTCGTGGGATCGCGCCTCCACAGCGGTGTGCGCGTCGTCCCGCAGTGCTCGCACTTTTTGGTGGATCCCGAAGAGGAAGAGGAGGAGGAGGAGGAAGAGGAGGAAGGGGAGGCGCCGGCGGGGAACTCGGGGATCGAGGGTGACATCTGGGAGGGTGTGTGATTTCTGAAGTCGTCTGAAACGGATGTCAGATGGTTCGAATGCGCGCGCGGGGTGCACGAGCATCGTCAACGCACTGAATGATAGCGGTGGCGCGTGATGCTTGCCGTAGAGACTCGGATCGAACTCCGAAGGCACGTAGAAGTACTCCTGCGCCGACGCGGAGCCATGGCTCTGGCCCCTGGGACTGGCGTCGTACAAGGGTTTGGCGCGGGGTCGTAGCTGTGGGGAATGAACGCGGTGAAGTCCACGTCCGGTGTGCTGCTCGGGGGATCTGAGTTTTCGAGTGAGTTTCGCGACCTGAATTCCAGAAAGTCAACCCCGCTTACAACACATTCCGGACCCAGCCAACGAACTGTACGAGCTCGGGGTGTATTCGTAGCGGTGCGATCCCTGCATGACGTCTCAAGTTGGAGTCGAAGTTTGATAGCAGAAGATACGAGAACGGGTGCCTTGGACTTCGAATGATGCTCGACGCTTTATATGCAGTGCCCTCGACCGAACATTCGACCCTCGCCCGAAACGATGATCTGCCTGGCCCTCATCGGAAGCGTGAGTTTTGACACCGCAAAGGAACGACAGATCATTGACTGTCCGTTTTGACTGCTGTCGAGGTACTTACTTAACAAGCGAGGCGACCCATGGAGGGCTCCCACCCGGAGGAAAGCACTGAGACCCGAGGCCGAGGACCCGCACCGAGCATGTCATTGACTGTGCTTGCCTATCCTGTGCACTTTCTCCGGAGGGTGAATCGTCGGAGGGTCAACATCGATGGCCTCATTCTACGCCCTGACGAGTGGGGACGTAGCGCAGCCAGGAACCGTTGACGGACTGGCCTATCTATCCGACAAGTCCTGACGTGTGGCAGTGCATGTCAATCAGCAATCAGTGGGCGCACGCTTCGCACACAACTGAGGGTCTCCTCAATATTCCTCAGCCCTGGCTATTCACTGGTTCGTCCAGCCCTGCATATATTTTTGATATTCACATCCCTGGACTGCTGTCTGCACATTTATCTCTACACCCCTGCCTTTCTTACTTCACCATCCACTTGTACCTGTTTTTCCCCTCTCACTTCCCTGGTTCCTCTGTTCACCGTCCCTTGCTCCATCCTGTCGATATTTCACCCACTCTGATGATTATTTCATTGTCTCACATACAAAAGCTTGTAGTTGGACAAAAGAAAAATAGATTTATTCTCCTCATAGTCTTGAGTTCAGTTCTCGTCTTCAGCTCGTTTCTACTTGGGTATTTCGACCCTCTGCTTCGTCGCATCCGTCCCACGCCGCCCTCGACTTCGTCCCACGTCTAAAATCATCATTTCTTACTGCCTGCCACGGCACTGAATCTTGTGGACCTCCTCGCACATCACACTTATTCCTGCACTGTTTTAGGTCGTAGCTGACCCCCATTTTGTGTTAGCTCGCGCCTATTCCGTCCGCAGGCACGTCATTTTGGAGCCCACCGCGAGGGGATTTCAACATAGATTCTGGTGCCTCTCGCAGTCTGCGACACAACAATCATTCTGAGCTACGTCGCACGCTCCGTGAAGAGCTAGCTGTTGCTCTCAACGACCCCACAACTCTCTCTTTCGACGACGAACACCTCTTTGACATTGTCCCCAGCGCCCTTGCACAACACAACAACCTCTCACCGCATTCCCTGAGCTCTCCAACGCTATCCTGGCTCTTTGATTCGCCTCCAACAACGCGTTCACCATCCCCCCTTCACAACACGAATATTCCTTCTCAAAATATGGCTACTCCCACTCCCATGCCAGCCAGAGGCGATCGAAACGCCCCAGTCTTTGATTCGTCCAAGCCCCACGAGTTGCGCCGTTATTTCCTCGATCTGGAGTTCCTTCTAGCTCGATCTGCCGTCACTGACACTGCCCAAATGAAGGGGCATGCGGTCAGATTCCTTTCCGTCGAAGATCAGGAGATTTGGGAAGGTCTACCGTCATTCTCAGACGCCAACAAATTGTACCACGACTTCAAATTGGACGCCCTCAGCCTCTACGCAGGGAACGACACAGATCGTCGTTTCAGCCTCGACGATTTGGACATGCTCGTTGGGCAGACATCTCGCATGGGAATCCACACAAAGGACGACCTCACACAATTTTATCGACGATTCCTACACATCACAACATTCCTGATTAGCAAACAACGACTCTCTGTGGCAGAACAGAGCCGATTTTTCCTTCGAGCTATGAATCCAGCCTCGTTGTCCGTCTCAGTTCGCCAGAGACTTCAGATCAAGAAGCCAGACGTTCACCCTGAGGATCCATATGATTTGTCAGATCTGTACGACGCTGCTAAATTCGTCCTTTCAGGATCATCGACCTTACTTCCTGGAATGCCCACGTCTCAGCCCGGAACCGAGCTCACAATCAAATCAGACCCTGGAATTACTGCACTAGTTTCATCCGTCTCAGATCTAGTTCGAATAATCGCTGCTCAACACGCCAATCCTGGTGCCCCAGCACAATCACAGTCCGCCAACGCCCTGCCCCGCCGTCGCCGTCCTGATGGCTGCAGTTATTGCAGTGATCTCGAGCATTTTATCAGCCAATGTCCCCACGTTTCGACAGATATTCGAGACGGAAAATGCCGCCGCAATGTGGATGGGAAAGTCGTCCTCCCCTCAGGCGCATATGTGCCAAATATTGTCCAAGGAAAGGATCTTCGAGAGCGCATTCAGAAGTGGCATGAAGCGAACCCAGGTCAGGCAGCAGCTCCGCAGATGATTTTGGAAGTTTCTCACCAGAATTTGCTGTCTTCTGCGGCGCCTGGGCTCGTTCAAACGTTCAAACTCACGGACAAAGAACGAATGGCAGTTCTGACGGCTGAAATTAATCAACTACGCACACGGGCCCAAGCTAAACGCGCTATGGAAGTTGCTAATCAACCAGAAGTCCCTGAACGCACTATTCCACCGGCGGTAGCGCGAAATCCAGTCGTTCCACCTGTTCCAATCGAAACCGTCCCTCCTGCGACCGCCCCTGCTGCTCCAGTTGCCCCGCCTCAACCCCCATTCCATCCGTACGCCGCAGCTCGTGATGGCGCTTACGCACCGCCCAAAGAACGAAATGTTGGGATTCCAGCGCAGAAATCACAACCCCCACGCTCTTCGGCTCCGATCTACAACCCCAAAGATGCTGCAGCTGTTTTCGACGCCATTTTGGACATCCCTGTCACCCAGACGCTTCGCCAGACCCTGTCGATTGCCCCAGAAGTCCGTGCTCAATTCCGCGAAGCCACTAGTTTCCGTCGTCCCCCTGCCAAGACTGGCGAGGCAGTGCCTCAATTCCTGCATCCTGTCACTGATAGCACGCCCTACGACCTTCCATATGCTCAGGACGACTCAGATTTGGTCGAAAAAGTGCTTCAGCAGCAACGAAACGAAGATGCACGCCTTGCTTTGGCTGCGGAGCATTTTCCAGTCGCCTACAGCCAGACGTTGCCCCCAGACGCTTGGGTGGTCCCAGATAAATTCGCCGTCTACTACGATCAGACTGGAAGGTTGCCAGACAATCTAGTTGTGGCTGCCGAGTCCCTGGCCATCCGCTCGATCCTCCCAGTGATTGACAACCAGCAACAAGTGGAATGCATCGTCGACAGTGGTTCTCAGATTATTTCGATGTCCCAGGCAACCTGTCACGAGTTGGGACTTGCGTATGACCCTCGAATCGTTCTACAAATGCAATCTGCCAATGGAACAATCACACCGTCGCTTGGACTAGCCCGAAACGTCCCGGTTCGCATTGGGGACATCACATTGTACCTACAGATGCACATTCTGCGTGACGCTGCCTACGACGTGCTCCTGGGACGACCATTTGACGTTCTGACGGAAAGCGTCATTCGAAACTTTTCCAACACGGATCAAACACTCACAATCACCGATCCCAACACTGGAAAGACGGCTACTGTGCCTACTGTGCCCCGCGGATCTCCCCGTGCCCGTTCAGAGGGTTTTCGCAGCTCGAGGATTTGATTCCTGATCAAGGAGAGTACGCCTTTGTGATCGAGGCCAGCCCAGATCAACCAGAACGCTACGTATTTTCGTCCTATGCCCCCATTTCTCTCACAGACTCTCTTGCGCACATACAACATACTTATCTCTCTGCCTGTAGCAATTTATCCGCACACAGTTCGACTATTTCTCTTGCACATACAGTCGTTCAACCGGCGTTTTCCTCAGCGACCCAGGATTCAACTCCTGGTTCAAAATTCGTTCCCATATTTTCTTTGAACTCGTCTCGTACCTATCCTACTGCTACGTCTCCTTCATCTCAATTCTACCCGTCCACGTCACAATTTGCTAACAAAAAGTACAAGCCAGTGGCCAGGAAAATTCGGCCTGTTCTTGGATCTGTCCCAGACGAATTCCGCATCGAGCGCCAGATCCTGGGCGACCCACTCGCAGATCTACCATATCTGGATCCTATTCCGCCTCCTTTTGCGCCGACTGGACGCTACACCGCCGAACGCAAGGCTGCTCTTGACGACGCACACCGCGGTGACTTCCTGTGGCCTGCTGAGAGAGATTTAATGCACCAGTTCATGTGCCTTCACCAAGGAGCCTTTGCATGGCAAGAATCAGAACGAGGACGTTTTCGAACCGATTTCTTTCCCCCTGTCAATATCCCAGTCATGCCGCACACACCGTGGGTCCAGCGCAATATCCCCATTCCCCCTGGGATCTACGATCAAGTCTGCGACCTCATACGCTCGAAAATCGCTGCTGGAGTGTACGAACCGTCCAATTCATCCTATCGATCCCGTTGGTTCTGTGTGGTGAAGAAAGATGGCACCAGCCTTCGTTTGGTTCATTCCCTGGAGCCACTCAACGCCGTCACAATTCAGCACTCAGGCGTCACGCCGTTCACTGAGCAGCTGGCTGAGCATTTTGCAGGACGAGCCTGTGGTGCCGTGCTGGATTTATATGTTGGATATGACGAACGGTTGCTTGCGCCAGCCTCCCGCGACTATACAACGTTCCAGACGCCCTATGGAGCTCTCAGACTTGTTACCCTGCCCATGGGATGGACGAATTCAGTCCCCATCTTCCACGACGACGTCACCTACATCCTCCAGCCCGAAATCCCGGAATTTACTTGGCCATACATCGACGACGTCCCGGGCCGTGGCCCCAAATCGAGATATCAGCTAGAAGATGGATCATTTGAGACGATCCCTGAGAATCCAGGGATTCGCCGGTTCGTTTGGGAACATTTTGGAAATCTGAATCGAATCGTTCAGAGGATGAAGTACTGCGGAGGGACATTCTCTGGCCTCAAGCTCACACTCTGCGCCGAAACCATCACAGTTGTTGGACATGTCTGCACACCGGCTGGACGAATCCCTGATGAGAAGAGAGTCGACAAAATCGCAAATTGGGGACCCTGCAAGACGCTCTCAGAAGTCCGTGCATTTCTGGGCACCATAGGAGTCTGCCGTGCATTTATTTCGAATTTTGCGCATCGTGCCCACGCCCTGACACTTCTAACACGAAAGGATATGCCATTCCACTTCGGTACTGCACAGATCGCTGCCCAAGACGACCTGAAGCACGCATTATTGAGCTGCCCTGCGCTCCGGCCAATCGACTATTCATCTGGGGACCCAGTTATCTTATCCGTGGACACCTCTCAGATCGCCGTTGGTTTCCTGCTTGCCCAGTGCGATCCAAACACTCCCAGTCGACGTTTCTATGCCCGGTTTGGCTCAATCACGCTTAACGATCGAGAAGCTCGATTTTCACAGCCCAAGCTAGAGCTGTATGGATTATTCCGCGCCCTTCGTTCATGGAAGCTCCACCTGATCGGTCTACGAAATCTAGTGGTTGAAGTCGATGCTAGGTACATCAAGGGTATGCTACGGAACCCCGATCTTTCGCCCTCAGCCAGTATCAACCGCTGGATCCTGGCGATCTTAACCTTCCATTTCGAGCTAGTACATGTCCCTGGCGTCAAACACGGCCCGGATGGATTGTCCAGACGACCCGCACAGCCTGGAGACGAGTTAGAGCATGAGGACGACGGTTTTGATGACTGGATCGACGAGGTGCACGGTTTTATGCACATAATCAATGACTTACCCTTCGTTTCACGACGCCAATCCACGATCCACTCATTTTCCGCCGAAATTGCACCCACCGAGTCCACAACACCGCCTACACTGAGCTACGATCAGGTACCTCGCTCAGAAGCAGCTCGACTCGCCGATCATCGTGTAGATCTGGTTCAGGGATGGCTTGAGACGCTACGACGCCCACGGGACATGTCTGAACAGCAATATCAGGCATTTATTCGGTTTAGCATGGAATTCTACCTCGAAAATCGAAAGCTTTGGCGCAAGGACGCACACGGACGCCACAAGCTAGTCGTTCCCTCCCACCGTCGAATATTCATCCTGCGATCTGCCCACGACGACGTTGGTCACAAGGGATTCCACGCAACGAAGGCTTTGCTCACGGAACGATTCTGGTGGCCATTCCTTGCACACGACGTCACCTGGTACCTACGCACCTGCCACCTATGTCAGATTCGACAGACAAAGAAGCTCCTTATCCCCCCTACCGTCGCGGTCCCGGCCCCACTGTTTTCGAAAATTCATATGGACACTATGCACATGCCGCCAAGCGCTGGATTCCGCTACATTGTGCAAGGACGATGCTCGATTTCGCTTTTTCCTGAGTTCCGCATGCTGCGCCGTGAGACAGCGACCACCCTGGGCGAATGGATCTTCCAGGACTTGATCTGCAGATGGGGGACGCTCACAGAAATCGTGTCAGACAACGGCGCACCGTTTGTGAAGGCATTGGCGTACCTGGAAGCTAAGTATCACGTCCGTCATGTGCGCATTTCGGGATACAACTCACGCGCAAATGGGCTGATTGAAAATCCACATTTCGACATCCGCGAGGCGCTCTTCAAGGCTGTAGATGGGGAGCAGAAGAACTGGAGTTCTGCTGCTTATTCGGTCTTCTGGGCGGACCGTGTCACTGTCCGTCGTCGCATGGGCTGCTCACCCTATTTTGCGGTCACTGGAACGCATCCATTAATTCCCCTCGATTTATCAGAAGCCACATACCTGCTCCCGCCGCCCGAAACCGTCCTTTCGACCACGGATCTCATTGCACGACGCGCCATTGCGCTCCAGAAACGCCGAAGCGATCTAGAAGCCCTACACTCTCGAGTTTATCAAGCACGACTGCGTGACGCTGCACGCTTCGAGATCGAGCACGCCGCCACGATCTGCGACTTCAACTTCAAGCAGGGCGACCTGGTTTTGATGAGGAACACGGCCATCGAGAAGTCCCTCAATATGAAGATGCGCAAACGCTATTTGGGCCCATTAGTCGTCATTTCGCGCAACAAGGGAGGCGCCTACATCCTGTGTGAGCTAGACGGCTCAGTTTTCCATCGTCCCATCGCCGCTTTTCGTGTTATACCTTATTTTGCACGCACAACGATCCCCCTCCCTCCCCTGGACGATTTCCTCGATATCTCAACCGAGAAACTGCGCGAGCTCGAGCAGTCAACATTGGTGGACCCAGAAACAGATCAGGAAGAGGAGGAGAGCTGTGAAGAGTTGTAGAAGAGTTAGAGAACGCGTTTCAGTCAGGAGGATGCACCTGCACAGCTGAGCACCCTCTCCTTTCGACTTTGCTGCCCATTCCTTTCCCCCCAAGTCGCATCCTTTGATTCATCATTGTCTTGCGCAGCTCCGAGGAGCTAAGGCTATGATGATCTACTGAGCCTTTATCTTCACATTTCTATTCCTCAAGACACTTGTCCGCTATTCTATGACCGAGGACGGTCATTTTTTCAGTCAGGAGGAGATGACGGACTGGCCTATCTATCCGACAAGTCCTGACGTGTGGCAGTGCATGTCAATCAGCAATCAGTGGGCGCACGCTTCGCACACAACTGAGGGTCTCCTCAATATTCCTCAGCCCTGGCTATTCACTGGTTCGTCCAGCCCTGCATATATTTTTGATATTCACATCCCTGGACTGCTGTCTGCACATTTATCTCTACACCCCTGCCTTTCTTACTTCACCATCCACTTGTACCTGTTTTTCCCCTCTCACTTCCCTGGTTCCTCTGTTCACCGTCCCTTGCTCCATCCTGTCGATATTTCACCCACTCTGATGATTATTTCATTGTCTCACATACAAAAGCTTGTAGTTGGACAAAAGAAAAATAGATTTATTCTCCTCATAGTCTTGAGTTCAGTTCTCGTCTTCAGCTCGTTTCTACTTGGGTATTTCGACCCTCTGCTTCGTCGCATCCGTCCCACGCCGCCCTCGACTTCGTCCCACGTCTAAAATCATCATTTCTTACTGCCTGCCACGGCACTGAATCTTGTGGACCTCCTCGCACATCACACTTATTCCTGCACTGTTTTAGGTCGTAGCTGACCCCCATTTTGTGTTAGCTCGCGCCTATTCCGTCCGCAGGCACGTCACCGTCTCAAGAAACATGGCCGACTGTCGCCCTCGATAGCCTCGTGTGATGCGGTGTGTGACCAGACCCATCCTAATTGCCGACTTCAAGAGTTGGCAGCAGGCGCCGAACGTCCAGGTTTTTGCGCCCGGGCCTCGAAGATGCTTACGAGCACTTGCATCAGGTTGGTTATCACTGGAAGAAACTTGCGTTGATCGTGCTGGACTACAGGATGCCTGAAAACGCAGTCAGCCCGTATGATGAGGTTCTGTGGCCGTCCATCTATCCACTCTGACAGTGACGGCGAATGATACGTTCAGGAAAACACCTCGTGCTTCCTCCTGATCATTGATTTTATCGTTGTTTCGTGATGTCGTGGTGCTCAATGGAGTGACGAAATCGCAACATCTCCGAGATTCATGAGATGTTCTGTAGAACGAACATCGGTCAGCTTCGGATCACAACAATGAGTACCGTGGTTGACCATTCATAGACTGAGAAATACGGCCCTCTGACACGAAGAGAACTGAACGTTGCGTAACTTTAGTCACGTTGACAGTGAAGATGAGAACGACAATGGCCAGGAGTACTGGCCACATCGCCAAACAGGCCATCGACCCTGTGAATCTGCGCTCCCACGCCCATCAGCAGAACACACGTCAAGAGGCACGGCGGCCATCACCCGGCGGTACCTCCCAGGCAGGAGTAGAAATCGCCTGCACAGTTCTGATCGACGTATCTGCACTCCCACTGGTGAGAGCCACGAAGGGTTCAGCCGGGGTTCGTGGAGTGACTGCACCATACGGCTTGCGAATGATTAATTCGCCCCTCGAATGTTGGAGTGTTCCCACTGACCATCAGCAGCAGGCGTGCCTATCGTATCACCGGCCCTGGGACGGGTGGTGCGGCAATTGAAGGCTCACGTCATGCCGGGTTCAGTCAAATGCCTGACCCAGGGGTGGCTGATCCTGTTCCTTCATTCACTCGATGCGGACCAAAGCGTCCGTGTCTCAAAAGGATGCTACTGCATCGGCCCTCGCACCATGCGAATTTTCCCGACCATTTGAGAGTCACGGTCGGCACCAGGTACCACTTGGCAGTTCTCCGTTGCGAGAATCACTAGCGACATCTGCCCTCCTAATGGCGAATCTCATCGCTGTCTGCGGACGGGGTTAGTCCTTGTGAACGCATACTCCACTTGTGAGCTATTGACCACAGTAGATGAAATCATATCATCAAGTTGTCGTCCTTAGCTCGACTGCTCTCGCTTCCGGCACTCCTGTTACACCTGTTCGAGGCCACTGAGCCGATTTCGATGGTTTGAGCACCCGATCGTGTGGAAATCTCAGTCGCTTCCGCGGATTAACGTGAACTGAGGATAGAGACAGTGGTATAAATTCAGTCACGACTGTCACCCTGGCTTTCCGCTTCTCCCAACTGCGCGGCTCGTGGCTGCTCAATTTGGCATCATCCCGATTTGTCGTGCGAGAAGCGCAGTGACGAAGGATGTGCCGGAGAGATACGGAGGTTGGTCACTGCACTCGTCAACCACCCTGTCGTTCAGGAGCACTGGATGAAAGTTGAACTTGCGAGGAGTCATTTTGTGAATCCGAACATTCCCGATCACCATCTGAGCTGTTGCAGACATCCTATTTTGTTGAACACTTCAAGGATGTGGGCCTGGACTACCCCTCACTCCGGTCTCCGCAGAGGCCGAGGCGCACTTAGGTTTCGAATCGCACGGATCGGTTTTTCGGCCGACATGGTCGTCCGGCTGCACCATTCCGCGCCCAAGGACAGCAAGCCACACGCGAGTGCGATGGCGCGCTCCTGAAGTTTCACTAGGACAGGCCCGCAAAAGCAAAACAGAACGCTGGAGCCCCGCTTCGAGGAGTGGGTCTCAATGCCGCAATAGCACAGGTACCCGCGCAGGTGTGCCGTGGGGCGTAGATATTCCGTTCGCCTCGCTGGGTGTTGAACTGATTGATATGATATGATGCACCGCGTGCGAAGTGTACACCGGACGATGATCTGGAGAGCTGCCTCGGCGAGATTGGATTCCCGCCGCTCGAGCATGTGCTGATCATAGAGATCCAAGCCGAGGTGAGCTGTCGGATCGCGGTTCCGCATTGAGCACACCGTTGATTTCGAATTCTTATTTCTGACGGTTCGAAAGCGGTGTGTTCTGGACTCGTGCTTATCCACCTTTTCCGCTCTGAAAGGCTTTTGAGAACGCGGAGCATCCTACCTTCGACGATCTTTCACAAGGCTATACTAAGTGAGAAATTTCTGGGGTTTTACTTTGAAAGAGAGAGCCTGCCTCTTTTTGGACGTGGCGATTGGGCTGAGCCTGAATCACCGGAGGCTTACGATAGGTTCTCCCAAGTTCCAATTTCATCTGCTTACTGATCGGATCAAGCTGTTCGCCGAGATTAGGGTGAAATGCCGGATCAACGTGACAGGCTGATTCATCAGTCATCACACCACCTCTCTTCCTCCGCCTTGCGTCTGAGTATAGACAGTCCTTCCGCAGCTCGAGCATGCTGCAGGAGCTTTCTCACATGGATCGCATCACCCAACTCCAGGACGAAATCCAGAATCTGCTCATGATTATGTCCCGCAGCATCGCGTATCTCACGACGCGCGTCGACTTCGTGCAGGTCAGCGCGGAGGTGCCTGTCACCAAGCAGAGGAAGGAGGGCAAGTTCGATCCGCCGGATGTATTGGATGGTAAGCTCCATTCTCTGCTCTGTGGCTCCCGTGCGGGCGGACGGATCTTGACGCGTGCGGCGATAGCGAACAAGCGGGAGCTGGTTGCGGATCTCGTCATGAAAGCGAAGCAGATCGAATATCTTATCAACTCGTTACCCGCACCAGAGTCCGAAGAAGCTCAGGAACAACGCGTCTCTACCTGCTCAACCTCCTGCTAATCACGATTTATCATTGTAGGCTGAACGACTGGAGACTCTGAACAAAGACATGGAAGTGGCCAACGAGGAATACCGCGAAGCCGTGGCGCGCGCTCGTGCGTTTTTCCGTCGCTTTCTGACACTTCCCTACCTTAAACTGAACTGCTTTGTTTCTGCTTACCGCAGGTAGTCTACACTCGCGCATCGCCGAGATCATGGGCTCCTTGTTGCTCAATACAGACACAGAGCTCCTCAGAGCTGCCGTCTCATAATGCGAGAGCCATCTCTTTCACGCTAATATCGCTGAGGCCGGGGTATCCGATTGGTCCGCATGCCTCCCCACGTACCAGTTTATTCCCGCAGGCTGAGTCGCAGCTGTCATGGGCCGAAGTGGAGTTGGAGCGATTAGGTCCAAACTGCTGAGCCTGTTTGAAGCAGACAGTTATCTCTCACTTGCTTGTCGTCATCGACTTGTCATATGTCGATTCCTGAATATCTATATAAACTACCGCAGCCCTCAGATTCAATCCCACTACTTCACTCATGGCTACTACTGACATTGGAATAGTCTCTATCCACCGCGCTCGCGGTAATGTGACTAAAGACGCTCTTGACATGGGAATGAAGCGGCTGGTGGACGCGCTGGTGGTCCACCCCTTCGTCCAGCAGCGCTGGAACAAAGTCGAGCTCGTAAGCGGCTCTCTCCGTGGCAGAATCGAGTGATATACTCTCTCTTGCCAGGTCTTGCAGACGCCCGATCTCATCGAGCACTTCAAGAACGTGGGCTTGGACCACCCGTTTCCCACCGCCGTCATGCTCGTTGAATGCTCATCCGTAGATGACTACGTCCAGGCTCGTCGTTTGACGAACACAAGTCCCACTGCACGAAGCTCACGAGACGCACTCCTCCCCACTTAGGTCATCACCCACCCAGACCTGGATTCTGTCTTCTCTCAAGCGGAGACGCAATTCGGGCTCAAATCGAACGGGTCCGCGTTCTCGGCCGACGTGGCCATCCGCCTCCATCGCCCCGCGCCCGACGACGGGAAGCCGCATTCGACGGCGATGGCGCTGATGAAAGTCCCGCGGGACTTGCATCCGCAGGAACACCACGACGCGTTGGGCCCCCGGTTCGATGAGTGGGTGAACATGCCGCAGCAGGACAAGTATTTGCGCAAGCACGTCCTGGTGCGTCTCTCGGATCGGCTTGCGGTGGCGGTTGGTCAGACTAGTGCTTAGTGGGCCCCGAACGACGATCTCGATGGACGCCTGGGCGAGATTGGGTTCCCGGCCCGCGAGCATCTCCTCGTCTCGGAGATTCAAGGCGAAGTGAGTGTTCCGCTCCGCTCGTCTGAAGCACGCGCTGATGGATGAAGACCCTCGACGACCTGAAGGCGGTGCGTACGCTTTGCTCGGTTTTATCTATCACAGAAAGATCTGACTTTCAATGTAGATCATCGAGCATCCGACTTTCGACGATCTCTTCCAAGGTCATACGGAGTGGGGCAAACTCTGGGGCGGTGCTTTCAAGAAGAGCGACTGCTTTTCGTCCAACGTAACGACCAGGTTGACCCGGGACAAGGAGGGCCGGGTCGTCGTATTCCCTGCGTAGATACCGGGCCGGTGCATGTACATTCGTACGTTTTTGAGATAAGCTTGGTTTGAGATTCAGGTCATTCATCTTGGCATTGCCTGTGCCGCATCGTTGAAAGATTCGATTGGGTCAAATACACTGTATATGTTCACCCTTGACTTCTGTTTATTATCACAGGCGATCTGCGCTCTCGCATTACGAAGACTGTGAGTTGCTAAAGGCACTGTTTCGTAATGCAAGAAGCGGAACTGTTTCATTCACATTCACGCTGGCGATGCTGATGCCAGACGGTTCCGATTAGCTCAAATGCATTCCTTGTGCATGCGTCATCTCGCAAGATAAGTCGATACTATCTTGGACTGAACTGAAGATGTAGCGAGCACGCTTACCTCTAGCTCAGTTTCAAGCCGCTCAGCTGGTTTCAGCCTATCACATCAGGCTGAGGAACGTATATATACTACCGCAGCCTCAAACTCTGCTGGAATATCTCCTATGGATCCTACCGTTGGCATTGTATCTATCCATCGTGCTCGGGGACCTGTGACCAAAGATGTCCTCAACTCGGGCATGGCGCAACTAGTTGATGCCCTGGTGGTGGACCCGTTCGTTCAACAGCGTTGGAACAAAGTCGAACTCGTAGGTGATTCGCTTGGTGGAATCCCGAAATTGTAGATTACCTCTCCCAAGGTTGTGCAGACCCCTGATCTCATTGAACACTTCGAGAACCTCGGTTTGGACCCCCCGCTCCCCATCGCCATTCTGCTAGTCGAATGCAGGTCTGTGGATGAGTACGTCCAGGCCCGTCGCTTTTCCTATAAATGCCGCCCCGTACGACACTCACGAGGCGCCCTCATCGCCCAGGTTCTCACCCATTCGAGCCTGGACCCGATATTTTCACAGGCAGAGACGCAGTTCGGATTCAAATCGAACGGATCGGCGTTTTCGGCCGACGTCGCCATTCGCCTCCACCGCCCCGCGTCCGAAGACGGGAAACCGCATTCGACGGCGATGGCGCTGATGAAGGTCCCACAGGATTTGCACCCGCAAGAACACCACGACGCGCTGGGCCCTCGGTTCGAAGAATGGGTCACCATGCCCCAGCAGGAGGAGTATCTGCGCAAGCATGTCGTAGTGAGTAGCGCCAATGCGGCTGGTTTTCGGCCATGGGGGTGATATCGGTATTTAGTGGGCCCCGAATGATGATCTCGATGCCCGCCTTGGAGAAATTGGCTTCCCGTCCCGCGAACATCTATTGATCGTGGAAATCCACGGCGAAGTGAGTGCTTTGTTCCGCCATTAGCTGGTAACAGGCTGACGGATGACAAAGACGCTCGACGACTTGAAGGCAGCACGTAATTTATATTTTCAGCAGAAGAAATTCTGACTGCCACTAGATCATCGAGCATCCGAGCTTCGACGATGCATTCCAAGGCCATACCGAGTGGGGGGATCTCTGGGGCGGTGCTTTCAAGCAGAGCGAATGCTTCTCGTCGGACGTGACGACCAGATTGACAAGAGATGAGGAGGGCCGTGTCGTCGCATTCCCCTCGTAGATATAATATCCAGGCTGGTCTCGGTGCGTTGTTCCATACGGTAAGTTACTGGAAGAAGCACGGGTTAAGATTCAGGCATTGATATTGCCTGTGTCACTGTAAAAAGAAACGAATCAGTCGAATACGCTACAAACGCATCCTTATCAGCACCCAAGCCAGCAACCACAGATTGCGCACATGTATCCCACTGAGGAAGTCCAGAAGACGGCTTAACATCGGTCGAACCGCACAAACGTTTGTGTGCATCTGTGTGCGCATCAGCACAGCCATATCTCGTTATCGCCTCGATCACACATCTTTTTCGCTTGCCCTCCCGTCTCCTTGCGCACCACTACCCCACCCGCCAACTGAACCTTATACAAGCAAACGAGATGCCCGATGTCAAGGAGAAAGTCTGTCTGATTGTGCACGATGGCTGGGGTGTCGCTACTGTCCCGGGACTTGACGGCAACGCCATCGAGGCGGGCACCACGACGAACATGGATACGATCGGGAAGGAGAACAGCCTGCGTCTGCTCGCGGCGCACGGGACGGCCGTCGGGCTCAATGATGGGCTCATGGGCAACTCCGAAGTCGGGTGTGTGTGGTCTCCCGGGCCCCGCCGATGAAGAGGATAGAGGCTTACGTGCTCGCTCTTCAGACACCTGAACATCGGCGCTGGACGCATCGTGTACCAGGACATCGTGAAGATCGACGTGTCGATCAAGAAGAGGCAGTTCCACAAGAACGCGACGATCCTCGAGAGCTTCAAGCACGCCAAGGACGGGAATGGGCGGCTGCACCTGATCGGGCTGGTGCGGAAGATGTGTTTTGACAATGTGCATATACTCAGCGACTGTGTCTTCAGCTCTCTGACGGTGGTGTGCACTCGCACAACTCGCATCTGTACGCACTGCTCGAAACCGCGAAGGAGCAGGGTGTGCCCTCGACCTACATCCACTGCATCGGTGACGGACGTGACACCGCCCCGCGATCTGCACCTGGATACGTCGACGGCCTGACTGAGATTACGAAGAAGCTTGAGTACGGCGAGATCGCGACATATGTGGGACGATACTACGCGATGGACCGCGACAAGCGCTGGGAGCGTGTCAAGATTGCTGTCGATGGTCTCGTTGGAGGTGTCGGCGAGGAGGGTACAGACCTCGTCAAGGCCATCAAGGCCAACTACGAGAAGGACGTGACTGACGAGTTCATGAAGCCCATCATTGTGAACGGCGAGGCCGGTCGTATCAAGGGTCAGTTGTGCCAACCCGTATCTCGCTTGGTAGCCTGACCGCTACGCGCAGACGGCGATACGATTTTCTTCTTCAACTACCGGTCAGATCGCATGCGTGAAATCGCGTCGGTCTTCGGGCTGCCGGACAAGCCGATGGAGGTGACGATCCCCAAGGACCTGCACATCACCACCATGTCGCGGTACAACTCGGAGTTCCCCTTCCCCGTCGCTTTCCCTCCCCAAGCTATGACGAACGTCCTTGCCGAGTGGCTTGGAAAGCAGGGCACGAAGCAGGCCCACATCGCCGGTAAGGCTCGCTCGCAGCATGCCAGGGCCCCACTCACGGGCGTTCTCTAGAGACCGAGAAGTACGCACACGTCACCTTCTTCTTTAATGGTGGTGTCGAGGCGCAGTACGAGAACGAGGAGCGTCATATGGTTGCGTCACCCAAGGTCGCGACGTACGACTTGAAGCCGGAGATGAGCGTGCAGGATGTCGCGGACAAGGTCGCCGAGGTCGTCGAGTCCAACGTACACGACTTTGTCATGTGCAACTTTGCGCCGCCGGACATGGTAAGCGCGACAGCCGCTGCGTGCAGCACTATGCGCTCATGACATGCCCCCAGGTGGGACACACGGGTGTCTACGATGCTGCCGTGAAGGCGATCACGGCCACGGATGCTGCGGTGGGCACCGTCTTCGCTGCCTGTCAGCGCGCCGGCTACACCCTCCTCGTCACCGCCGATCACGGAAACGCCGAGCAGATGAAGAACCTCGAGACCGGCGCACCGCACACCGCGCACACGTGCAACCCCGTCCCATTCATCCTCGCTGCGCCTGCCGAGCGGAAGACCAAGTACGCGCTCAAGAGCGATGAGGAGGGCTCCGACGAGGAGCCGGGTGCACTGTGTGATGTGGCACCGACGATCCTCGATCTTATGGTACGTTGCCCCCCGTGCTCTCTGTGGTCGGCGACTGATAGTATTGCAGGGCCTTCCCCAGCCGGAGGGTGTGTCCTGCTGACCGTTTGCCCTTCTGGGACCATGCTCACTATACTTTCACAGACATGACCGGGCGCTCGCTACTTGCTCGCAACTGAATGCCTCGAGAAAACCGCGAGTATGTTGTCTGATTCTCTCTCTATCGCCAGCTTTGTTGACACGATGCAGCTTAGAGACCGGAGATCACCACCGGAAGAAACGAAATGTACTTACTACTGGCCATGTACTAGAGAGATCTGCTATACAGATGATGGTGCCCGAGACACTGAGTAGTTACGAGTGGCAGGAGAAACAGGGCCAGCACTGATTGCTCTCGAGTGCCGTCAGTCTCCCGAGCAAGGCTGCATCCAAGTTTCCAATTTCGGATCTCGAGCTCAAATCTGCAACAAATTGCATCCATGAGGAAACCGGCCGCCGTGTAATGTGTGGTGTGTATTATGGAAGAAAAACAGAGCCCGATATTTCGGCACTTTCCTGCCAAGAGCGCAGGCGGGCAGGCAGACCTGGCGCCGGATATAGCCCTACATCCTCGCACGCCCCAAGTCGGCGCCAGACAGGAACAGATCCAGTATCACTGCTTATGTCGTGACGAAAGCGCCAAATTTTCTGCTCTTCTCCGATATTGTTTTCGCTGTGTTCGGATATGTATGTACCTGCCCCTCAGCGTCTACTCGTTTAGTCTCTCATTTACAGCTCGATAGATTGTTTGATTTGGTCGCAGATGCACTGAGGGGAGGGCTCCTCGACATGTTTTTCCTGATAAGAAGATAGTCGGGGCAACGTAAGATAGAGCAGCTTACAGACAGCCAAAGATAAAAATGGAACACGAGCAGGCAGCATGGACAGACAGACTAAATAGACATATTGCTCGTCAGTGCCGGCATTACAGCAGACAGTGTCGAGCCATGCGGCGGCCACTCTATCCAGCAAAAGCTCAGACACTTGCGCAACCCTCCCCTACCTGTCAACACGGCAACAACTTCGTGTTGAACGAGGCGTGTGGGTAACGTACAGTCAGTCAGCGAGAACAAATCAGCGGCGGCACGAGTGCACCCGCTGCCACGTGAAGAACCCGGCTCCCGACACGTCCTTGACGAGCGCGGGAGCGGGAGCGAAGGACGGTTGATTCGAGAATGGCTCCGGCTCTTCGGTTTCATTCAGCTTCCGTGACACAGCGATCTGCGCGATCTTTTATCGTTCACGTTTCAGCCCACGTCTCCTCTCCCTGACTCGAGAGCAACGAGGAACGAAACACAGTCAGAGTGAGCCCTCCAAATTGGCAGTCTCGCACACGGCCTGTGATCTACATGATCTCAAATTCGACAGTCCAATGAATTATCGCGTGACACAACTCACTTCAACTGATCTTACAAACGTGCATAGATTGCGCTGGTTTCGAGTTTCCTAGCTAAGTTCCTGGCCGTCGCATTTGCGCCGTTCCGGTGAGTGTGTTTCCCAGGTTCTCCCGCCGGACGCTTCCTCCTCGGTGCGCCCTAAACGCACTCGCCTGCGGGATGTTTCCCAGAGTTCCGAGACGGCGAAGACCACGATCGAGATCGCGGCTGTGACGAGGAAGATGTCCGACAGCAGGACTCTCTCGAGGCGGACCAGCAGCGGTGCGTTGTCGATGCTGCCCGACGGCCCAGAGCGCACGCTTCGATTCTGCAAGTACACTAGCAGGCAGCATAGCAGCGTCGACGTGATCGCAAATGAGATGGCAATGGTCGTGAGCAGTTTCTTTGCGAGGCGGCAGAGCAGGAGAGAAGACCGGGTGCAGGAGATCGCGGAGTGCGTCGATTCCATGTGCGTAAGGGGGCCCAGAGTCGGTCGCTGAACGGTCGATCTGGTCACGGTAGCGCGGGGTGTCATCACGCAGTGCAGCAAGAGATGGCGTTTGGAGTACTCGCTGGTCATCCACAGGAGGGCACGGCCTGCGAGGCGGTCGGAAAAACGACTGTCTGGATGTCAGCCGAGTGGCACGCCAAGCTCGATCTGTCTGCTGCGCCGGATGCGGCGGACCCTTCTGCTAGTGCTTGTCCGCGTGACCCGGCCCGGTGCAAGTGCTGCGACGTCGCTGGTAGTAGGTCTCATGCACTCTCGACGAGAGAATGTGGGCAGCAGGTGGGGTTGGAGAGTGTGTGCACACGTAATCACGCTCTGCAGTTAGACCCTGCGACTCGGACGGGGAAACATGCGCTAGTTAGGCTGCGCTGGTCCGTATTTCTCGACGTGGCTTTAGGAGCGTCGGCCTCTGCGCGCGTTAAGATATGCCCATATTGGTGGGCTGGGTGCTTATTCCCAGTTGAGGCCGCATGTTTCTAGCACCCATTATGATCACGAGTCCCAGAGGACGATGATGTCCACGCCCCAGATTAGACGATGCTTACCTCAGCCCGCTGATAATCGGAAGATCTTCCTGGCGTGGCAGTGCGATAAAGGATCCTGAACCGCCACAGCCTGACATGCCTGGTCAACACATTGTTTCGTGTGGTAAGACTGACGAGGCACAGTCTGTCGTAACCGCGCCAGTGCCTATTTTTGGAGGTTCTAGAACCTCTTCTCCTGAAAGTCTGGGAAAGCATCTTCGGGACAACACGAGCCCGCGAAAGGCACAGGGAAGCTGCCATAGATTCGGAATCGCTCTAGTCCTCGTTTCATCGGCCGAAAACATGCATTAGGCAATGCAACTCGAATGGGGCAGCGAGATTCGTCTGACGCTGGCCAGATGTCCCTACTTCAAGGAACCGAGAGTCCTCACTCCGACGACGCGCGCCATTGGATCGCAGCTTCTTCGATGTGAACCGTCCGCGGAGACTAGCGCCAAATGAATGTTCTATCGATTTTTGGCTGGGAACTCAACACTGGCTTTAGGAGGCCAACAAAAAGATGCGACGATGGAGAAGCTCGAGGCTTGGACTGGGCGAATAGTCCCCTCTTTGAACGGAGATTCCACGCCGCGAGCTCTGTTACTAGCGTGGATGGGCGTCCAACAGGTTCTGGGCACGGAGAACTGGCGCCGGGTCCCGAAGGCAGATTTGACATGATCAACCAGGAGATTGTCTCACTAGAAGGCCTATCGCTTGTTCGAGTTGTCGATCGACAATCCCCGTGACGGGTTGCTGGATGCGGCACCAGAGCCAGAGTCCGGTGATGCGATTAGTGTGTGAAGTAGCGTGCAGATGCATGGAATGAGAAGAATTGTTACTGTTGACAAATGACACGACAGCTTCGGGATCAGATACTCCAGGCAGCCGCTCTAATGCCCCGCTGGCGCGACCCTGCGACTCCTTCTCCCCGCATACTCGTGGGCTGTATGTAGTGCACGTTGCGTTACATGTGCAGACGCACAAATTAATATTCTTGCAGATGTCCATCGGAACTCGAGGCTATCATGCCGTACGTGGCATTGATGGAAATTTCTGTCACGCTTACCGTTTAGTCGCTGTGGATATGTCTCGGAATCAGATTAGATAGCGCTCGCTTACCTCAGCCCGCTCTTCATGGAGCGGTGAAGTACTCGTGGCGGTGCGATAAGGAGCACTCACCCGCCACCAACTGACGTGATGTGTTTTTTCTTCGGTGACGCTGATGACGGAGAGTACGCCGTAAACGCGGGCGCCTGTACTCTGGTTGTGGAGCAGCCCATTCATTAACGACCAAAGAGTCGTCTGGGAACGCCTTCGCTCGGCCGAGGCGGCACAGGGCACACGGAAGCTGCCAGCGAGGACGGCTTTGCATGTAGCACTTGACGATGATGCAGAATGACTGCACGTATAATAAGTGATATGAAATGGAACTTGATAGTCATAGTCATGAGATAAACGGGGAGATTTGGATCTCGAGTGCGCTGGGATGAACATATCGCTGAAGCAACGGACAGACGGTCGCAGAATTTTCGGCGCTGCCCTCAGCTGCCTCTCGTCGACGAGGCATTGTTCTTTTCCTTCCAAATTGCAATCTGGATTTTAATGACGATCACTCATGACGCCAGCAACAGGAAATGCCGAGAAACATACGTGATCGGGGACCTTTCATGAACGTGCGCGACGGGCCTCCAGGCGTCAGCGCGGAGACTGGTCTAATTACTGTGCTTGCATGACAGATTATGGTCAAGCAAGGATTTGCGTCAGTTTCCATATATGTATAAATACGGCCAGGCTCCTAAAACATGTCGAGAATGATCGACCGAGAGGTTGTCTCAAGCTAGAAGCACGTCAGCGTCGAGGAGTTCATTCGAACGCGGGTTTCGACACTCTTCGCAGCGACGGGGAGAATCCCGCACAGGACCCGTAAGACTGACTAGTCCTCCAGAGGAAGTCCCGTGACGCGCTATGCACTTGACACTAGTAGCCAGCACGGTCGTGCAGACGGCTGGGACCAGAAGAAGCGTGCTGTGACCAACGAAATGGACGTGTCGTCAGAATGTTCGGGAGCCGACTCATTGGGCACAGAACAACGCGGGAGATGGGGTAAGAAATTGCAGCCGGGTGGAGCTGGGTTTGTTACCTGGCATGGTAATCGGTTTTGTTGGTGGGCGATTCATACGACGTGCATAGCAGCAGAAATCCAAACGATGACATTGTCGTACGTTTCACCCTGAGCTCGAGTTGCAGGGGGTTAAATTCCGGGGTGGGGACAAGTTGTGCCCAAGGTCGAGACGCGAGGTGGGTACTCTACATACCAGCGTGACACTGACAGACAGGCTGGAGGGAAGAATGTCTGTCCTCCATTGTCGTCTATGATTTGCGCCAGTCACTGGATATCCCCTTTGGTAAGCGGTAGATCACACTCGCTGGAATAGCGGTGAGTGTCTTGCCTTCATTGGATAATGAGAGAGAACGAAGAATGTACTACTTATTCGCTGCTGTCCGTTGTGAGCGGCCATGGGGTCGTTCCAAGACGTGCAGAGTCGCACTAAACGCCAGTTCGCTAGTATGTTTGTCCCCATTTATCCGCACAGATGACGAGCTAGTCGAATTTGTTTCCATTTCTGCCACTGCCTGACTGCGCGCCCGACGAATGGATGTCGCTGGTTCCGGCATTGGGCTTCTATCCACATCGAGGCTGGTGCCCATTGCCATGCTCCGGCCAGAAACACGTGAGCTCATCTCGACTACCGTAAGCCAGGCCATGGTGATATGCACCATTCTGCCGAGTGACTGACTGGGCAGCCTGTAAAGATGTGGCGTGGTGCCAGGTACTACCTCCCAACGACAGTGCCGCTGGTGGGTCCCTGGTGCTCGACACAGTGCATGGAGGGCGGCACGACACAGACGCAAGCAATCCCATTCGCTCCACGGTTGTCGGTCGAATTCACGTCGCGAGGCAGGAGAAGCACAGCAGCTGGTGGCGGGATTAGTGAGAAGAAAAGACCGAATGCGGAAATTCTGATGACCTGCGGTCCAGACCGCACACAAATCGGGCGAAGGAACTGATTGCCGAGCTTGGGACGTCAAGCAGCAACACACAGTCCCAATTTAGATCTGGGCATCGAAGATCGATCGACGGAGACACGCCTCTTTTTGGCCTGTTTGTTGTCTCGAACAACATCACGGCGATGCATATTTCTATGGCCAATCTCAGACGGGGACCCACCTCTCTCCCCGTTCTTCTCTGCGACACCAACGCAGCTGACTGACGCCAAGACTCGCTTCCCGCTGCTGCCGAACGTTCTAGGCACCCTCCCCTCCTCGCACTGCGCGTATATGTCGGCAGCCTCGTCCTCATCAAGACGCGTGCCTCACTCATTCCCGCCCATGAAGAACCATCTCTGTCCTCTCTGCCAGCGCGCGTTCAGCACCACCGGGCATCTCACACGGCATGTAAAGATCCACACGGGGGAAAAGAACCATCTGTGCCCCTTCCCTGGGTGCACGACACGGTGTTCGAGGCAAGATAACCTGCAGCAACAGTGAGTCACCCGAGCCGTTCAGGGGTCCCCATTAGCTCTAGCTTATGCATTGTCCTCGTCCTGCAGCTATCGCATCCATCTCTCTGGCACCACCCGCCGCAAGTCGGGGCGTATGGTGATTCGATCGCAGCCGCCCCCGCTCATCGACGAACCCCCAGCAGCGTCGCCTCCGCCCATGCCCTCCTTCGTCCCGTCTTCCGCCTCGTGCTCGTACCCGTCGTCCTCGTACCAGTCCTCCTCGTCCTCCTCCCGCGGCCAGTCGCCCCTGCCTACACCGCCGCCCCTCGAGGACTCCCGGCACTACTACCTCGGGCGCGCGCGCTCCGACGGCGGCCTGTCGCCCTGCTTCGAGGACGGGCCCGCGGACACCAACAGCAGCAGCAGCAGCAGCGGTGGCGGCAGCCGGCGCAACTCGTACATCGACGTCGGCATCGCCGTGCCCGGCGGCGGCGGGTACATCGAGCCTGACGAGATGCCCGCACCGCTGGTGGACAGCTACCCGGCGCCGCGGATCGAGGACTACAGCAAGGAGCTGGAGGAGCAGCGGATCGTGCGGGCGAAGCACCGCGATCTGCAGCGACGATTTGGGGCGGGGCCGTATTCCGTCAAGGTGCCGATGTCGCTGACCAGGCATCGATCCCTGCCTGCACTGGATATCGCCATGGATGAAACGGGGTCCGCATTGGCGGCTCACTCCGCGCTGGTCGTCCAATCCTCGTCTCCCCCCTATCATCCGTTGTCAATGGGATCTGAGTTCTCGTCCCCCGTCAGCAGGAGTGCAAGGAACGGGCGGACGCTGTTGCAGAGCCGCTCGATGGACCATCTCGGCGTCACCTGCACCTCCAGCTCGCCCTATGACGCGTCGCACCTCGCTGCTTATGCATATGGGTACAATGCAGCCGAGATGGACGAGGAGGGCTATGACTCGGAGTGCAGCTCGTCCCAGAGCCCGTCCGTGCCGTTCCCCGCCGACTACCCCGGCTACGAGGCACCTCACGAGATGCACTGCCAACCGGCTATGGACGTCTCGCGGGATCTCCTCCAGCAGCATGTCTCGGACTTCCCGTCACGGTCTTCGGTCGAATCTCAGCAATCCCTGTACTCTTGCGACGGCAACTTTGTGACCTACCCCTCCCACTTTGGCTACTACGAGGGGCAGTACATGGACCACTACAGTGGGGTCCCAGCCGGCGCGTCGCCTGAGGGATACTCTCTAGCTGCTGGCCCTCTTGAAACGCCAGTTCTCCATCAGCCTCAGCCCCAAGCTCCGGTGGAGTACTTCGCCGCTTACGTCCAGAGCCCCTGGGTCATGGCCAACCAATAGTCTCGATATCTTGATACGCTTCCATAAGAACAGTTTCTGGCATATCACTGTATATAATTCTGTACACTCTCGGATCCTTCACACCTACGTACTGTACTTACTTGTCATTCTTCTTAAAACATGTTCACGACGCGCACCGTACACGGACCTACTCTACTTACTTACGTGTACTTGGTCTGCTAAAATATTTGGCCCTGCTGCGGCCTCGTTACGGTCACTCGCGGGGACTCTACGCGAAACAGCATCCCACCCACCGGACACAACACTTCCGGAGCTTCGAGAACGAAGGCTGGAACGCAGCAGCATATCTATCTATCATCTGGCCTGCAGCGGTGATGATAAGAATGCAGCGATGCCCGTTGCAACCCAAGACACAATCAGCTTCTCTTTATCAAATCGCGCTGCGCTCGAAGACAGCTGCTCGTGGGCTCTTCGGGGACACGTCTGATCGGGCACCTGCAGACCGCGTGGCGGGCCTCTGTGCTGCGAATGAGTAAGCGGGACCCACACAAAAGCTGAGCTCATGCGCCTGCCATAAGCACATGAATTTTACCGTCGTGGATCGCGAGGATGTCGTGCGTGGGATGTTCTAGTCAGGCCCCCGCTGACTGAGATATAATCCATTCCAGTGAATGGTGCTTGGGAGTGAAGACACAGTGCTCAAGGCAGAGGTACGATGGATCGAAAGGACTGGGGGCTCTATGCACTCTCAAAGCAATGCAGATTTGAGATATAGCAGTGGTGGTTTAGCCGAGCTCGATTCTGGATCCTCCGCCGTCAACCAGCACAGCAGCTACCGTAACGATCTGCCGTTGGAAGATCGGAGGACTAGACCTTGGCTACAGGTAGCGGCGTCTGCAATGATCACAAAACTGAAGCGAGTTGAGGTGTCTCATGATCATCAGCAATCCTCGAGTAGCCTATGATCTGCACCATGTCAGACTCGGATCACCGCAATCACAGACTATTTCCCCACAATTTCTCGCGTTTTCAGATGGAATCTGAACTGAATCTGTCTTTTTCTGGGCATTTGGCGTGCACCGCGCACCAGCGCTCAAATCTGCTACGAACGTGCTTATCCTGGCTGATATCTGGGAGCGTGAGAGTTTGAGGTCGCGAGACCGAGTGGGTTAACTGTTTTACCTCGGGACCGCTCGTGTACGCACGCCTAAGCGCGATCGATTCGAAAAGCAAACAGATCACCTAATATCATCGATACCCCTTCTACAGCACGCTGTGAATCCGGCCGCCAGCCTCTCTTCGAGTGCGAAGAAGCGTGCGGATAAATCGATTTGTTCCCTTGAGCGTCGCCTGGCCCCTCAAAGGGGATCGCATTGCCCGTTGCTCGTCCGTGCGATCGAGACAGAAAAAGCACGACTGGCGCCTGATACCAGCTCACGACCGGTTGAATCTCGATATCCGCCGCCCCCGGACAAGCAACTCAGAGCCCACTCCCCAGCGCTGGATCCGGATGTCCCAGATAATGAATGAAACCGGGCCCCGAGCGCATATCCCTGGCGGAAGCCCTGATTGGCGCCTTGTAGGTGGGCGCAGCTGATGCGGGTCCGCGGCGAGCTGGTATTGATTTCCAGATCGCCGCACTGCTCGGCTGCGCACGCGGGCCGTCGATGGAAAACCCGGTGGAAATTCAGCGGACGCCGCTCACCGAGCCGGCGCGCGCGCGTGCGCGTGTGCTGGCCACGTGAGCGACGCGGATGCAGCGCGTGATCGTGTCTTCGACCGCGGCTGATCCGATAATGCCGACCGGAGCCAACCCAACGACCCGCCTTTTGGCGCGGTTTTGCCCCAAATTAGGAGATGCATATCCCGCGAGGTGCATAAGTATGAAATAATCCGCAGATCGCAGATTCGTGGGGGTTTATGAACTGAGCATGTTGGTTCCATCCAGAGAACCGCTGTGCAGAGACGATTCCTTGCTCTCGCCCCCCGTGAGTTGCATGTGCAGACACCGGCGCCCGAGAGTTCAATTCTTCTCGGCCGATAGTACAGGCCCATGACAAGGCCAAATACGCACAGGAGAGGGTATAAAACTGCGTGACACCGCCTCCCTCGAATCCACCACATCTCATCGATTAACCACCATGTACACCGTGCGTCCCCCGCCCCGCTCTCCCCCGTATTAGTCGGCGCTGACGCAGCCTGCTGTAGACCTCCACCAGCCTCCCCGTCTCCGAGAACTGCGGAAACACCAAGTGCACCTGCGGGACCGCGTGAGTGCTGTTGCCAGCCGTTTGGGCGTGCGCGCGATCGATCGTTGTTGACTCGGGCGGTTGCAGCTGCCAGTGCAAGCCCGGCGAGTGCAAATGCTAAGGGATCCGCCCCGCTCGCCGGCCTCGTCGTCGATAAGTAGATCTGTAGTTATTGCGAATGTGAATATCATCAGTGTATTGTTCGGTTGTGCGGATCGTGTGCGGGAGGATTGCAGCGCCTGGTTTGAGAGACTACTACTGGCTTCGTGAGTCGCCTGACGTAGTCATCTGTCCTTCACCCGCGGGAGGGTGTGAGTCTGGCGTTGGCACCCGGCGTGCATGTGGAGAAATATCGCCTTGTACGAAAGGAGACTGATTAGTGGAGGCACTAGTGCCGCACCGCCCACCCCGAAATGGCGAAAGATGCTCCTGGATAGTTTACTCCAATTCGCCTACAGGTTTCCTCGCTCCTGGGACGTGGAATGAGAGGGACGTTCTGACGAGAAATGGCGATTAAGCGAGACAGTTTTCCTAGACGGAGTAGCCAAGGTAATATTGACAATCCAACATGCATCATGAACAATTGTCTTTAATCTGAAAGCGTGACGCCCAAGTAGGCGTTGAAGGAATGTTCATGTACCAGCGCTCTGTGACATCCATTTGCTACTTGAACGAGATATGACGTCTCACCAAGGGCTACTTAGTACGGTGCAGGAACGACTCGTGACAAGAAAGCAGGGCAGCCCGAGCCTGGCGAGCCACCCTCCCCATGACGACGACGACGAGGAGGAGCGCAAATCAGCAGCCAAGCGACCCGGGCTCGCTTGCCGAGGTTCTTCCCACTCTGAGAACGCGCGGTGTTTCTCCTGTGGGAATATTCCAGTGTGTGTCTTTCGCCGTGTCGCAATTAAACAAGCGCTGGAGCGTCTCTCGGACGACACGGTGACTGCACCAACGCCGTGATTCCCGCTTTCTGCACTCTCCCTGGGGCCTGGGACCCAATTCAGCTCGCTCACTGAGCCTCCTACGTCATGCGTCTCCACAGTCAAGATGTCTGAACAGGGAGGGGACTCCGGAGACTTGATGCAAAGCGATCGTCATTCCAGTGAAAACAAATTCGATACTCGACCCCGGAGTTCAATGGCCCAAGCGCCCAAATGCCATCTCCCCGACGACCGTCCCAATAACGATGCTCGCGATGTACGCAACATTGAACGTCCTGCCGCAGTCAGCGTCGGTCGGCGCAAGGGGCGGGCGGACAACATACATGGCAACGAGCATTAGCGCGTAGTGGAATGTGCTCTGCACACCCGCGAGCGCCCCGCGCGCGAGCTCCTGCGTGAGGATGAACGGCGTGCGCGGTGCACGGCGCGGCACGGGCGGAATCGCGTGCGTGTCGGCTGCGTCCGCGGTGAGCGGCTTCCCGTCCTCTGCGGACATTCGTGCCATGAGGCGGCGGGTCCTAGACGGCATTCTTGAGTAATCATAGACACTCGAAGTCGGGACGGGGAGGACGGACCGTGCGACACAGCGGGTGCGGAACTCGGCGTGCAGCGCGCGGAGGTAACGCTCGCCGACGGCGAGGAGGAAGAAGATGAGGCAGGCCGCGAATATCTCGCCCCCCGAGCGCGGGGCGATGGATTTGAAGAGGACGAGGTCGCCGGGGGTGAAGTGCAGGTAGGCCTTCATCATCAGCGACATGTCCGGCATGCTGTGGTCCGGCATCGCAGATGAGGTCGCGTTCGTCGAGGGCGCAGAGCTCGTCATGTTCATCATATCCATGGTCGGCGGAGAATAGAGCGGAGAGTGAAAACGGACTGCGAGCTGGGGTAACTAGCGATTGGGAATCCGCCAATGTTCGAGCGCAGAGGGAGAGTGTCGCATTTAAGAGTCGGAACTGACACGAGTCTCTTCGCTAATGTGGATCTGGATTCCCCCCGAGAAAAGAGCGGCTCGTCCCAAGAGTACTTAACAAGAGATGAACCAGGTTGAATGTCACACAACAAATCCGCGTCATGTCTCAACTCACCCGTTCTGATCCCGTCACGGCCGATTAGTCCCGAGCGGGTGAGCCAATCGCAGAATTGCGGCCGGCGAAAAGATCTCATCATCTTGCTCGCGTAACCAGCCCGTCACGCCTATATAAGTGCTTGAGACGTTTCCGCTGACCGGTTTCCGTCCCTTGCTGTCTCCATCCTCCCTCCCCAGACGCTGGCCCTCTTTTCCCTCACTTCAAACTGTCCTCCGACCTTCCTAGCATGCTCCCACAACTCCCCGGGTCCCCTTCTATGCAGTCATCTCCTTCCCGATAATCATCCCTCAACACCTCAACGCGACGTTCCTGTACCCTGTGTCAAGTGTGTATGCACCCAAGGGAATCCTCCCAACCTTCCGCCCGCAAGATTACACTGCGGACCACTACCGCTTCACCCTCAGCAAGCCCACAAACCGGTTCGCCTCGCCAGCAACACGAGACAGGCTCGCCTCTGTATCATCGTCACCCCAGCTCACCTCACCCGTTCACCCGGACCCTCCCTATCACCACTCCCCTATCCATCCCCTGCTCGCCGGCGGCCATCTCTGATCTGCCACCGCCCACTGTTGCGGTTCTCGTTTCACCGTGCTCGATGGGGCTCGCTCGCTCCCCCGTGCGTCGCAGTCCATGTGCTCTCCTGCGTGCTTCTCCCGCTGGTGGCGACGTATGCGATGATCGGGTGGAGCTCGTTGCAGGCACGGGGCTGGGCATGGCGCTTGGCGTTGCGCTTAGGCTTTTTGGGGGTGCAGAGTGATGAAATTTGCCGGCTCAAGATGGTCTGGGTCTGCGATCGGGGGTCCCGTCGTGCTCGGAATCGTGCGGTATCTCCTGGTGATATCTGGCTGATGTGTGTTGGATTACTTGTTTAAATCGCGGCGATGAAATATACAATCGATCTCGACTTTGCGTTGGGTTACTCTCCTCTCCTCGTACCCTCAGCAGCAGCAGATATGGGCTTGCCTTGGGATGATGTCTTTGGCGTCTTGCACTCGTCGCGCGATGCTTCGGGCTACGATTGGGCTGCGATGTCCGCTGATCAGATCGCGCTCATCAAGATGCGGTGGCACAATGTCCATCCGGTTCTTCTCCCGTTGTTTCTCGCACTGATTGTTTCGCGCGCAGTGGTACACGGCGGACTGGGACTACGGCCTTGCGACGGTCGCTTTCTTCTGCGCCGCCATCTTCGCCGTGTTTCTCCTGCACGTCACCGCGTGGTTCCGGGTGAGGCAGCAAAAGAGGTCTGTCTGCCCACCTAACCTTGGGCAGACCCTGTTGATTGACACGCGCTCCAGATCCCAGCGCCTCACGCTTACAGACCGGATTGCCGCTGCCCTGCGATACTTCTCCGCGCGCCAATTCCGCGTGGCACCTCTGGGGTACTACGCGCCGGCGCTGGGCAGCCTCGTGGGCGTGGCGGGGATGATCATCTTCGTCTTCGGTGCGTCCGCGCGCCCTCCGCCCCCGTCCCATGCTGACGCCAACCGACCGCCGCAGTCCTAATGCTCTCCGCGCGGCCGTACATCTGGCCGAACCCCGCGATGGGCCACAGCCCGCCGCTCGCGACGCGGACGGGATGGATGGCGCTCGGGATCATGCCGTTCATGATCGCGTTCGCGGCCAAGGCGAACTGGGTCACGCTCGTCACCGGCACGTCGCACGAGAAGCTGCAGGTGTTCCACCGCTGGTCGGCCGTCCTGATGTGTGCGTGCTTGGCTAGTTGTACGCGCGCTGCGCGGCTGACGCGTCGTGGCTAGATGTTACTGCGCTGGTGCATACGTGTTTGTTCATCATGCATGACCGCGCGATGGGCACGCTGTCGTCCCAGTGGTACTCGTCCGAGTTCTTCTGGACAGGGACGGTCGCGCTGGTTCCCCAGGTGTGCGCGGTACCTCGGTAGCCTTCGAACCCCGCTGAAATCAGTACCAGACGTTTCTCGTCCTTGGATCGTGGAGCGTCTTCCGGAACAGGTACTACGAGATCTTCAAGAAGTGAGTGTGTGTTGTAGATTATCTCCGAGACGCGCACTGACGAACGGCTAGACTCCACTTCATGCAAGTCCGCCATCTCCAGACATCCCTTCTCTCTGACAACCTTGCAGCGCATCGGGTTTGTTCATGGCCGCCATGCTCGTGCACATAGACTTCACGCTCTCTTCCTGGTGCGTGGTCCTCCCACTGTCCTTTCCGTTTCCCCCATCTCATCCTCCTCTGCAGGGACTACTTCATCGCCACCGGCGCACTCTACTTCACCTCCTGGTTTTACCGCGAGGGCCGCACCCTACTCGTCTCCCGCCTGGGGCTCCCCGCGACAGTAGAATCCGCCGGCCCAGGACTCGTGAAGCTGACCATCCACGGCGTCGGCGACAAGATCCGCTGGGCGCCGGGGCAGCATGCCTTCGTGCGCGTGCTGTCGCTCGGGATCCACGCGCTCACGACGCACCCGTTCACGATCGTATCGCTCCCGCAGGACAAGGACAAGGACGCGGTCATGATCATGGCCGTGCGCAGTGGGACCACCCGCGCGCTGGCACGGCGGGCTGCCGACGCCGCGCCCTGGTCGACCCGGGTGCTGTTCGACGGGCCGTACGGCGGCGTGCGATTCCCCGTCCGTGCGCACGAGGCCGTGTTTCTGTGCGCCGGCGGGACGGGCGCGACGTTTGTGCTGCCCGTGCTCGCGGATCTGGTTGCGCAGCGCGCGAGGATCTGTCGGCGGGTCGAGCTGGTGATTGCCGTGCGAGACGAGGGTGCGCGTGCGTTTGTGTCTGTGTGTTCACCCGGACTGACCGCGCTGCAGACGCCTATGAGTGGATGCAGGCATTCATCGACACTGCACTCAAGGACGCGCCCGAGTGTATAGCGATCTACGTCCGCATCTTCTTCACCTGCTCCGGCGCGGAGAAGATCAAGCAGGATCCCGACGATGCGAGCAGCCTCGCACGGGGCGTGATCGCATATGGCCGGCCCAGCCTGTCCGCTATCGTCAACGAGGCCAAGCACAGCGCGACATCCGTCGCCATGATCGGTCAGTCTCTCGCCTCTGCTTCTGTCCGCTGCTGAGATGAGCTATAGGCTGTGGCCCAGAGACGTTCATGTACGACCTCCGCAATGCGGTTGCCGACGCGCAGCTCGAGATTCTCGATGGTCTTGGGTGCCTGTGTAAGGACCTCTTCTTCCACGGCGAGTCGTATAGGTGTGTCTGTCCGTCGCGGTCATGTATTCGGACAGGGCTCATGTTTCGGGCAGTTGGTGAGGAGGATGTCTAGTGCATTACATACTGTGCGCTTCCAGATCACGTTGAATGCGTCTGGTTCCATTCCGGTTATCGTTAGAATGTAATCCTTCATACTTGAAAGAATGGCCCAAGCCCAAACTGCACGTCTTTTGCGGATACCGATGAAAAGCTGAAGTTTTCGTTCTTCAGTCCTCAAGTCGCAGGTTCAGTCCTCAGTTTCACTCAAGTCAGTCCACCTCTCCAACACAGCTGTGTTGCTCCACTCCATCATGTACACACAAACAACGTGCTGCAGCCACCTACTCAGTCCCGTCGTCAAAGTTCGCCAGCTGCACATCACCCGGAATGCCCTTCACGATCTTCGCACACGCCTTGCACACCGCGGCCGTCGCAGAGCACGCCGTAGACGCTTTCGCGCTCGCGCTCGGTTTCGCCGAAGCCGGAGCGGACTTGGTCGCAGCTTTCGACTGGGTGGGCGGTGCGGGCTTCTTCGCGGGGGTCGGTTTCACTTCGCGGGGGTCAGGGCACAGGCACAGAAAACAGGATGTGGGAGGGAGGGAGAGCGCTCACCGGCGGCAGGTTTCTTCGCGACTGGTTTGCCAGGGACCGGTTTCGTCGTCGGTTTCGCAGCGGGCTTTGCGGCTGGCTTGACTGGGGGCTTGGCAGCAGGCTTGGCCGCAGGCTTTGCGACGGGTTTGGCTGCTGCAGGTTGCTTTGCCGCAGGTTTCGCAGCGGGCTTAACGACAGGTTTCGCGGCAGGCTTGACCACCGGCTTTGCTGCTGGTTTCGCGATGGGCTTAGCGGCAGGTTTCGCAACAGGTTTGGCAGCGGGCTTCGTAAAGGGTTTGGCAGCGGGCTTCGTGACGGGTTTGGCTACAGGCTTCACAGCAGGCTTGGCCACGGGCTTGACCACAGGCTTAGCGACGGGCTTCGCAACGGGCTTCGCAACGGGCTTTGGGACAGGTTTGGCCGCAGGCTTGGAAGGCGGCCGCGCGACAGGCTTCACCTTCGTTTTGACCACCGACTTGGCGCGCTTCTCAGCAGCAAAGTCCCGGATCGGGAGCTGCTCGCTAATGAAGCAGTCGGGCTTGAAGAACTCGGGGTTCGATTCCGCCTGCAAGATCGGAGCATCAGTCACGGGAAATGGGCCAGAGAGCGTTGGACGCACCAAGAGAGCGAAGAACGCGTAGTTCTGCGGGTTGAGATGCTTGAGATGCGCGTCCAGGTTCTGCACCTGCTGGAAGCCATACGCGCGTTTGGGTCCGATCTTCTGATCGACGAGGTGGTCCTGCTCGGCATTGTCCATGAGCACGTTCGAGTGCTGCACCTCGTGAATGATGGTGAACGCGAGCGGTGGCACCTGTACGCCCTGGTCGGTCTGCAGCCCGTTCTTCACGGTGAAAACGCCCCCGGGTTCATCCCCGCTGCAGCCTGCGCCATCGTCCGCGTGTTCTGCATGACAAGTCAGCATCTCTCGCCAGCGGCCCTGGGTCGAACGGACCAGGAAGTGAATGGGCGAGATCCGGATGAGGTTGAGCACGGGCGTCACGGGCGTGTTCTTCGTCTTGCGGCCACTGTTGACGGTGGTCGCGAGCACCTCAGCGGCCTTCTTCGTCCCCGCCGGGATGCAGGTGAAGATGAGGTCGTTCGGGCTGTTCTCGAAGGGCACCGTCGACGCGATATGGTCCGGCGTGCCGAGTTTCTGCACGAACGAGAAGTGGCGGGAGACTTCACTCGGTGCGACAGCCGCGCCGCCTGCGATGAGAGAACACACACGGACACACATGTATCTATCAGCTTCACTGCGATGACCTTTGGCACGAGACACGCACCAAACATCCAGAAAAACCCGTTGCTCTTCTCCATCTTCGGTACCCCAAGGATCTTCCGCGCGACCGCAGACGCGGACTTGGCGTCGACGATGGAGCGCTCGATGGCCGCAGCCTGCTCCGGCGTACACATGTCGTCGTCCGTCGCGCCGGTGAGCTGCGCGGGCGGTGTGCCGACGAGGATGTGGAACTTGAGCCCCACGCGCGCTTCGACTTCCGCGTTGTGCCGGCTCTCCAAATCCGCCGAGAGAGGAGTCCCTTGAGCACACAGCACGGAGAGCAGCACAGCTGATATCGTCAACGAGAAACGCATAAGTGCGAAAGTGAAAAAGGGCGACGAAGGAAAGGAAAGGAAAGCGACGAGAGAAGGAGAAAAGAAAGGCTCTGTGTGGTCGACACACGAGAGGAGAGAAACAGAATGCGGATCGGCATCGAGAGGCAGCAATATTTATAGCGATGTGAGTGTTGTGGTCCGTGGATGACCCTCAAACACTATCGGGAAGCAGACTGCCAGGAAATCACCACATCAAAGTCCCTGATCGGTCGTCGTCATCACTGCGGGAGTGGAACAAAGTGATTTTTCCTGGCAGACTCCCGAGGACTGCTCGGATTTGCTGAATTTGAGAGGGTCAGTCCAAGATAGCGGTCGTATAAAACGGCAAGTTGTGAAGAACAGGACAGGAAATTGAACTTTCGTCGTTGTGCTGGAAAGGGAGTGAAACGTGGACGGTGATTTCTTGGCGCAGATCGTCTTGATTTCATATTAGTTTCACAATTTGTCAATGAATCAGTTGCCCAGACGGAACCGCCACGTGAGAGCATAGAGCCGTACGTAGTTATATGCATGTTTCCTATAGTATCATTCAGACAAGATCAGAGCTTCGGTTGCTTCGGTAATCTACCTGTCCTGAATTCAAATGGATCATTCGACTTTCTGTATCTTGTTGCCCATTCCGGCTGTGAGAGGGGGGGGCAGGGAAATGGATTCTCCCTGCACAGAAAAATGAAAGAGTCCAAGAGTCTAGAAAATTTTCTCCAGGTTTACCAAACCATGCCACCAAAGCATCCACAGATCTGATCTCAAGGGCTACACAATTGTTGCAAGCTATTTCAAGAATCATACACTGTCTTAAAAATCAAGACACGACGCACGCTCCTCAAGCAAGGACAATTCATTAAGACTCGTTTCATGTTTGTCTCATCGCTAGTTATTCACAAGATGACCAATTTCCTATATAAAGAACGTACTTTCCGCCCCGCATCGAGCGACTGGCAATGCTACATGTTAGACTCAAGATTCCTTCGACTAGGAGCAGATGCGTGTTGATCAATAAGAGAGAGCTTAGACTTCGTAATGACCAGTCTGTAGTTCGAGTGTTGTCGTTCATCACTACATCTACAGACATTCATGAACTCGAATTTGCTGAAACCGTGAGCGTGAGAGAACGAATCAACAGCGGTGCACGTCCTATCAAACAGCACGACATATTGCGAAATCTGGAAAGTTGAAACGTCCAGTAGTCGCTTTAGGAGTTTGTGTGCAGATTTCAAGGTTGTCACTAATGATGATAAATCTGCTCTCATATTACTAGAATTTCGCATCAAAAAAGACGCAGTTGAGTCAATGACATCTTTGTGTAACAGTTGAAGACATGAACCAAAAGAGGATCAACAATCGAATGTGATCCAAGGGCATCAGTTATTTTCTGGACATTGTGTCAAGGCCCCAACGAATGCTTTGAAATGTTAACTGCTATGTCGGACATGTTTAGTGGACATTAGATACATCACTTTACAGGGTGTTGGACCAAAACTGTTGAACAATGGCGCTGTAACTAGGTTTAGGGTTGGACAAAATGTAACCCGGTTGAGCAGTGGCCCTGGTTCTCATTGCTGATATCGCTCTTGCAGTTCCAGTTTAGTACGCTGCGCGTGCCAGATTTTATTTTATTTTTGTTTTCATTGCCCATTTGCGTGATTAACCCCATCATCATTTTCTCCGTCACTCTAGTGGAATCGCCTGGGGATATTTATTTTCTTGGAAAATTCCGCTAAAGGTAAAGTTTCAGGTTCTGACTTGTGTATGGACAAAAAATGAATTATACTATGTATCGGTTAGAAAAAAAAAGCCGTACTCGGGCTTGAAACGTGTTGAAAAATATGGGAAGCATCAGCCAATCTTGAGGCTAACATTCATGGGCATCATGCGGGGTTCTGTGGTGCTCAGATGCAATTAGAAACATGAGCAGACTAATCACAGATCATGATCTGATATTTCATCACGGTGGCTGCGTCGTTGCGGCTTTCTTCTCACTGTAACCATGCAACCAGCCGAATTGATATTCCTCCTTATACTAGCGCTCACTAGTAATACCGCCAAATTGATCTGTTCTCTCCCATCTCATTAGAGGGGATCCGGCTGTGTCTTACGGGATACCCTTTCGCTGCGCTGATTGTTGTAGAGCTGAACACCAAATGAGATCGACAGAAGGCACTTTCAAGTCCTTCATTCTTGAAGGCGTCGATTCTTTGCCTTCCATCCGTTACCTCTTCAGGTCGTCAGCCAAGCCGAACTGTATGCCCCCACCTCTTGCTGCTTCTGCGTGCTGACGCTGTACGTCTCCAGGAACTATCTTCACCCGATGTCAGCTTCGACATGGAGAGCAGAGGACACCTCCGCATCGATTCCCGCCCGAGTTTTCCCGTTGCTGGCCGACGTCACGGTGCTGCCTCTGCTCCGGATACTGAGCATTCCTCGCGGACATGCTACGCCGCCTGCCTGACGGTCGCGTGCAACTGTACCTCAGCGGGGTGACGTCGCCGTGGCCCTTGCCTTCGCAGCTGCCGACGCGTTTCCTCATGCTGCGCTCCCCCAATCGCATAATATGGTCACCATGCGGCCTTCGCTGCCTGCCGTGTCGATCCCTGTCGGGTCAGGCTCCGGAATGTCCAGAATGGAGCAGTATCGGGCCAGTCAGGTTCTGATGGAGGACTTCGGCGGGTACTTTCACTCTGGAGTGTCCGACTGGGTGTGCTTCTGGCACCGCCGAAGAAGTCCTTGGAGGATCCTATTGCGCTCCACCATCTACCTCTTCAGTTGCGATATATGCGTCTGGTACCTAATTGTGCTGCTCTGCGCTGTCGTCGTCGTCGCTTTTCTCCCAGTCTGTGTCCATGTACTAGCGCAAAGTATTGACAAGGCCTGCAATTCAGGATGGCTAGGCATCATCTCCCTCGCTCCCTAACACACGTTACCATCAACTCTGCAGGCAAACGCCACGACTTGATGGCAAACGGACATCTCGGATGTCCCTAAGCCCCAGTACCTAGGCAGGCGATAGTCCGGGTCAACGGCACTGCGCGTACATTGAGTATGCATGGAGGGCTGAACGTCGCAAGCGGCCGCGTGGAAAATCTGTCTCCAACAGAGCCAATGAGGGTGCGGCTAAGAGGACAGCAGCTCTCGGACGAGCTAGACGGGATCCCCGCAGGGCTCGCAGAGGACCGCAATCAAGTGCGGTCGAGATGGAGAATCGAGGCAAGCGATTAGTCAGTTGTTAACTGGGATCGACCCGCATCCACGACGATCGCTCTATGTATCTGCATCTGGACACGACGTCCCCGTTGTCCAAGTTCTCGGCTGTTTGCCGGTGGTGCTCCGAAGCCCTGCTCATTTCCGCCGACTCGCTCCGCGCCAACACCTGCATTGAGGTGAACAGAGCACACTGCTAGAACTCGCGCTGGCAATCTACTTGCGACACTCTCTAGAAGGCCAGAGCGTCTCGACCCCGGCCCTCCGGACCGTGCACACGACGCGCTTCAGCTATGCACTCCGCGAGAAAGAGTATCCGGGAATCACGGCGTTCCCCCGCCGATTTGGGCGAAACCGGACGATGGATGAGAATGAAGGATGCGGCAGGCTGAGAAGGGTAGGCCTAGACAGCCTTTGGAGTGAGGCCATTGGATGTCGCACAATGGTACAGCGATTTGGAGGTCCTGCTGCTGCTGCATGTCGCCAATGGCTCTAGCCTCAATGGTGCGGAAGCGATCAGAACTACTGGCAGAACACAAGCAGTTCACGGCAGTGGATCTGAGAAGTGGCAGCTCTTGAGACATCAATGGAGAACGAGATGATGTTGCGGTAGTCGGGCGTCAGGCTACGGAACGGTGGGTCTCGGGATGTGACGGAGCAGACAGAGCCTGCATGATCATACACCAGCCGCGCACAGATTACAGCCGCCTCCGCCCCATCCCTGACAAACAGAACCCCCTCGTGTGTCTGCGCACGCCATCGAGCAAATCCGCCCCACTTGCTTCGAGCGCGACGACAACCAGCCAGCTCTCATGCATCCGGGTGACCAGCCGAGCCGGAGGGGCGTGGTTGATAGGCACAGGGCCGAGCAATCAGTGCTTGCTGGGCCGCGCGATGATGTCTATAAGGCGTGGTTCGTATTTGTGTGCCGGGAACCCGGGGGAGGCCTACGGTCAGGGAGCGGAGGATGTAAGATGAGTGACAGAGGAAGGAGAGCAGAGCTGCGCACCGTTTCACCTCGACGCACTCCACCGCACTCCCGCCTGTCTCCAAATGTTCCGTGCGGTGCAAGATCAGCTGCACAGCCGGGGCAATCCTGGTGGCTCTACTCATGAGGAAGTCGACGCCCGGCACAGCAGAATCGTGTCGAATGAGGCTGAGCCATCGAGCGTGGTGTTCTGCGACTGATACAGTCAGCGGAGTCCCCGCGCCAAATGTCCATCCGTGTGCAGACAGCGAAGGAGTCCCCTGGGCTGAGAACCATGATGGAATGGAGAGAGATCTGGACTCATTCGGCCACTCAAACCAAGCGTCGTGTGGGTAACCCAATCAGAACTGCCATGCCAGCCGCGTTTCGTAGAATCGGGAACGACTGACGTGGCGCCAAATGAGGGGAAGAGCACTGCATGCACGGTCGCAAATCGACTTAGATAGATAATGGCGGTGTGAGTGCAGTCTGGACATACCCATTGAGCGAGTGGTCCCTTGATCGACTTTGGATTCTACATTCGTCGGATGGTATGCGTCAGGACGGCAGATGTTGTGCCTCTCAGCTGCCGGCCATCGCGGCGTAGGGAGAACGGAATCGGGTTTGGCCAGCTGAATTGCAGTCACGCCGGAAACACAGTCCCGAGTTTCTAAATTCTGAGTCTTCGAGGAGAAACGCGAGTCAGATGAGGTCATACGAGAAAAGCATGGGAATAAGTCACATGACTCGATCCGCGGGAACTGAGAAGCACTGTAAGAAGTTTTCACGGGTTGTTGTCCGAAGCCTCTGCGACTCTGACGTTCAGATGCGCTGTGCACGGACTCTACTAGATCATCACGTCCGATGTCTCTCTGAGGAGTCATCCTGGTTTCTCTTCGAGCCCATGCCCGGCGTAGGAAGTGGACAGCCAGCGCTCTAGTCGACGGAAATCACGGAAATTCGGGTTGACCTGCGCGGCGAACGAAGGCCAGCCGGGGCACGGATCGGAGTGACCGCTGTGGGATGTGGGTTTCAGCTGCAGATGGGGGCTGGAGGCGGACTAGATGAACACGCGATCAACGATCTGCGTTGCCGTGTCATGCAAATCCGGGCAACTTGCACATCAAAGCCCACGGTCAATCCAACCCGCATTCGCAACACCGGGGAATCAACACCGTACGCGTCAAAACCTAGCCAGCATATCATATTATGGGCAGCAGCATAAGTACGTCCGCCACGCCATCCATTCCACTCGCTATCCCGTCCTCTGCCTCCAAGAATGTCTAGCCCCGAGGGAACACGCTCAAAGCCGCGGAGTATGATCGCGTGCACCGAATGCAGGCGCCGCCGTGTCAAGGCATGTGCGCGCCCACAATCCTCTCGGATTCTGTCCTGACGGTCCCACAGTGCGTGACAAACGAGATCCCGCCCGTGACGCCTTGCGCACGATGCGTCAAACGCCAGCTGGCCTGCGAGTACGTCGCGACCCAGGACGGCGCAGAAGAACAATATATTCCCCAACAAAACACCGCGTCGTCGTCGTCCTCGGTGGCGGTCGCGCTGCCCTCCGAGACGCCCATGCAGCAGGATTTCCCGCACTACCCCGCACCGGCCCGCGGACGATCCGCGTCCCGGCACTCGACGCACCGGACGATGCCGGCAATGTACGGACAGCATGCGCATGGGCAGCCCGGGCTGCTCCGCCCGAGTCCAAACCCGCACGCATACGATATCCAGATCCTGCATGCGCAGGAGTACCTCCGCAAACGCGCCGCCTCCGCTGCACAGGCCCAGAGCCAGAGTCACGTGGGCAGCCACGGTGGGGGCGGTGCGGGATATGGCCCTGCGCCGAGCTCGTTTCAGGTCGAGGATGTCCCTGGGCACGTTCCCGGAGGAGGAGGCGGAGGAGGTCCGCAGGTGTTTGACTTTGGGGGAATGGACTTTGAAGATCCGTTCCTGCGGGATGTGTTGACCAACCCGGAGGACTGGGCACTTGGGAGCAGGCGAGACTAGAGTTGTTTTACCCTGAGCGAGGCGGCATACGCTCCAAGGACTTGAGTTATTCTCTTTACGTAGATTCATGACGACTATACCCCACTCCGTATGTAGCGGAGCAACAAAATGCCTCAAAATTTCATCTTGAGTTTCGACCTGTTACGTCAAGCTCCGACCTGGAATCGGGTTTCGACTCTTTTCTCGGCGGATGACGGATTTCGGGAATTCGAACCATCGGGTCCCCGCGTTGAACGATTATAGACGATTATCGTGTCTCCCGCGTTCTTTGTTTCAACCTGGTGTGGATGTAAATTGCTTCGGTGTTCTTCGAAGTTCGGGCACGGGGACGCTTTCCCGCCGAGCTTGTGTAAAATTTCCATGATCGGTGACAACCTGTCCACAGCGACACTTCTGACCACCGTGGTGCTTTTGCGCCCAAGCGAAGATCTAAGCTGCTAAAATGAACATATATCCGTGTTGACTGTTCCGCGTGACTTTCCCCGTGGCGATCAGAGACGATGACATCATTCTAAGCTCTCGACCTTTGAGCGTGAATGACAAAGAAGATGGACACGGAGAATCGAGAAACCCCTTCGCTCTGCCTCGCAAAAGAGGGAGATGCAAGCAGTCCCGTTCCGCCCCTATCTTGCCGGGCGACGCGGACCGGGTCTTCAGTGAGCCGTGGAGTCCCGCCTAGTCCCGCTGACTAAGAATGCCGCTGTCTTCCTCTCACGTCGATGACAACACCGTCATCTGGGGGACCCCGCGTCGACTGGGGGCTAGTCCCCATCCCACGGCGTCTGCGATACGACCCGGCACGGCCGTTCGTTTTCACGACGCTGCTGAACGTCCTGTTTGGCTTCGCCGCGACGTTCATCGTTGCGAATTTGTATTACTGTCAGGTGAGCTGGTAAGCTTATCTGTGGCGTGCGTTGCTGAGCTCCTTGCCTTTAGCCTCTGCTCAGTGAGTCCTTGGAAAGGCCTGGTCGACTCGTCTGAGGTGGATTTCCTCCGGCAGTCCAATTCTCCGAGTCGTTTGGGGTAAATTACGATCGCGTTTCTCAAGTCCCGACCCTACTTCAGGCTGGGAGAGTCAGCCTCATCGTTCTCGATTTTTGTTGCTGATACCCTCCCAGATATGCGACAGGCATCATATTCATCCCGCCCCTGGGCGATCTCGTCCGCCGGCGGCAGCTGATCCTGACGCTCGCCGTCCTCTCCTCGAGTCTTACCGTGGGCCTGGCCGTGACGAACAACATCGCCGTGTTTGAGGCGCTGTCGTTCCTCATCGGCGTGGTCTCGGTCACGCCGCAGATCATGATTGTGGGCGGTGTGCTGCCCCCGCGACTCGCGTTGCTGACGATGTCCAGCCTCTCGCGGCTGATTTGGCTCCGCCAGAACGACGGGCGTCGGCGCTGTCTATCGTCTATTCCGGCCTGCTTTTTGGGATCCTCGTCGCACGGGTCATTGCTGGAATTATTGGCCAATACACTTCGTGGCGGGTGGTGTGCGTAGTCATATTTCTATGTATTCCGAGCATGTACTGATCTTGTACCAGGTACTACCTCGCCATCGGCGTCCAAGTTTTCGTCCTCCTTGCCGGATACCTCATCATCCCCGACTACCCCTCCAAAAATACTGATCTGACGTACTTCAAAACTCTCTCCTCCATGGCCCGCTTCGCGTTCACCGAGCCGATCCTCGTCCAGGCATGCCTCGTCAACCTCGCGTCCTGCGCGTGCTTCACCAACTTCTGGGTCACGCTCACCTTCCTGCTCGGTGGTCCACCGTACTTCTACTCGACGCTCGCGATCGGGCTGTTCGGCCTCATCGGTATCCTGAGCGTTGCATGCGGGCCGCTGTTTGGGAGGCTGATCGACGGGCTGGTGCCGTGGTATGCGTCGATGTGCTCGATTGTTCTATTGTTGTCGTTCCAGGCAATACAGACCGCAGCGGGGACGATGAGTGTGGCGGTGGTCGTCGTGGCTATCATTGGTCTTGACATGTTCCGCCAGTCTCTGCAAATGTCGTTGGCCGCTGCCGTCTTCGAGTGTGTCTCCTTTTCGCCAAGATTCATGCACGATCTCACGTGTTTCTGTCAGAATCTCGACGGCTGCGAGAGCGAGGTTGAACGCCCTGTTCGTGCTGTCGGTGCGCGCTGATCTTCATCGCGATCTGGCGTCCAGTCTGACTTTCCAACCAGCTCTTCATCGGGCAACTCATGGGCACTGCCGCGGGCACCAAGGTCTACACGACATACGGCTGGCGGGCAGCCGCTGCCCTCAACATGGGCTTTTACGGCTGGATCCTGATCATCCTGCTCGTCCGCGGACCGCACTGTGCGCGCTTCACGTGGTTCGGCTACGAAGGGGGATGGGCGGTCAAGAGGGTCAAGCCTCCCGTCGCTGACGACGAAAAGAAAAGTGGTGAAAGTACCGTGAGGGAGGCGGAGGCGGATGACGCGGGTCCCCATAAAAGCGATTCCCTCAGAGAATCCGCTTGACGTGTATTTCTTTGCGGATTTTTACCGCAGTAGGACCAAGTACAGGTGAGACGCATCCGAGCCTATGGGGGATTTAGATGGGACCGCTCCGCAGATGAGGCGAAGATTACGTACGTCGATCAATGCTATATTATAGACACAGTCAACCTGGCTTGCTAGAGCCGCTTGAACGCGTTACTTCCTGATTTGAAGTGCCTAGCAGTGCTCGATTGTGCCTTTTCGACTGCTAGCCTCCGATTCGGCCCGCAGTGCGATAGAATGATTCCTGGGGATGCGCAGATGGGAGAGTCCTCAGAGTAATAAGTTCTTCGGCGTATAAGTGCTCAGCCGGTCTCCTGGAGACCAGCGACGGCGTTGTCCTTTGCAATTAGTCGAATACTTGTCCCCCCGGATGGTAACGAAAGCAGGAAGCTGAACCCGAGTGCCACTGAGGCTCCACAAAAGAACGTGATGGATAGACCCCACAGTTCACTTAGAAAAAGTCGGTGAGATCATGGCAGGGTTTGACATTCTTTGGATGAGAATACATTCATTTTTCTGCTAATGGCGGCGGACATGATCTACTACTTCCCGTGACGGATGGCCTCAGGCACAGGCAAGCGATCGAAGTGGGTGACGGAGGTCATGAGATTGCTGTGTTGCAGTCCATTGCCCTGAGAAAAGCATGTCAACACAGGCATGCCGAAATCAAACCCTGGGGTTACGTACGATCATGGTGCTGGGGAAGCCAGGGTCGAACGGCAGGATGCTCTCGAGATAGGTGATCTGTTCCGGGGTCAAGACCAGGTCGAGCGACTCGATGTTGGCCATGAGGTGCTCGACTTTACGGCCCCCGATGATGGGGAAGACGTAGGGGAGCTTTTGCATCAAGTAGGCGATGGCGACTGGAGACGGCGTCAGAAAACTGTCGAGCACGGGGGCGCTGAATGGGGAGCGCACCAGATGTGATGTGCTTCGCTCCGAGTTCACCAGCCACCTTCTCCAGAGCAGCGCACATCTTCTTTTCGTCCGCATTCCGCTCCCAGTTGGGTCCGAACATCATGCGACCCTTCTCACCAGAAGCGCGGCGCGCCTCTTCCTCGGCGTCAGTGCGCAGCTTGCCTGCGGCCAGCACGTTCCATGGAGCGAGAGCCATCCCTTGTACAGCGGTAAGCACATGAAGCTCAGGGTTGAAAAGGGAGGGAGTGCCCCTACCATATGCTCGGGCCATGGGGATGATCTCGCGCTCGAACGAGCGCGCCATCACGTTCCACGCGCCCTGGTAGATGACGAACGGCGACTTGCCATGGTCGCGTGCGTACTGGTTCGCCTGCGCGACGATCCAGGCAGGCGTATCCGAGACGCCGAGGTAGAGGACCTTGCCCTGCACGACGAGGTTGTGCAGCCCGTCCATGACCTCCTCGACGCTGGTGTCCCAGTCCCACCAGTGCACATAGAGGATGTCGATGTAGCTCGTGCGCAGCTTCTTGAGGCTGGCTTCCACGCTGATGTGCATAGACTTGATGTTGTTTCCCATGTAGTTGACCTTCTGAGCGTAGTTGTCCTGCCGCCGCTTCAGGCAGGTGGTGTACTGAGGACGGAATCGATTTCATCGCCGGAAAGACTCAGATGAGCGCTTGCGTACCTTGGTAGCGATGACCAGCTGGTCGCGGATGTCGCGCTTCTCCGCCCATTCGCCGATGAACATTTCCGAGGTCTCATCCTGGCTGTATGGCGCGTCAGATGCTACGCGCATATATGCACCACCAGATCAACGCACTAGGCATTCGCAGTGTCGATGAAGTTCCCGCCCGCGTCAAAGTACGCGTCGAGCAGCTTGAAGCTGGACTCCTTGTTCATGGATCCCATACCGAGGCTCTCCCACTTGTCGCCGATGCTCATCGCACCGAGCTGCAGGGGTGAGACATGCACGCCCGCTTTGGCCGACAGCGTGCGATAAACACCAAGCTTGGTGGCTGGCTGAGGAGGGGGGGCCCAGAAAGACATTTTGTTGAAGCGTGAGGTCAGGAGGTGGTGAGTATGGGAGTGAAAAGACAGTTTGGGTTCCCCTCCCCTCTTATACGTCGGCCTACGCTTGACTGAAGAGTGACGTCAGATAACCATCGATGTACTCGAGTACAGATTGGGCTAAGATTAACAGGCGGCTGGCTTACGCGTATACAGTGCCGCTGACGAATCCTGGTTCTCTACGCTGAGTCAACCAGTGACTTTTCCACAGGCCACGGTAAACCATCCGAGCTACGACAAAGACACTTCTCGTTTCGGCAGATGTCAAAAGGGTGCGATACAGCTTTTGAGACCTCGAAATGGCACTTTGATGGCCGGATTGACATCGTGATGGGGGCGGAATCACATGCTGAGGCTTCCCCCCGGCCATCATCCGGTTTGAAACTCAGGATCAATCAGACTGAGTTCGTAACATCATCGGAACTGATTGAAATGAATATGTGAGCCTGATGAAGATATTGCGATCAGGCATGATATGCAACTCGAAAAAGTCGGTCTGACGGAAAAGTGTTTTTCTGTTTGATTCATCCAATATTCTTCTGTTTGCACCTTGGTGATTTAAATTAAACTGACCCGGAAATGATTTTGATCGGTTTCGGTAATGAAACCGGAAATGGTCTGAGCTTAGAGTTGCCTCAGGCGGTAATGCACCCATAACAGTACGTTGAGTACTCTGGTGGCCTGGAAGGTGCATGCATGTAGCAGAGGCGCTCATACAAATACCCTTGTTCCTGACTTTTCTATCTCTTGCTGCTCTTGTCGCAACTGAACAACGGTATTTGAGAGGAAGGAGAGATTGACTTTCCGGGATGGAGATACCAGCACTTCCAACAGCACAAGCTGATCCACGGGGATGCGACGGGTGTGGGCATTATAGAACCAGGCCGCCCTGGTCGGTCCGAGCGTGGGCAGTCGGGTGACCTTCTGTTTATCTTATCTACACAGCCACGACCATCCGATGGGAGTCCGATTACAATAGTTTACCAGTGAGTGCGACTGCATCGACCAGCCAGTTGCTTGTGCGAGTTACACACATTGGGGTTAATGCACGTCTGGATAGTCGGCGGGCGTATCTCCGGGCCCGAGTCGGATCCGAGGATCGGGCCGATCAAAGTGTTGTCCTGAACTCCTCTAGTTGTCGAGCGACACGCCTAGTCAAGCACCAAGTTCCTCAAACGGGTCTTGATTCAGACAGAGCCAAAAACACACCAGTGCGCCGGGAAAGTTCTGCGTGCGCGAGGAAGAACGGATCTGCAGAACATTCAACAAAACGTCGAAGCCACGCTTCTTGTGACGGAAGAACGAACCGATCAGGGACGCCGTATGGACCATTCGCCATAGCGAGCTCCATTCCACGCGATCCAGCCCTCACAGAAGACCAGGAAAGGACTTCCCGAGCAAAACCACATCGCCGTAATCCGCTTGTGAGTCTTGCAGCACGACTTCCGAAGCCGTGCCCGGATCTTCGGATAGGCGTCCGTCGTCATGACATTTGACGCACAGAACGATGCCGAGACATTCCGCGGAAAGCATGGGCGGGTCTATAGAGCCTTCTTGCGTCCCCTGGTCCCAATCCAAGCTCGAAAAGACGCGCATGCGGCATCCAGGCCCCCCAGATGCAGGGATATTTCCTGGCACGTGCAGCTCCCCAGGCTCCGAGCCCCGCAGGACAACGGAATTGGCTGTGGCTGCTGCGAGGTGATTCGAGGTGGGTGTTGATCCGCGCCGGGGAAGCGTCGCTCGCGCGGATACCCATCTCGGCCCAGTGCTGATTTTCGGAAGGGTAATGCAATATACTGTCGCTCCGATCGGACTGACGGGCGAGTCATCCGGAACAAAGACCCGCGGAAGCTGCTGCGTGCATGCGCAGTCTATAAAAAGACGAGTGAGTCACTCGCCCGTCGAGCACCGGCGCCGAGGGAATCCGGTGACTGTGACCGTGGACGAGGCTTTTTGACTGTCACCGGCCCCAACCCTGGACTGGACGCGGACGATTTAAATAGCGTGGAGTCTTCTGCTGCTTACGGTACCCGTCCTTGCCTTCTTCTCCCCCCATGTCGTCCCCCTCAACTATGGGCCCCGGCTTCGACTGCGGTGTGCTCCCCATCCCACGGCGTCTGCGATATGACCCGGAGCGACCATTCAAGTTCACGATGGTGCTGAATGTCCTGTTCGGCTTCGCTGCGACGTTCATTGTCGCGAATCTGTACTACTGCCAAGTATGTCCTCCATCGTTTTTTTTTCGAAGTGCTTCGCTAATATGGTTGCTGCTCTCAGCCGCTTCTGAGTGAGTTTCATATCGAGTAGAGTCGGATAATGTGTCTGATCCGAATTGTGTTGCACAGTCCAGTTCTCGGAGTCGTTCGGGGTGGACTACAATCGTGTCTCTCAGATACCGACGCTGCTACAGGCCGGGTGAGCCGGTGCCATCCATCTTCCTCGCCGTCCGCGGCTGAAAGATTGTCCCAGATACGCCACAGGCATCCTGTTCATCTCCCCGCTGGGCGATCTCGTTCGCCGACGTCAGCTCATTCTGATCCTCACCCTCGTGTCCGCCGGGTTGACCGTGGGCCTGGCCGTGACGAAGAGCATCGTCGTGTTCGAGGCGCTGTCGTTCCTCATCGGCATGGTATCGCTTACACCACAGATCATGATCGTACGCTTCCTTTCGCCCCAATGCAACTCGCCTTTGCTGATCGAGCGAAGCCTCTTGCAGCTGATCTGGCTCCGCCCGAGCGCCGAGGATCGGCACTGTCCATCGTCTATTCCGGCTTGCTCCTGGGTGTCCTCGTTGCCCGTGTCATCGCTGGTATCATCGCACAATACACATCGTGGCGGGTGGTGTGAGTTGCTCCTCATCGAAATATGGGTCCGGAGAGCTGACCAGGAACTAGCTACTACCTTGCCATCGGCCTCCAAGTCTTCGTCCTCCTCGCCGGGTACCTCATAATCCCCGACTACCCCTCCAAAAACACCGACCTGACGTACTTCAAAATCCTCGCTTCGATGGCCCGCTTCGCGTTCACCGAGCCGATCCTCATCCAGGCGTGCCTCGTCAACCTCGCGTCCTGCGCGTGCTTCACCAACTTCTGGGTCACGCTCACCTTCCTGCTCGGCGGCGCGCCGTACTTCTACTCGACGCTGACGATCGGACTGTTCGGCCTCGTCGGGATCCTGGGCGTCGTCTGCGGGCCGCTGTTCGGGAAGCTGATCGACGGGCTGATGCCGTGGTATGCGTCGATGTGCTCGATTCTGCTGTTGCTGGCGTTCCAGGCGATACAGACTGCTGCGGGGACGACGAGCGTTGCGGTGATCGTGATTGCGATTATTGGTCTCGACATGTTCCGCCAGTCGCTGCAGATGTCATTGGCCGCTGCCGTCTTCGAGTAAGTCGCCTTTTAGCCAAGCTTCATTCAGCATCTGACGTGCTTGCTTTAGAATCTCGACGGCTGCGAGAGCGAGGTTGAACGCCCTGTTTGTGCTGTCGGTACGTGCACTCTGCCATCAACGAATATTAATTCCGAATATTCAATCATCATTCAGCTGTTCATCGGGCAATTGATGGGCACGGCCGCTGGCACCAAGGTCTACACTGCATACGGCTGGCGCGCAGCCGCTGCCCTCAACCTGGGCTTTTATGGCTGGATCCTGATCATCCTGCTCGTCCGCGGACCGCACTGTGCACGCTTCACGTGGTTCGGCTACGAGGGAGGATGGGCCGTGAAAAAAGTCCCGGCGGTAAAAACGATGGATGAGACGCAGAGCAAAGACTCGACAGTGAAGGGGGATGAGGAGGCTGCTGTGGCCTCAGAAAAGTAGCTCTGCGCTGCTGCCGTATTCACATCAGCCTCTAGCTCAAATCTGGGCCCCCGTAATACCTGGAGCACTTCTGGAGCTTCCACCGTCCCTAATGATAGAGTACATACAGCATCTGTGTAAAGGTTTTGCCTACCGAAGTAATGTCACGACGACTTCGCACGATCGACCCCGCCGACGAGCACGGAGACTAGACACAGTAGATGGCTGCAGGGCCGTTATCACTGAACGCACGCGTCGTGAAAGCCACGCCGGCCACGACCTCAGATGCGGCACAGCTTCCCTTGTACTGCCCACTCGCAAAATCACCCCCCCGCGTGTCTGCACGATTGTCGCTCCTGTCAAACCACACCGTGCGCCCGGAGCCAGAAATGCCGATATTCGCCTGGGTGCACATGACCGTCGAGACTTTGGTGCCCCGGATCGCCCACCCGGTGACGTAGTAGTCGGCCGGACAGGTGTACTTGGTGTACCCGCTCGCCCAGTCGGTGGTGACATGCCGCTCGTCGAACACAACCTCGGCCGCATGCGGCGTGGCCTCAAGATTGCCCAGGGCGTTGTCCGTGCACAGCCCCCGCGTAGACCCGTGCGAGAGCCCGATCAGGCGCTGGCCGTCGGGGCAGTTGGCCTTGGACGCGCCGTTGTCCCAGTCCCCAAGGTGGGTTCGTGCATACAGCGACTGGATGAAGTCGCCCTGGTCGAGCGCGAGCATGTTCCACTCCCCCACCAACGGGACCGGGCCTTCCACGCCCGACGCGTTCATCAGCTCAGTCCACGCCGGAGCCCGCCAGTCCGGGGACGCGGTATCGAAGAGCCCCGTGCGGACCCCGTTGACGTCCCAGTTCATCAGCGCCCAGCCGTTGCCCTGGCCGTTGTTGAGGTACCCCACGAGGGGCCAGAACGCGTAGTCCGCATCCGTCTGCACGAGGTAGTCGATGAAGTTCTGCCAGAACGCGAAGTCTGATTGAAGCGTGTCCGCGCGGCCCTCCATGCCGAACTCGCTGATCCAGACCGGCGCGGTGAAGTGCATATCCGCCGTCAGCGCGACGTATGAGGCGGACGAGTTGAGCACCGCGAAGAGATCGCCGCGCGACAAGTCGCGGTAGCGTGGATCCGTCGTTTCGCCGATCCCTGTGGCACCGCTGTGGTTCGGGCCCGTGTACGAGTAGAAGTGGGCAGAATACACGAGCTGGGGGTGGGGACCACTCGAATCAAGCACTGCACAGAAGACACAGACGCAGACACACCTTGTGGGAAACGAGCGTCGTATGTGAGAGTTGGGCAACGGGGATCAGCGTCGGTCGGCTGTGCGGAAGCCCATCGACAGGGAGCCCGACCCAGTTGATGCCCTCGACGATGATCAGGATATCGGGATTGGCGAGATGGATCTGATCTGCAACCAGTTGTGACGCCTGCCACCAGTCGGCGTTGTTGTTTCCACCCCAGTTAGGATCGGTCAAGATGTCGCGCCGGACCTAAAGACATGTAAGGTCTGGTTCGTGCTGCTCCACACCCACCCACCTCATTGTACAGATCGGCCCCTATGACGCGCTTATTGTCCTTATACCTGTTCACCATCATTACCCAATCCACGGCCCAGGCATCGAACGACTGGCTCTCGTCCCAGCGCTCGTTCCCGTCTACACCGCAGCACCAGATGCTCGTCTTCGTGTGGTTGTTGAGGATCACGGCGATACCGCGCGCAGTAAGCGCGTCAACAACCGCATCGTAAACCTCTAGCGCAGTCATCCCCGAAAACTGTGGATTCGCAGCGACCCAGCTCGGGTCTCCGACGGTCGTGTTGTGGACCATGTCATTCGAGAACTGGAGCCGGATCGTGTTGATACCGAGCTCCACGAACGAGTCGATGATCTGCGAGATAGGCACGTATTGCAGCCCGAGGGGCATCGTGTGGCTGAGATGGAATGAGCGCGCGAACGAAGCGTAGAGAGAAACAGCGCGCACGCATTCTCCCCAGCGTGGTGGTTCGCATCGACATTCCAGTCACCGCTACCACTGTACGTCCCGCTCCCGCCGTGCCAGTTACCCCCGCGCAGCTTGAAGCGGTTGCCGGTTGCGTCGACGACGTACCGCCCGCGCGTGCTCAGCGGGCCCGTCCAGGAGATCGTCTGTGCGTGTGCGCCTGCCGCGAGCAGCGCGAGCAGAATCGGAAGTATAGGGAAGAGATCGAGGACACAGGGCGGGTCGAGTCGCATCGTGAGGGTAGTGTGAGTGCGAGAGCGGAATCCGAGGCAGTCTTTTTGTATCCATGCCCGCATCCATGATGCCGCTTTCCCTACATCTCAACTCATGGGCACAGGCAATGTGCTTCCCCACGTCGGGCGGTGATTGTCGCTAGGTGGTGCTCAGCGGCGAACCGTCAGAATCAACCACCTTGTTGAGGGCAGTCGAGATCAGCAAGGGGTCATCAGCTCACATCGACATCACACATGTGCGGCAGGTTTTGGATTGGCAGATTCTGTACAGCCACGCACCTGACTTGAGATCATTTGTCACCTGATTCAACTAGGCACGTGAGGACAGTGACATTTTTGGCTTGCCCAAGTGGCTTGTGGCCGCTTGTGCCTGCACCAAGTGGCTTTTTTTGTGGCTGGTGAAAGGATTTGGTCTGAAATTGATGCCCTCAGGCTCGCAGGCCAATAAGCCGGCCAGCCAAGCCAACATTTTGGCTTGTGTTCAGCCGAATAAAATTCAGTGTTTTTCTATTATTTCCTGAAGTGTCAACAGCGGGATGCGCTGGGAAATGGCAGCCCTAAATTGAATTTGGCACGATATCTGCTCAAAGAAGTCTTGCTTAGCAAACAGGAGCACAACCGCATTATCGGTCTGCTGTTTGAACTCTTCACGATCTAGCGCATGCGTGTTATCGCGTCGCTATGTCTACGAAACATGCGCCACCATCTTTCAACTCTCACAATTTCAGCGCCTCCCAAGACCTCGCACTCCTCGGCCATGCTGCACATTCCGTCGATTGCCCTCGCTCCGAGATTCCCAACGGATCCGGGACCTCCGAAGCAGGCAGTACTTTTCTAGCCTAGCGAAGCGGTGGATCGAGGGGTAGAGTGCATGAAATCTAACATGAGCGTAGTTCGCTCCCTCTCGATCCTGGCCAGCTTTTATTCCACATGGGGCAATCGGTATGCAGGGTCGGAGGCTCGGTACTTTGGGATTACGTTCATCTAGGACGTCTGCTGTTCGCTCTCGAGACCCCGACCGTTGCAAGAGTTCACGCGCTGATGACTCACCTGATGAAGACCCCCCATCCGAGAAGCGGCCAAGGCCGCAGGAGCGCAACAGGACTGCCTCAACGACCAGCAAAACTTGGGTGCAATGCCAGACAAAGGCTCGAGTGGTAAAGATTGTTAGGTCGGATCTACGTACTACAGCCCATGTCCGGTAGACAAGGGAGGTGTAGCGCGTCGGCCCCGACACATTAATCACATCATGGGTGGTGAAAGTGATCAGGGCAGCGGTCACGATAGCATCGAGTTGGATCAAGTGGGAGAATGAGGAGTGCACCGCGACCGAGGAAATAATCCAGAGGGAAGAGATGACATTACCGATAACGAATGGAATGGACCAACGAAGCGAAGCCCAAGCTAAGCCTGATCAGCTAAATTCAAATACCGACATGTCGGGCAAGCCAGTTCAACAAGCCGGTACGTGAAGTCTGATGTCCTGCTGCACTCCGGCGGCACTCTGTTCCGTCCAGCCCTGATTTGACCCGTGGGAGTGTGAATCCGACATGTGGGACCTCAACGCGTCCCAGCGGCTCCCACGGAAAGTTCATGTAGCCCGTTTGCATGTGCAGAAATGGGAGCAAGACGGTGGATGTAAGTAGGGTAGACAAACCCTAGTGAAGCTCGAGGGACTCAACCACTGGTTCCTATGTCACTCCCATGGATCCAAATTAAGTTTCTTGTCTCTGCACTTGCTCTGTCGTGACCGATGAGGCCTGACGGCGCAGTTGAGCACCTTTTTTTTGTGGGCATGCAATCGGCACAGGTGAAGGTCTTCGTGTCTGACTGACGCAGTTGTTTCAGACGGTGAGAGAGCCTTCGGGGAACATGACTTTGCAAAAGGGGTAAAGTGTGTGGAGAATCAAGCACCGAAAGGTGCCGGACACCGTGACTGGACAGGTGCCAAGTGATACTTTGAAAGTAATGCGGCAGCAAATTCTCTTCAGCCTTACCCCGGTTCGGAATTCTCACCGAGTGATGAGAAAATCATGTCCTCCCCAGTTTCGCTCTTGACCAAGCAATCTTGAAGAACGGAACCGGAAAACAGCAAAATCGATAGATTATGACAGTCACTGCATTCAGCCCTTAGCTAGCACCTGTCTGGGTGCGAGGTACCTCATGCCGAACCTCGTGACCATTCGTTCCAGGTGCGGCACGAGGCGGCTGGCCCCATACGGCACGAACTGGCACGAGTCACCTCCTGACTGATCACGACCACTCGCTCCCACGTCGACCCAAACTCGCTCCCACGACCTTCCACACACCACATTATCACTGCGGGCGCCTTGTTTCTGTTCTGGCGCATGCTTTACAACCCGGAACGTTACAATTAGAGGATGTTCTTGTCGAGATTCACCTTGTCTTTGCTATCTACTGGCCACTTGTCGCTCCGAACTGGTTGGAAGCTGATATTGGGGAATCGTGTGATATGACCAGCCGGCTCCGGGACCAGGTACCTCGTACCAGGTCTCGCACCCTGCTCGCATCTCCACGTGCCAGTGCCCGGAGGGAGTGACCTGGTCCCACGTCACCAGCGGCCTCGGCCCATGATCGGCACTGATCGTGCCTGCCTCCCATCAACCTCGCATCTTCACGCTCCAGCCGGTGCTAGCCAAGGGCTGAATGCAGTGAGTGTGTATGATTCAAATCAAAAAACATGCCGAAGGAAGAGTAGCGTGCTCGTCTGTGCAGCAGATTAAGAACGGAAGTCATGCCGAACATGCTTCTGTCGCCGGAGAGACGAATTAAACCTTCTGTGCAGCTATCCGAGGTATTTGAGAGTCACTGCACTATGCATTTGGAAACAGCCTGGATAGTGGGAGCTGGCCGCTTGGCGTCGAGAACTCAAGCGTCGCATACTTCTCTCTCGCGGATTATTTCTGCTATCTACTACTGCGACCTCCCGATGATTTCGGTTCTCAGTTGGCTTCTTCTCTGACGAAGGCTTAGATTCATTGGGAGTTTCGCCCTCAGACCCCTTCGAATGCCCAAATCCCAAATATATGCATCAAAAGATTGCTCACAAGCTGAAAAATAGTGTTCCACTGCTTACTACGCGGCACATTCACCGGATTCACGGAATATTCAGAATGATCATTTTTCGGGGCGGCCTCGTCATCTCTTCTGACTCGTCGGTCCGACCATATCAATGACACGGGGGGAAGACGGAGAGAGGAGCAGATAAATAGCTCGTGCATCCGTTGTGCTGTCTCAGCCTCACAATGATATCTTCCGTCTTTGTGTCCATTGCGCTTTCCCTTCTCTCTCCGATCTTGTTCTCCGTTTTCAAGGTCCTGTATCGCAACTGGACGTCTTCTCTGCACTTCATCGACGGCCCAACCTGTGCGAATCCCATCCTCGGGCACTCGAAATTGATCTCGGTACATGCTTTTGCTCTCCCCTCCGCCACGTTATCCTTATATCTGGGCACAGGATGTTCCCAGTATCACCAACAAGTGGCGGGACGAATTTGATGAAGGTGGAAGCCGAAAAAACTATATCTTGTTTACTAGCTAGTTGTAACGGTCAGAGTACACACAATACGGCATACATACAGTAGGCGCGTGATCAATCTGATTTGATATCAGCAACAGTGTCCATGTCGCCTTCCTCAACACTCCCCCTCGACAGGACACGTCGGTCCTCGCAGCCCCAGCCAATCGCACATATCGACCATCTTCTCACGCGCTAACGCTTTTGTCATGACGTCAGCGATCATCTCGTTGGTCGGGCAGTAGTCCAGCCGGATCTCGCCATCGGCGACCACGTCGCGAAGCCAGTAAAAACGCAAGTCAAGATGTTTGACGCGTCCGTGGTGGTCAGGGTTTTTCGCAACGGAGAGAGCGGACTGGTTGTCCATGCGCATAGTTGACGCGCCGCTTCGTGAGTAACCAAGCTCTTCGAGGAGATTACGAAGCCATAGGATCTCCTGCCCTGCGGATGTTGCGGCAACGTACTCAGCTTCGGTCGTTGATAACGTCACAAAGGGCTGGAGTCGGCTCGACCAGCTGACTGCCCCGCCGCCCACCATGACCACGAATCCTGACGTCGATCGCTTGTTGTCAGGATTGCCTCCGTGGTCGGCGTCGCTGTACGTCGTGAAGAGCTCCCCCTGGCTCGGCGACTTGCCACTGAAGGTGAGCTTCCAGTCTAACGTACCACGTAGATAACGTAGTACACGTTTCAGAGCCACCCAGTGTGCCCATCCTGGGTTTTTCGAGAAGCGGGCAAGAACACCGACTGCGTACGCGATGTCGGGTCGAGTAGCTATGGCGAGATACGCGACGGCACCGAGAATGTGGAGATATGGGACATCCTTCATGCGGACAATGTCAGATGCGGACGAGGGAGATTGAGCGGAGCTGAGGGAGACTTTCGGGTCCATGGGCGTTGCGATGGGTTTACAATCGGACATGTCAGCGCGGTCAAGTACGTCAAGAATATACTGCCGCTGGGACATTGTCAGCATGTGTGACGCACGGTCTCGTTGAATCTCAACACCCAGTAACCATTTTGTCTCGCCCAGATCACGAAGCTTGAAGTGCTTCTCAAGCTGCCCAATGAAAGTGCGTGCTTCTTGCTGAGATGTGGCTGCAATGGTCATGTCATCAATGAAGACGGGCACAATGACTTTCGTCGGCGACATGTCCGTCTGATAAATCCAGACACTGTGCTCGCAACGCACTCGTTTATAGCCCATCCCGGAGAGAACCTCGTGCAACTTGAGGTGCCATTGGTGACCGGCTTGCTTCAAGCCGTAGATGGATTTAAGCAGTTTCAGCACACGACCGGCCGGGATCTTCAGCTCGCCCTCAGGGAACTCCATGTAGACGTCCTCGGAGATGTCACCATAGAGGTATGCCGAAGAGATGTCGACACTGAAGAGCTCCAGATCTTCAATGGCGGCGAGAGCCAGAATCAGGCGGAGAGTGGCCCACTTCGGCGTTGGTGCAAATGTCTCCGTGAAGTCAAATCCGGGGCGCTGAGCATATCCTTTGGCGACTAGCCGTGCTTTGTACCTTTCGACAGATCCGTCGCCGTTCAGCTTCACACGGAAAACCCAACGGTTCCCGATTGCACGTCGCCCCCTTGGCAGTTCCACCACCTCGAAAACACCCATCTCGATCAGTGATTGCAGCTCTGCCATGGCTGCGTCATACCATTTTGACGATTGGTCTGCTGGGAGATCCATGGCCTCAGCATATGTTCTTGGTCCGCCGGCTGTTGTTGCGTAAGCGGTCTCAAGGATTGCATCAAACGCTAGCTCCAGCGCTTCCTGCGGTGAGACATAGCAACATGTGACCTCTGCTGCTCGTGCGGTTTGAGGGGACCATGTTCCGTGGTAGTTCCATGGCGCACGCGTCTGCATCTCCCGCAGCTTGGTCCGTTGCCCTCGACCAAGCCCTGGTGGCATCACATAGAGTCCTTGCTTGCCAGAGTTGTCAAACTCTCGGGGGGCAAGCTGTCGTTGGGGCAGTTGCGGGACTGCATCAATGTGATCGTCCGAATCAGAGAGAGAAGTGAGAGAGCTGAGGTCGCCGAGATCTGAGAGATTCGGGGATTCGATGTCAGGGAGAATTGGGGAAGCTGGTTCTGGATCGGGTGTTGTTTCTGGTTTCGGCGCTGTTGTGGTGTTCATGGGATTTGACGCGTTGTTATGCTTTCGGGCTCCCCCTCGACGTGGTGAATCCTCATCGAACACTGGTTGAGGCACAATGCCTTGCTCGCGGCGCGGCTCCTCATGTTTTGTTGACGCCGGTGCCTGTATGGCATACGGGTTCATCACTGGCCACTTGTTCCCGGGTAGGACACGTTCATCGAACGTAGCATGTGACGATATTACAGTTTGCTTGCGTCTTGGGTCCCAGAAGAGCCACGCCTTGGTCCCAGGCGGATAGCCAATGAATACCATGAGTTGCGTCTTGGATTGAAGTGCCTTGCGTCTTTTCTTCGGGATCAGTACATACGCTAGTGATCCGAATACGCGCAGATGGCTGACATCAGGCTTACAACCGAACCACGCCTCATACGGTGTCGTTGAGGGTTCTAGAGATGTTGGTGTCCGGGTGCGGCAATAATTGAACGCGCTGACTGCTTCGGGCCACAGGAATGGTGGCAGCTTGGACTCTGTCAGCAGGGCTGTGGCACCTTCCTCAATGGTGCGATTTGCCCGTTCTGACACTCCGTTCTCGTGCGGCTCATCTGGCTCTGTCTCCCGCACAGTTATCCCCCACTCTGACAGATGCCGTCTGAATTCCGTCCCAATGTATTCGCCACCACCGTCATGCTGCAGGTAGGCCACTCGACACCCTGGGTGCACAGCTTCAGCCCTCTCCTTGAAGTGTCGGAAGGCTTCTGGCTGATCGCTCTTTTGACGGAGGAAGTAGATCTGGCACAGGCCGGTGAAGTCATCGGTGTACGTGACCCAGTAGTGAAAGCCTTGCCGGCTCTGCACGGGCATGGGTCCTTTTAGATCGGAGTGGATGAGTTCCAACGGGCGTGTGGCACGCGTACGAGATAGGCGTGAGATCTGACGGTGTTGCTTTCCAGCAATGCAGGGTTCACAGAGGGGTTCCGGAGGAGAGTCGTCTGCGAGTTTTGCGCCAGACACTAGGCCGTCCTTGATTGCGTGAGCAACACGTCCGGCATTGATATGTCCAAACCTCCGGTGCCATAGGGTGATGTCTGAATGCAGGGTGCTCTTGTGAGTAGCGTAGTTAGCTTGAATAGCAGTCGTGCTTTCAAGTGCGATCGCTTGTAAGATCGCTGAATTCCCCTTCGTGTACCGTGCTTGAATCTTCATGTCCCCTTTGCTGAACACCAGACCCTGGTCATCTCCGAACATCTTGAACGAACGCTTGCACAGAAGAAAGAGTGCGGATAATAGATTCGTCCGTATGGCGGGTACATGCAGCACGTCTGTAAGCTCGATCTCGCGCCCACAGCCCAAACGAAAGACAATTGATCCGACACCTTCCGAGTAGATTACTGAGTCGTCAGCAAGACGCACGGGGATGTTGCACGCCTTGTAAGTCACGAAGAGGTGACGTAGACTTGTCATATGACGGCTCGCGCCTGTATCAACGATCCAGTCAGGGACAACTCGGTGAGAGGAAGGTGCGTGACTTGCTACGTTGGCGGTGGTGGCACCTCAGTTACCACCGCCATCACCCGGTTGCACCCCCGCGGGGGTCCTCCTGGGTACCCTCAGACGTAGCTCTGAGGGTACCTAACAGGTACCCCCCTGCGGGGCCCGCGGGGGGGATTTGGTCCATTTGGGGGCGGGGGCATATGCGGGGGTCAGCAGGGGGGGGTCTGTACATGTCATGTGATTTATCATTGGGAGCGGGCAGGTGGGCGCGAAAAAAAAAATGAATCACATGACACATCCAATGGGCGGGATGGCGGCTGATGGCGGGGTAAAAAAATCACGTGATGCACCGCATGAAAATTATCAAAAATGGCTAGCAGGGGTTGGCGGGGGTTGGCGGGGGCGCTACTGGCCCCCCGCACACCATGGCGGGCAGTGGGCGCATTATCACGTGACTTTTGGGCACCTTTTGTGCACCATTCGGCATGATTTCGGAGGTGTTGCTTGATCCATTGCATGCTGTGGCAGACAATGGGCGCATAATCACGTGATTTTCCGCCCAAAAAAATGGAAGCCTTCCCCAAATCATCCTGGTATCATTTCTATCGGTAAATACACTAGTTAAGCATGAATTTGAGCTTAGAAAGCCCAAAATGCACCCTGCACAATGGGACTGGTGATGCACTTGATCCCATCATTTGGCGGGGTCTGCTGCGGGGGGTGCCACGGGGGGTGCTGCGGGGGGTGCTGCGGGGGGTGCCGCAGGGGGTGCCACAAGGGGTGCCGCAGGGGGTGCCGCAGGGCCCGCTGTGGGGTCAACCACAGGAGCAGGGGTAGGGGTGCATTGCATCATATTTTGATCTATCTATTCTCGCTGTGGTCATAGCATGCAGCATAATTATCCTTCATTTTGCCAGGAGTTTGGAGGCTGTGTCTGGGGTTGGTCTGCAGCTACAGCCATGTGACTCCCTGATGCTTCGGCAGGGGCTGGGATATCAAAACTGTGCAATATTGTCTGCATAATCCAGGCATGTAGGGTTAAAAAGAAAGTGTGATTTGTTCATTTTTTGGCTGGCAGGGTAGGTGGGCTGACATCATGGGCTGCATCGGGTCCACTGTCAACTCATTGATTGTTTCGTCTGCTCATTCTATACACATGCCCATTGGTAAGCTGATCATGCTGTAGGCACAGTCTGATCTTACCCAGTGGATGATACCACACATTAATTACATACCTAATGTCACACTTCCTGTCTGGGACTCATTGAAGTTCATCTGTTCTGTGTTACTTTACAAGCAGTTTGCTTTAGTTGCAACATGAACAGATGTAATAGAGTGGATTTGACATGCCCTGAATTGATTCCTAGGTGGAATATGAGACAATGGATTCACCAGCAAGTTGCCTCACAATAGTCAGAGATTGGTAATATTTGAATTTCAAATTTCATATACAACACTCTGTGCACTCAGAGCTCGTATATTTGCAAGATAGACTGTAGAGACATAGATGGTTACTTTTACTACCTCTGGGGCTGCACACATCCTTGCCATGACCCACTGCCTGCACCCCTGCTGGTACCCCCATTGGCACCCCCGCCGGCACCCCTGTTGGCACCCCCGCCGGCACCCCCGCTGGCACCCCCGCTGGCACCCCCGCCAGTCTAGCACCCCCCGCTGCACCGGTGCCTTGTCCCCGTGATTTTCTTATATGTAAGATTATGTAAACTGACAGCTCGGAACACGTCAAGTCACTAGCCAATCAGAACCTGTATAAACGTCGTACCTAAGTGTTTACTGCTCTTCTAACACTGTTCCTACAGTTATGCAGCTGAAAACCATCGGAATAAGGTCTCCATATGCTATTCTTGTTGAATATGTAGGTACTTCATATCCTTTGTCCACCTAAAAATCGAAACATGAAAACAGTTCACCATTGCTCAAGTTTCCTATGTAGACAATGGTTCAACATGGTTCACTTTGAGTATGGCAAAAAATATTTTTTCTACACACAAGCAATTCAATACAGCTGAATGATATACTCTTTGGCAGTGTCTGAAACAAATTCTGAGAGCCCTGGACCCTGGAACCATTCAAAAACTTGAAATGAGTCCGAAAAATAGGGTCTTGATAAACATGACATATGGGCTGGTTTGAAGAGACATGGGCCACCGGTCATGTTGAATATAGTATTTTACAATGTTTCGGTGCCCTACCTCTCATCACATGGCCTCATTTCCGACTAAGAAGCGCACATACACACTCAAGCTCATAAAATCAATTGTCACCCAGAAACAAGAGCAGTGAAGTTGTTTCACTGGGATTGGGTAAAGGTTACCTAGAAGTCACTTGGGTTGCAGTACAGAAGCTTTGGAAAGTGATTTTGTAGTTGATCCACATTTGGTAGGCTGGCAGATGCTTGTGCACCCCCACGGCACCCCCCGCGGCACCCCCTGCGGTTGACCCCCCCCAACCCCTGCAAGGATTTAATTGACAAATGTCCTGCTCAATCCATTGTAAGAGTCTACAGTATTATTGGATTCAGTAAAGGGCCCAAATGGTGTGTAGACAAGAAGTATGAAATCCGGAAATCAACAATTATGACACCTCCACGGAATA